CTCAGAAGCTCTTCCGGGTCTCCCACACGGGTGCAGGGTCCCAAGGCTTTGGGCCATCCTCTACTGCTCTCCCAGGCCACAGACTGGCTGGGAAGAGGGGGTGCTGGGACACAAACCAGCTCCCATATGGGATCCTGGCGTGTGTAAGGTGAAGACTTAATCTGCCAGGCTTCCACTCTGGGCCCTCCCATTTCTGCTTTTAAGGAGTAAGTGAAAGGTCCAGATTTGAGCCAGTTTTCTTTTCCCAAAGATTGCACTTGGGCCATCCCAATATATTGCCCATTTGTGAAGAAACACTGAGAGAATTCTGGCCGTCTGGTGAAGGTGACTGGCTTGGCAATGGGAGCCTAATAGAAGTTAAACTTACTAATGGGCTGTGTTCTATTTCCCACCTAATGAAAGGGCTAGGAGCACAGAGTGTGCGCTTTGACTTCAGAACACTGGTGATTAAAGCAGAGGAGAGGGGCTGATACTGTGGCATAGCAAGTTAAGCCATTGCCTGCAACACCAGCATTGCCTTATGGGTGCCAGTTCAAGTCTCAATTGCAAATTTCCACCCAGCTTACTACTAATGTGCATGTGAGAAGCAACAGAAGAGGGCCTAAGTATCTGGGCTACTGTCATCCATGTAGGAGACCTGGATGAGCTCTTGGTTTTCTGGCTTCATCCTGGCCCAGCCGCCAAATGTTGTGTGGCTACTTGGGGAGGGAACCATCACTTGGAAACTCTGTGTTTCTTTTTTTTTATTTCCATATTGTTTCCTTCATGTTTAAAGGCAGGTATTAAGGGAGAAGGCTCACCCAATTTCCCACCCTCCCCAGGTCCCAAATATAGGGTATGCACCGAGGTTCTTCCTCCAGTTGTTTTGATATTTCAACAGTTATGAATCGCTGCCAGTCTTGCCACTCCAAGCACTATGAGGTCTTTGAAGAATCCACTGATTGACACAGTCCATCATAGAGTCTCCATTTGCCCTGTATTTCGCTGCCAACATATAGCTGAGTTGGTTGGTTGACCTGTTCTGTCTTCTGTCTTTTCTTGGTTAGGGTTCTGAGTCCAGCATTTCAATTGTGGAGATCTCCAAAGAAACTTTGTCTGAGGTGTTCTCAAACCAGATTCTTGAATGTACTAGCAAGCACAGGGCCCGGCACAGTCCATCGCCCTGATCAGCTGGTGGGTGCGATTCCTGGGTTGGTTCTGTTTTCAGCCCCAACTTCCACTGGAACCAATGGGTGTTGCAGTCCAGCCTGGTTCTGCCCAGCACATACTCGGCCCACACATAAACCAGTGGGAGCTGCAGCCTAGTTGGAGTGACCCGCAACAACCCCTACCAGGCCCGCCCCCTACCCTAGTTTGCCAGTATGTGTAGCAGTAGTCCAATCTGTCCCACACCCCATTCCACCCCAGCCCCTGCCTTAGTTTTCGTGCCCTCCCTTGGGAGTGGTAACCCAAGAGGGATGAGCCTACTATTTCCCTCCCAGGTCTCTCACTCCCGGATTGTGCACTTTCCAGGTGGTTCTGCAGTTTAACTTGACAAAATTAGCTCCCAGTGCCAGCTTCTGCCAGCTGATGCTGTGGCTAAGCCCAAACAACCCTCACCCACTCTAATTTTGTTTGCACCTGTAGGAGTAGGAATAATCAGCCCAGCCTGGCTTTTCCCTGATCTAGTCCACAAGAGGCGCACAGGTGTTGTAGCCCTGCTTAGTCTATTCTGTCCCCATCCCAGCCCACGCTCTCCTGTGGGAGTAGCTGTCCAGCAAAGGAACCACCCCTTATTCCCCTGCTGGCTCTGCCCCCCTCCCTTCCTGGTTCTCATGTGTGCTGGTTGGGTGCTGCGGTCACTTCCAGTACAGGCAACCTCACCTTGGCACTCCATATTGTGCACTAGACTTTGTTGCGACCGAACCTGGCTCGACCCACACTGTTCTGGTGCTTGGATTTGCCAGCGGATGACGTGGACAAATTCAACCTGGTCTTCCCCCAACCCCTGCCAATTGTATGCCAGTGGGTAACTTTCCATGGCCTGTTCTGGGCTGTTTCCTATCATGTTTCTTGCGCTTACCTGCCGGGTCTGTGTCCTGCCAGAGGATTTGCCCAGGCTCCTCCATCAGAACCTCTCCCAGTGCCAGGTTTCACGCTTACCAGTGGGTCCATGAGCCAGCCCTACTCAGTTTACCTCCTGTCCTAGCAGGAACTGTGGCTTTTCCTGACTGGCCTTCAACCCAAATTGGTTCTTGCTGTTGGATGTTTCAGCCCAGCCATGGCGTGTTCATACCCACATATGGCTCACACATGGCTCAGTAGGGGTTGAGACCTTGCCTAGTCCATCGCACATCTATCCCGGTCCTCCAGGACACCAGAGTGTGTTGGGGTCTGGCCTGGCTCGGTGCATCCAATCCCAGTCCACACTTGTGCCAAGGGAGACTACAACCGTTTCCAGATCAGAACGCAGACCCCATTCCAGGTTACATGCCCCTTGGTGGGAACCTCAACCCAACTAGGGTTGTTTCCTTAGCTCCCTAACCAGGCCTGTTCCCAACCATAGATCACATGCATGCCAGTGGTTGCTCTGACTCAGCTTAGCTCAGTCCTGACCTCTGCCTTTGACATTGTGGCTTAGCGTTCCTGGCTCATGCAGACCAGTAGGTGCAAGAGCCTAGCTTGGCATGACCTGTGCTCCCTCCTGGTCTCTAGTTTTGCTTGTGGGCTAAGGATTGCTCAGTCCTGCCTAATCTACCCTGTTCCATTACCAATTGACACATTTAACAGCTGTTGGAGCTACTTTGACCAGCTTGTCCGACCCCCAGGTCTGGACCACATGTTCATCAGCAGGAGCTATGACTCGCCAGGGGAGTTTCCCAAGTTCCTCCACTTAATCCACTCCCAGACCCAGTTTTCATATATGCCATTGGGTTTAGGCCAGGTTCTGGCGAAGTCTGGCCTTCCATTTGGCCTTGTATGAGCTGGTGAATGTTGCAGCCCGGCCCACCCCACACCCTAATCAGGATGCACAATCGTCCATCACCACCCCAACTCTTGAGATAACCAGTGGGGCTAGAATTTTCACAGGATGTGGCCCACACATCCCTCACAGAATTTACCCCCGGTTATGGTTCTCGAGTGCTAGTTAATGTAATGGCCTGCTTGATGTGACCCTTCTCCTGATCCATCATCATGTTAGGTAACAGGATATGATTCTGCTGGATAAGTCCCAAGCCATAGCTTTTGCTATTTGGTGGTCAGCATTGTTCAGTGATTACAAGTTTAACAAAGGAAGAGTTACTGTCATTGGGAATCTTTATGAATGGTTCACATCCTAGAAGCACAGTAGGTTCAACCTGGAGCTACCTAAGCAGCAATTCAAAGAACCAAATCCCTAGAGCTCCCCAGCCGAGCGGCCAGCAGGCAGAGCCTGGCACCAAATTGTGCACTGGCCACCCAGGGACAGCTCACTACATGCACATGGTGGCTGTTGTCTGGGATCCAGGCATGAGACTCCCTGTCCTGAGACCCCAACCTTGTGTTTCTTTCTGTAACTCTGTCTTGAAAATAAATAAATATTTAATAAATGAATAAAGCAAGCATGAGAGAAGCCAGTAGATGGAGGACAAAGGGACTTTCCCTCACACCCTCTGAAGACTCCCCAGATGAAACTGATGGAAATGAAATTTGGAAAAAGCCACATAAATTTATTAAGGTGCAAAAGGAGAATGAGGAAAACAGACAGTTTTGAGGGGCACAGTGAACCACCTGTAGGGGCACTTATGCGGATGTGGAGAACCTGCAGTGGCCTGGGGCAGAATCTGTTTAGCTTGCAGAATGCCCAGAGAAGGATTTGTAAATAATGCTCTATGGTGCTGAAGATGAAGACAATGGCGGAGAAAATCCCCCCAGTTCACAGAAGGTCAGGGAAAGCTCTAGAGGTCACTGTCTTCCTCCCTGGGGGATTGGACTTGAAGGGGATAAGGGGAATCGCAGAGGAAAGCCTCTTCCAGCACCTGCTGCTCTGGGAGGTCCCTTGATTCAAAGTAATCAAGTGTTTGACATAGCAACTGAGATGTCTTTGTGCCACATCATGGCACCTGGTTCACTCTCTGGCGCTGGTTCCTGAATGCAGCCTTCCTGCCTATACAAACCCGGAAGGCAGCAGGGATGGCTCAAGGACTAGGTCCCTGGGTTGGGAGACCAAGGTTGAATTGCCAGCTCTGTCCTAATCCCACCCAGCCATTTGGGGAGTGAAGCAGTGAATGGGGACTATTCCTATGTGTTTTTTGGCTGTATCAATCAATCAATCACTAATTGATAGATAATATTAATCAGAAATAGAATTTATGGTAGTATAAGGTGAAATTGCTGTTAAATCAGAGATTCCTGTGTTCCCCTAACTCCCTGCTCAAATGACTTCATCTGAGAAATCTTCTATGACAGCTTCTCAAAGGTATCAAATCCTTCTACTTCTAACAGCTGCTTTTAAAAAACTTTTTCTTCTTGTTTCCATCTGCTATTAATACTGTATATTCATCTGTTTATGTTCTGTCTACTCCAGAAGGAAGTAAATATATCGTGAGGATTTTATTTTCTTTCAACTTATGCGTTTCATGCGCAGATAACCCTAATAGGCATTATTCTAAGTCTTTAAATAGTAATGTTTGACTCATTTTAACTGATTTGATTTACTGTCTCACTGCCCAATTTCTCTTCCTTTTTTTCTAATCAGATTGCTTTTCTGAGACCTCCTTCCTCTGCTACACCCCACCCCCTCCCTTTTTTAAAAGATTTATTTGAAAGGCAGAGGGAGAAGGAGAGTGGGAAAGGAGGAGAGAGGAAGAGAGGCAGGGAGAAGGAGATAAAGAGGGAGAGAGGGAAAAGGAGTAGAAGAAGAAAGGGAGACAGAGAAAAAAGGGAGGGAGATGGGGAGGGAGAAGGAGTGGGAGCTTCCGCAGCTGCTGGTTCACTTCCCAAATGGCCAGAAAGATCAGAGCTGAATCAGGCTAAAGGCAAAAGGAGCTAGATCTCTTGGTCTCTTGGGCTACCTCCTGCTGCTTTCCCAGAGGCAGGAGCGTGGAGCTGGATCTGAAGTGCAGTCAGGTATGCCTACCAGCTTTGGGATATAGGATGCTGGGGCCAGCATGGGTTAAGTCAAGGCCAGGTCCGGTTACCCATTTCTCATACCAGACTTAGCTGAGCCATTGATTTGTTGGGTTGTTTCCCCCAAAGCGGCACAGCTCCGGAGTGACTTGGTTAGTTAGGATGGAAGTGCTCCGCCCCTCCAGCCCTATCTGCATTTGAGCACTTAGAAGTGGGCAGGGTCATCCAGTGAGGTTCTGTGCTCTGGAGCTGGTTAGAAGCTAGATGGAGTCCAGAGAGAGTTCCCCGGCACGCAACTTCCAGATTTCCAGGAAACCTGATCGCCAGGATCCTCGGGCATTTGCGAGCGCGCGAGGGATGTACTTCTACTGGGGCGCAGGAGAGCAGCCTCAGCGGCGGGTGGTGAGAGGCTCCAGGCTGCACCTGGCGGCCAGCGGGGAGCGCCACTCCTTGCTGCTGCTGACCGACGGTACTGTGTGGTCCTGCGGAGACAACGGCCGGGGCCAGCTAGGCAGGAAGGGTGTCAAGCACGCCAAGCAGCCAGGTGAGCCCCCAGGCTTGGGTGTTGGGGGCGAGGGCGCTATGGGTGGAGCTGAAGAGTGCTGGGACCGCAGGTGTGCGGGAGCGCTGCGGAGGCTGGCTAGGATGCTCCGAGCAAGCTGGTCTTCACTTTCGTTTCTGCCCGCGCCTTGTATTTGTTTCGGTTTCCATTTCCTCTTCCAAGCAACCCTGAGAACGTATTTTTTTTTTCGGTTTCCGTTTTCTCTTCAAAACGACCCTGAGAAGGGAAACTGATTGGGACCTGGCTCCCCCGGGCCGGCAGGACGAGCTGGAGGAGGCGAGCTCTTCCGGGCCACCTGTGACTGACTACCTCAGTAGTCATCTTTCTGAACGCACTTAGATATAGTATTCTCTCCCCTCAAACACTGATTATTGCAGGAACGGGGAAAAAAAGAAGCAGCCCCTACATTCAGCACCCAGACAGTGCCCAGCATTTGGACGTTACCTTTGGATGTTGAAGGTGTTTCTAGCTTTCACCTGCCTCTGTACTGAAACTTTGACAGTGATGTCATCGTAGCAGTTTGGCACTTGCAGCAAGTAGTATTCTCAGCAAATATAATTTCAATATAATGGAATTTTTGCAAAAAATGTATTTTAAATTTTCATATAAATGTCAGGCTCTCATAGCACAATTTAATTTTTATGTTATTTTAAATTATATTTAAAGGACTGAGCGGCAGAGACAGAGGATAGAATTAGAAAGAGCTTGCCATTCCTGGCTTACAGCCCAAATGGCCACAAAGAGCTAAAGCTGGGATCAAGAGCCCAGAATCCCATTCTTGTCTGCCATATGGGAAACTGGGACCCAAATACTTGGGCCATTCTCTGCTGCTTTCCCAAGCACATTAGCAAGGAACTGGATAACATAGAATAGCCCGAACTTGAACTGACGGCTCTGATCTGGGATGTCAACATTAAAAGCAGTAGCTTAACCTAAGCATCACAGTTTTTCTGTTTGTGAAAATTAAGTCATTACTCACTGGAGACTTTTGTAAATAAGACTGAAGTACATTCATGTAGGCAAACATTTGGCTAATTTTTAAAATTTAACTTAAAATAATTTCACAAGGTGTGTGGAAGAAGAACCTAATCTTAGGTTCTGTGTCTAGGGCCTGCAAATCAACTGATAAAAGATAGATGAACAGAAACTAAAGCGCACAGTTTTATTAGTGTTTTGCTGGATACAAGGAGGGGGTTTCCAGACTGGAAATTCACAACAAATGAGTGAAACCCAACTGGATGCTTAGGTTCAGGTGCCTAAGTGTTTAACAGAGGAAAGAGGGGTCTGGGCATCCAGGGATGATGATAAATGAGTGAGAAATCCATGGGAGAACCTACTAGATATAAAGGTTGTGTTGTAAGGGTTGTTTATGTAAGCTCTTCTTGCTGCTGCTTTCTTGTCTTGGGAAATAAGATGTTCTCTTCCTGGCACAGAAAAGAGGGGGCACCTTCCTCAAAGAGATGTTAAAACCTGTGTTTAAGCTGATGCTACAGGACAGAGAACCCTTCTTCCCATTGAGTCCCAATTGCCTTGAGCTCAAAATAATCCCTATATCTAAGTGGCCTGTCTTCAGGTGCATATCTTGATCGCTGCCATGTGGAAATGACAGGCAGCAAAACATTTGCTTCCTGATTGCTCTCCAGGAAGGTTGTGTCAGGTTCTACTTTTGGGAGTGTAGGGACCTTTGGAGAAGATTTTGACATTGCATAGATTAAAGGGAAATAGTCAAACAGGTGCTTGGAACACTTAAGACCCTGCTAGGCATGTCTGGGTACCATTTTGGAGTGCCTGGGTTTGACTACTACCTCTGCTTCCAATCCCAGCTTTCTGCTTAAGCATCCTCTCAGAGACAACAGGTGATGGTTCAGCTAACCTGGGCTCCTGCTACCCATGTGGGAGACTTGATTGAAGTCCTTAGTTCTGGGTTTCCGCTTGCCCCAGCCCTGGGATGCTCTGGGCATCTCGGGAATAAACCATAGAGGAAAGGTCTGTCTGCCTTTAAAAGTGTATGAAAGTAAGTAGCTAAAAAGGGTAAAATCATGAAAATCAAACCAAAATCAGAGTCTGTAAGTATTATAAAACCATAAAAAATAATGCAGGCACATTCCTGGACCCTGGAAATGCATACTTCTTCACTCTTCTTTATAAGAGCATCTAACATCTACCTGTCACACCTGTGAGGCAGACATGGTGCCAACTTCCTCCCAAGCAAGGGACACTGCCCCCTCTGGGTTTTGCCTCTACCAACATAAAGAAACATGTGGCCCAGCCTCCAAATCCCTAGAGATGCCCTGGGCCCTGCGCCGTGGCGCAAGTGGTTAAGGTCCTCACCTTGCACGCCCGGGATCCCATATGGGCGCCGGTTCTAATCCCAGCAGCCCCGATTCCCTTCCAGCTCCCTGCCTGTGGCCCGGGAAAGCAGTCGAGGACAGCCCAAAGCTTTGGGACCCTGCACCCCCGCGTGGGAGACCCGGAAGAGGCTCCTGGCTTCGGACTGGCATAGTATCGGCCGTTGCGCTCACTTGGGGAGTGAATCATCGGACGGAAGATCTTCCTCTCTGTCTCTCCTCTCTGTATATCCGCCTTTCCAATAAAAAAATAATAAAAATAAATCTTAAAAAAAAAATTCTTGAAAAAAAAAATTCCTAGAGATGCCCTGCTTCCACAATGCCTGTCCTTTTAAATAACAGCTGATGCAAGGTCACCTCCAGTACTTGAGCATTCTAAAGACTTTATTAGCACACTTGGCAGGGCTTGACTGGGCCACACTACACTTTACAAGCTGACCTCCACCAGAAGGAGAGAGAAAGGATGGAAAGGGGAAACTTGTACGAAATGCCTGAGGACACAAGAGGTTGAGAATATTTGATGGATTCAATTACAAAGTCTCTAGTTAGAAGCTAGTTGGCAGTTTCGGATTGGATTACCAGTGAACAGAGTATAACATGCATGTGCTTTTTCCAAATACTGAAATTTGGCTTGACTGTTGGGCCTGAATTGACAGACTTCCTGGAGGAGACAAGGAATCTGGGTGACTCATATTTTAGAAGGAAAGTACTGTCTAACTTGTAGCTAAATTAACAATCTACTGTGGTGGTGGGTGGGTGGGTTGTTCTGTTTTGTTTTTGTTCCCAAAGAACAAATCCAGGCATTGGAGACTCTACACATCAACTCGGTGAGCTGTGGGAAGGAGCACTCCCTGGCGGTCTGTCACAAAGGAAGGGTCTTCGCATGGGGAGCAGGTTCTGAAGGACAGCTGGGCCTTGGAGAATTGAAGGAAACCGTATTTACACCGTTGTAAGTATTTGCATTCCTTCATTCCTTTCTGCATGGTTTTTGAGTTTCTGGTACCAGGCACCATGGAGGATGCCGGGAAACAAAGTGACAATGACAAGTGTACTCCCTAAACTTGAGGATTATGGGGTGGTGAGGGCTGATGGCATGAGAACAGGTGCACCATTTACTATTTTGTGGGAGTCTTGGAAAGAAAGAAAGTTTAGTGAAATGAGATGGTGTGGCCCTGGCAGCTTAGTCTTAGCCATGGAAGTTCAACTGTGGCCCTTGAAAAACTTATGTTTAGGGGAAACACTGGAGTGACAGAAGATATAAAAAGAAATCTTGACTGGACTTCTTGTATCTGATTAAAGCAGAGCCTCCCAAGAATACAGTTGACAAAATCTAGCCTCTATGGTGTCTCTTACAAATCAATTGATCATTTCTTACTTCAAAAACACCAATAAAACTTTCCAGAATCTGCCAGTGAAATCCTCAAAACTCCCTATCAAATTGATGTGAGACAGATTGTGAGAAGATCTCATAGAATATGCACATTATGAAGAAGACATACATGGCTTTAAATATATTGTGCATCAAAATTACCATCTTTGCATTCCATTTTCTGTGAACTTTTCAAAATACCCTCTGTATAAGTCTTTACACTAGCCTAGTCTGCCAGAGTTGTACATGTGAATAATCGTAATCATTTTTCCTGGGACTGTGTCTGGTGGCAATTAGTTTGCAGTCTGCTAAACGTGGGACCCAAGTTGGGAGAGGAAATATTTTCAAATATTTTCCTTTCAGCATCACTGACTTATTATAGGTTACCAGGTCCTGCTATTTCACTTAGCAAAAGTGAGGGCCACATCACAATTCCTCATCCACAGCTACCCAAGGCAAGTGGCATGAGAAGCAGTCAGCACTGGATTGTTTGGTCATGAATTGCTTCATTTTGAATGGACTTTTTTTTTTTAAAGATTTATTTTTATTATTTTTTTATTGGAAAGGCGGATATGCAGAGAGGAGAGACAGAGAGGAAGATCTTCCGTCCAATGATTCACTCCCCAAGTGAGCACAATGGCCGATACTATGCCAATCTGAAGCCAGGAGCCTCTTCCGGGTCTCCCGTGTGGGCGCAGGGTCCCAAAGCTTTGGGCCGTCCTCGACTGCTTTCCCGGGCCACAGGCAGGGAGCTGGAAGGGAAGCGGGGGTGCCGGGATAGAACCGGCGCCCATATGGGATCCCGGGCGTGCAAGGTGAGGACCTTAACCACTTGCACCACGGCGCAGGGCCCTTGAATGGACTTTTAAGCCTAGAAAGTTGCCTCTTGTTATTTTTTTGGTCGTTAGTACATATGAAAGATCGTGGTGACTTGGGAGCATGAGCATGGCAGTTGAAATGCAAAGACCAAGGTTAGAATCCAGTTGTGCAACATGGTACCTGTTTGACATCTGTGAGCTCCACTGGGTTCAGCTATAGCAAACTCAGATTAGCCTGGTTTTACTTCATGAAAAAGGCAATGTTGTATTGTTCAACCTGATGCTTTATCTCACAGCCCTTAAAATTAAGTGATAAAGATATTGGTGTTCGAGGAATTCTAAAACTTTGTGAAATGTAGCTATCCAGATTTTAATTTTTCTTCTGGACCAATAAATATAAGATAAAAGTTAGTATTTTATGTAACATCTTAATATCCAGTAAGAATTACTTCTGTGTTATTTACTAGATGTCACCTTATAGCATTGCACGTGTTGATATCATAGTTTAAAGCAGTTTGAAGGACCTAAATTAAAGATACTATACAAACACAAGAAAATAAAGTTGTTTTCCTATACCAGATGTGTTATTTGGAATATTTTTGTTTTTAAATTTATTTGAGAAGAAAAAAAGAGAAGGAGAAAGAAAGAGAATTCCTACTTGCTGCTTTACTTGCCAAATGTCCAGTGCCCTGGGACTGGGTTACACCAAAGCTAGGAGTGGGCAACTCAGTCAAGGTTTCCCACATGCAGGGACCCAAATACTCAGTCATCACCTACTGCCTCCAGTGGTCTGTATTAGCAAAAAGCTAGAGTCAGAGCCAGAGGTAGGTATCAAACCCAGGTTCTCTGACATGGAATGCTAACCGCTTAACTATTAAACCAGAAACCCTTTCCCAGGATTCTTTTAAATATCTGTTCTGTTTGGCAACTTATCCTAAATAAGGGTTAATTAACTTTTAAAATCCTTTTTATTGTAGGAAAATAAAAGCTCTGAGTGAAATAAAAATAATACAAGTTTCCTGTGGACACCACCATTCCCTGGCATTGTCAGCAGGTAAAGAACACATTTTGAATCTTGGAATCTCATTAAGAATTAATGTTGTTTAATATAAATGATAACTATTGATTTCTAACATATTAGAATTCATTTTAATGCATTTAGATATTTTTAACTCTCTAGATTTCATGACATGTATGTTTTTAATTTTTAAAATCCCTTTGTTGTTATTATACTATAAATAGAGCTTAATCCATATTATACACCCATAAGCAGCTACTTCTGGCAGTTTACTCTGAACTTAGTAGTGGCTTTATATCCAGGCCTTCCATTCTTTATGCCAAATAACTTGACTACAACTGGCAAATCCAGACTATTTGTCATTTTAAATTTAAATCAAAGAAGGTAAAATCAAACTGTCAAACTCATAACTCTACAATTTATTTATATAATGCTAAAATTCCTCATTCACATTTCTCAGTGTAGAATGTCAGCAAGAAACAACAATTCATACACCCTCTTATGTGCAATGAATTAAATGCGTGACAGACAAGCTATCAAGAAGAAAGACAATCAATTTTTAGAAATGTTTTTTAGTATAGGAGGTCACAGAAAAGAAATCAAAGAAGTCGTTTGACTTGGGGTCTTCTATTTTAACCAAAGAAAGGGCATTTGGACTTCATCTTCTATTTTAACCAAAGAAAGGGCATTTGGACTTCAGGAGATGATGAGCTGTGGAGGAAGTGACTAGGAAATGCTTAGGAAAACCAAGGGAAAGGAAGGTTGTTTTAGTTAGGGTTGTTTATGCAGACTCAACCCAGTGCTGACTCTTTCCTACAGTAATATTCATTCTCCTCTCCCTGAATTGAGAGAGTGGATGCCTCCACAAATGAAGGGAAGAAGAGGTAAGATAGTAAGAGACCTGCAGAGAACTCTCCCTGCATCTGTTTCTTGGTTGCTTTCAGCTCACCATAAACCTTATGACAATGGGTCATATTGGGGGTAACATACTTTGGTCCTCTTCAAAGGACATGAAACTTTTGTGTATTCCCCAGGTGATGTCCTATGCATCATTGTAGTTATGCAAAGGAGTTATGGAGAGCCAACATTTACTGGCCACCTTCTTCTGTGTGATCTTTATTGTGTGGTTTTATTTGTTTTGTATAATTGCCTAACAAGGACAGAAGCTAAATATTACTTGCAAATTCGTCTCAGACATGAGAAAGTTTGGACTCAGACTTAAAACAACTTGACCAAGCTTAAACACTAAGAAATAGGAAGTAGAATTTTAACCTTTCTTGCTGTGTTCCACTCTAAGTGTTTAACCACCAGACCCCATAGACTATAAGAATCATAGCATGGTTCTCACACCTTAGGTAAAGGACTTGCTTGGTTCATGGCTCATATGAATCCTTCCATTTTCCATTTCTAGCTATTTGTTGACAACTAAACTTCATTGAGTCTTTTCTCTTTGCAGGATGTTAATGCCTGACTTATAGGTTGCTTAGTTTTCTTCCCTTTTTTTCCTTTATTTGTTTTTTAGACAAAGAGACAAACAGAGAGAAGGAGAGAGGAAAGAGAGAGGAAAAGATCTCCCATTTATGGGTTCGTTTCCCAAATGCCTGCAACAGCTGTGGTTTAGCCAGGCTGAAGCCAGGAGCCTGGATCAATCTGGGTCTCCCATATGGATGACAGAGACTCAAATAGTTTGGTATCACTTACTGCTTTCCAGTGTGTGCATTACAGGAAGCTAAAATTGGAAACAGAACCAGGATTCAAAGCCAGGCACTCTGATAAGAGATGCAGTCATTCCAAACAGCATCCTTAATCACTGTGCCAAATACCTGCCCCCAGCTGTTGAGAAAGTTGAGTGAGAGCAGGCACAAATCATACCTATAGAAGTTACAGCAAATAGTGGGAGTACTCATATGAGATAACACATGAATAGAGCCAAAGGAAGGGAGGGAGGGAGACCTGATATTAATTAAGGGAGAACAATACAGGCACAAAGCCCCTGAGCTTGGGGCAAGCTCAGCAGTGTGTTCTGGGGATGGATAAGATCTGGAGAGGCATGAACTAGGAGGAAAAGAGATCCGGAAATAAAGATCAGAGTAATGGGAATTGGGATTTGTGAGCTGTGCTGATATCTTTATTTATTTATTATTTTACGTTTTACAACTTTATTTATTTGAAAGACAGGGTGACTGAAAGAGGGAGAAACGGGTAGAGATCTATCCTCTGGTTTACTCCCCAACTGGCCAAGTTCAGGGCTGGGGCAGTTGGAAGCCAGCAGGCTGGATTTCCATCTGGTCTCTCATGTGATTGGCGGGAGCCTGAGTACTACTGTCTTCCTAGGCATATTAGTGGAGATCTGGATTGGAAACAGAGTGGCTAGGTCTGAAACAAGGGTTCAGATATGGGATCCAGGAATCTCAGGTGGTAGCTTAACATACTGTATCAGCCCTGGGCCTGAATTGTCTAAAAGGTCACTCTAGCTGCTCTTTGGAGAATGAAATTCTTGGGCAAAGGTGGAATCTGAAAGACCAGTGACACAGGCTTTTGTCGTTTTCCTGGAGAGAAAAAGCTGATGACTTGCCTAAGATGGCATCTGTGCACTGGTGAGAAATGATAGGGTTCTGAATTTTGAAGGTAGAGGTTTTGGCCTTGCTGGGTGGCAGTGTGTAAAAGAGAAGGGTTAAGACTGGCTCCCAGATTCTCATTCTTGGCAACTGAAAGAGCCTTTGTGCTCAGCTGGAGGAAAGAGGAGGGGACATAGTGTGAAGATGACCCTACCTATCCCCTGGCCTTTCTTCAGAATAGTCATCCCAGTTCTGCCTTTGTCCCTCTTTTATTTATTTTTTTTTTGAAGATGAGTAGAATTAGACACAAATAAAGATATGTAGGAGATCCTGTCCTTTGAGATAAATATGACCTTGGAGGAACAGGTGAAAGAAGTGAGACACAGAGAAACATTAACATTGCATGATATCACTTAATCATAGAATCTAAGACACCCAAGCTAGAGAAACAGCACAGAATCGTGGTTTCCAGGGTCTGAGGTGTGTGGGTATTGGGAAGGTGTTGATCAAAGGGGACAGACTTTCAGTTATAGGACAAACAAGTTCTGGTTATGTAAGATACTTCAGTGGTGTCACAGTTATCCCTGCCTATACTCAAAATTTGCCAAGAGAGTAGGGGTTAAGTATTTTACCACACAAGATAACTATGGAAGGTAATAGATATGTTGATTACCTGACTGTGGCCTTCATTTCACAGTGTATATGTATCCTACAGCCTCACATTTAATACCTTAAATTTCTGTCAGTTATACCTTAATATAGTCATACCAAAAAAAAAAAAAACATGGAGTTAGGGTGATTGTTCCAACTTGAATTTGAAATTCACATATGTGTGCAATTCTGAAATTCTCTTCTTCCTTTTTATAGATAGTCAAGTGTTTTCCTGGGGGAAAAACAGCCATGGTCAGCTGGGCCTGAACGGGGAGCTCTGCTGGCAAGTCAGCCCACAGAGGGTGAAGTCCCTGCAGGGGATCCCCATGGCTCAGGTGGCAGCCGGAGGTGCTCACAGCTTTGCCCTATCTGTCTCTGGGACTTCATTTGGCTGGGGAAGCAACAATGCAGGTCAGCTGGCCCTCAGCGGGAGTCATGTCCTTGGTAAGGAGTTGGCCTCACTCTTGCAGTCAATCATAATTTCTTTCCAAGTGAAGCACAAACCCAGCAGAGGGCCATCTTCAAGATAAAATAGTAGCTCCCAAGCTGTATGGCATGTGAGAATATTCTGGGGTGTTAGGCTGGGTCCCTCTAGCTGACACAACTTTTCCCAAACTCAGTGTTAGGAAACAAGCCCAATTCCTTTTTGTTTTCTTGCCTTTTCAACTTCTGGATATTTCCCTTATTCACAGCCCTTCCTTCCTCAAGGCTAGTGATTCCTGACTTAGTCTTGCTCAACTCTTGCTCAAGAATTAACTTAGTCTGATGTTGAGTTTTCCAGCTTCCTTTTCCTCACTTAAGGGATCCTTGGGATTACACTGGAACCACCTGCTTATGCCAGATTAATCTCTCTGTTTTAAAGCCAGCTAGCTAGTAATTTTTATTCCATATGCCTCTTTATTGCCCCTCTGCCCTATTCCCTAACACATGCACAGGCTCCAGGGTTAAAAGGTGAGAGGTTATTTTTTTTCAAAGATGTATTTTATTTTATTTTATTTGGAAAGGCAGATATACAGAGAGGAGAGACAGAGAGGAAGATCTTCCGTCCAATGATTCACTCCCCAAGTGAGCGCAAAGGCCGGTGCTGTGCCAATCCGAAGCCAGGAGCCTCTTCTGGGTCTCCCATGCGAGTGCAGGGTCCCAGGGCCTTGGGCTATCCTGGGCGTGCAAGGCGAGGACCTTAACCACTGCGCCACCGCGCTGGGCCCGAGATGGGAGGTTATTATGGTGTCTACCACAGGATCCGTTAAAAGCTCAGATGGTTGGTTTCCATGCCACTTAAACCAAAATGTCTGGGGGAAGGCATCAGTGGATAGTCAGGATGTCACAGGTGATCCCAAGTGCAGGAGAGTTTAGGAACAACATTGCTAACCTTGGTTCCTCTAAAGACAAGACTCACCACGGGACAGTCTCCCAGAAAAGCCCATCCTCCTCAGTTTGATTGTGTATGTTCACCCAGCATGCACTTGGCACCTAATATGTGCCTATACCTATTGGAGCACTTATTTCATTGAACCCTCTCATGGACAGGTAGATTCTCCTGTGAACTCACTTTTTATTCCCTATTTTCAGAGCTCCTACTTTGTAATAAAGACACACCACAGTGTCAGTACTCTGAGGGCTGAAGGTCTTGAGGCTTAGTTTATTAGGTCAGTAGCCTCAGCTATTCCAAAACACTCCAGAAGAACTTCCGGAAATAGATGCTGAAGGGTGCTTGCTTTTGATCTTTTTCGAAGCACAGTGTTCTGTCTGTATTATCCTTCAATCTTGCCCTTTAAAATTGTATCGAAAGTATAAAAGTATAAACAGGCAGTCTGAGTCAGTTCTTGTGCTTTCTTCTGCCAGCACAAAGCCCCAAGCCTCGTTCCATTGGCGCCCTGCAGACACTTGGAGTGGTTTTCATCAGCTGTGGTTCTGAGCATACGGCAGTGCTCACTCAGGTAATATGCCTGCGTTGCTATTTTTTTTTTTTTTTTTTAGAATCCCAAAGCATTATTGACAAGGTACTTAAGGTGCCAATTATGGTGGAAAGAAAGACATCTGGTCAGACTCTTTTACCCAGCATGCTACAAACAGTAGCCTATAAACGTAAAAATGTGTTTCACATAGTTGTGGAGGCTGGCAGGTTGTGAGCAAATTCAGTATCTGTGAGACCCAGCTTTCTGATTCCTAAACCACGGTGTTTTTGATTGTGTCCTCGTCTCAAGGAAGGGGTGAGGAGTTTCCCTGGGACTCACACTGCCTCATCTCCAGATGTCACCACACTGAGGGCTAGGGTTTCCATATGGACTTTGGCTGGGCATAAACATTGAGACTGAAGCATAAGATGTAAATCAGTTCATCTTGTGAATATCTAAAAATGAGAAATGAATCAAATTTAAACCATGAGAGTTTTCAAGATCTTATCACCAAAGCTACTTTCAGCTTTGATAATAGTTTTAGTTATCTTCTAAATGAGATGACTGTAGGAGCTAGTGCTCTTAGTTCATGGATAATGTACTTCTGCAGATAAACATGATCACAGAAGCAGCAAAACCATTTTTGCATCTTTTCATAACCATTTTTAGAGACTAGAACATGCTTCCTTCCATTTCGTACTTGGCATAATCATTTCTCGGGTTCCTAATATTTTCTTACCCTTCTTGCCCATGTTCCAAGGGGATAAACTCTACATAACCCTAAAAAGCAGACTTAAGAACCACTTGTATAGTTGAAATGTTTGACTTGAAAATATATGCTTCCACTTCTGTTGTATGTTTTAAGTTAGGAAAACTGCAGTTGTCTGGATTTTATTGTTTTCAGTTGGTAGGAGAAAAAAATTGTTTTTGGTCATTGAATCATCTTTTATGCATAAATATTGGTGCTACCTTGAATCAATTCATTTTTCCATCTATTCACTCACCAAGCATTTGCTCTGTGTCATGTTCTTCCCCAAACCCTGGTTTTATTGTGGTATAATGGCAAATACAAGATTGTATGTATTTATAGTATGTATCGTGATGGTTACACACACACACAGACAAATTGTGAACTGATAGCATTGTATCACCTCACCTAATAATCCCTTCATGTGTAGTGAGAATCTTTAGGATCTACTCTTAGCAATTTTCAAATGTTATTAATATTATGATTATCCATAGTTCACCATGCTATAGAGTGTATCTTCAGAGTTCCTATTTTTTTTTTTTAATTTTAGTTGTAAGGCTTAGTTATAAAGAGAGAAAGAGAGACAGGGAGTGAGAGAGAGAGATCTTCCAATCACTGGCTTACTCCCATAAATGAATGCAACAGCTGGAATTGGGCCAAGCTGAAGCCAGGAACTTCGTGTGGATGCAGGGGCCAGAGTTCTTGGGTGATCTTTTGCTGTTTCCCCAGGCTCATTAGCAGTAAGCCGGATTGGCAGTCAAGCATCTGGGTATCAAATCAGCACATATATGGGTTGCTGGCATAGCAGATGGTGGTTTTACATGCTATTTCACAATGCTGACCCTAAGAGTTCCTGGTTTTTAAAGGGAATGCCAAGGATTTTACATGTTTGATATGTTAACCCTATATTTGCTAGTAGAAATTATAAAGAATCATCTTATTTATTTCTCCAGTATTAACTAGTACATGAAACTTGACATATAAACTTCAGTGGCCTTTTTTTAATCCAAAAACTAATTTGAGTCCTTATTTTCAAAACAGGATGGGAAAGTGTTCACATTTGGAGACAATAGTTTTGGACAGCTGGGATACAGCTCCACTGCTGAGAAGAAGGGTCCACAACTCGTGGAAGGAATCGCTGGGCAGGTTTCACAAATAGATTGTGGAAGGTAACAGCCTTTATTTACTTCTGAAGCTGCTTTAAAAGTGACATGTTTTGTTACTTAAGAATGACTCATATAGGGCCCGGCGGCATGTCCCAGTGGCTAAAGTCCTCACCTTGAACACCCCAGGATCCCATATGGGCGCTGGTTCTAATCCCGGCAGCCCTACTTCCCATCCAGCTCCCTGCTTGTGGCCCGGGAAAGCAGTTGAGGATGGCCCAAAGCTTTGGGACCCTTCCCCCCGCCCCCCCGCCCCCCCGCCCCTCCCCCCGTGGGAAACCTGGAAGAGGTTCCTGGTTCCCAGCTTCGGATCAGCGCAGTACCGGCCATTGCACTCACTTGGGGAGTGATTCATCGGACGGAAGATCTTCCTCTGTCTCTCCTCCTCTCTGTATATCTGACTTTGTAATAAAAATAAATAAATCTGGGCCCGGCGTGGTGGCGCAAGTGGTTAAGGTCCTCGCCTTGCACGCCCAGGATCCCATATGGGTGCCGGTTCTAATCCCGGTGGCCCCACTTCCCATCCAGCTCCCTGCCTGTGGCCCAGGAAAGCAGTCGAGGACAGCCCAAAGCTTTGGGACCCTGCACCCGTGTGGGAGACCCAGAAGAGGCTCCTGGCTTCGGATCAGCATAGCATGGGCCGTTGCACTCACTTGGGGAGTGAATCATTGGACGGAAGATCTTCCTCTCTGTCTCTCCTCTCTGTATATCCGCCTTTCCAATAAAAAAAAATAATAATAAAAATAAATCTTAAAAAAAAAGAACAACTCATGTAGAAAGTAGTCAAGCCTGAAAATACAAAAAATTATGTGGTATCTCTTTGATTATTTAAGAGGCATAGGGACACCAGGACAATGACAGAGACAGAAATGGAGAAAAAGGAAGAAAGGAAAGGAGGAAGGGAGGGAGAGAGAGAGAGAGAAAGAGATATCTCTCCTTTGATGGTTCATTCCCCCAAAATAACTGTGATGTTCAGTGCTGGTCTAGACCAAAGATTGGAACCAGGAATCCAATCCAGGTCTCTCTTGTAAATGTCAGAAACCCAATCACTTGAGCTATCACTACCGTCTCCTTGGGTCTGCATCAGCAGGAAACCAAATCCAGAATATGGGATGGGAATTGGATTCAGGAACTTTGGTGTAGGTATGGCTATCTTAACTGACATTTTTTTTTTTTACTTCTTTTTATTATTATTATTTTATAATACAGTTCCATAGGCCCAGGGATTTCCCTTATCCCATCCCTAATTCCCTCCCCACTTCCTGAGCTCCCCTATATCATTACCATGGTACAATTCCCATACACAGTCACATGTCCATCATTGAGGGCATGGACAATAGCGGAGTCCAGCATCCTATTGTCAGGATATAGTAAAAAGTTTCACTGGGAGTTCATTTTTGTCTGAAAGTAGAGATATATACTGCATTGTATCCTCACATCTGGATATGATAGTCTCTGTTACACAGTTACTATACATCCCCTTCAGTAATGTTCATTGTGCCTTTGTCTCTTCCTTTGCTCTTGGTCATTATACTTCCGGTTATCAGATTTTTCTCCTTGGGGCAGGTTTCTAAGCTGTGTCACTAACACGTCTACAGTTCTATTTTATTGCAGTTGGTACATGGCTCTTTGTTTGTACCACTTCCTCCAGCAAGTTCCAAGTCTGGGGTCTTATGTTAGATTTCCACCATGGTCTCCTTAGCCCCAGTTCCTGGCTTACCAGTCTCCACCTCCTGTGATACCGTGCTGAGGCTGCAGCGTTGTCTGTACAACCTTTCTCTCACTTTTGGTTGGAGAAGATCCCAGGATTAAGGAGACACCAGATGCCCTATATAGCTAGGTTGTTGGTGGTGCTGCTCTTGCCAGAACCTGTTGGCCATTAGGTCTGAGGGCCACATGGACCTATTTTGACCCATATGATGCCATAGTCGGTATTTTCCAGTGGAACCAGTACAATTGCTCTGACCTTAGTGAGTTTTCGCCGAGCTCAGCACATACATAGCTCACTGTTGTCCTTGCAGTCTTTAATTCTTTGCAACACTGTACAAAATGGCGCCTGATGTGCCATTACTAGAGTTCTTGATCTGCTGGCTATCAGATCTGAGAGCTACCCAGTCCTCTCTTGGGCGGAACCTGTTGTTGCAGTTTGCTGAGTCAGAATGAGTTCACTCCCAGCTCAGGGTATGCTCAGTCCTTTCCCTTGCCTTTGCCTCCTTAGGCAAAAAGGTTCCCAGTTCGGCTCTAGGGGGCTGACTGGGCTATGAAATCCACTCTGTTCTCGCACTGCCCTTCTGGGATCTGCTGCTCTGTCTCTTCTCCTGGTCAAATCAAACAGACCAGCAGGAAGGACAGTTCTTTGTCTGGGTTTACCTTCCAAGCTTCCAGTGAAAGTCCCTTCCCGCCTTGTTGTTGGTGGACTTCCGGTTGCTGGTGGAGTTCAGATTGCTGTTAGCTGAATGCTGCTGGTGTATCAGTCACTGGAACACCACACCATTGTGTCCACTGCTTCCCTGTGTCTGTCAGTCTCCAGGTACCCCTTTGCTGTTGTTCTGTCCTCTCCTATTTCCTGGAATGTGCCCTCTCTGCTTCACCCTGGCCAGTATTGCTCCATCTGTTTAAACATGTCCTTACCCTATTCTGCCATCTTGATTCTCTCTTAACTGTCATCTTAACCACTAAACTAAATACTTGCCCCATGTCTTTTCTTTTTTATTTTGAAAAAATTACTTGTTTCAAATACAGTTCACTTCCTCCTGTTTTTCTTCTTGACCTTTCTATGAGAAATTTTTTGAACTCTATTGCTGAAAGGTCACCCTACTAAGTTCTGGAGAGTAGGGGTTGGTTGGTAACAAAAATAATGATGCTTGCCCTGCTTGAGTAGATAAGACAAAGTTCATCTCATCATGAGGAAAGATGATTGAATATTTGCCTACATAGAGTGCTGTGTAACCTATTTGTGGGGGCACTTGGACTATTTGAGTTTATCCAGTGCATTAAGAAAAATATTGGATCTAAAATGCAAATGACAGAAACCATGAACATGCCTACCAATAATGTTCTGTCTTTAAGATGAACACTGAATTTATATTCATTCACCATCTGTTTAGCCACATCATTTGGTGCCCTCTGATATTGATGCTGTGATGGGTAACTGAGTTCTTAGTAAATGTGCCACATTTGATGATAAATGACAATGTCTTTCTCAAAACCCATGAGTATCCTGGTCTCATTATAGCATATCCTTTCTCCTACAGTTATCACACTCTGGCATTTGTCTACACCAGCGGTCAGGTGGTCTGTTTTGGTCGTGTAACAAGTGACACAAGCAACCCGGCTCCTGCAGAGGACATAACAGAAGACTTTAGTATTAGGTGCCTGATTTCTGCTGACGGTATGAGCTGTCCCACGTTTTCATGATTTTGTGTTCCTTGTTGTCTTTGGAGAAGAAACATTAATCTACTTTCTTTCTCTGTTACAAAATTACTTTTTAAATTTTTATGTGTTTGAAAAGTAGAGAGACAAAGGCAGAGCAAAATCTTTCCTCTACTGGCCCACTCCCCAAAAGCCTGGCCCTAGGAAGCTTAATCAAAAGCAGAGCCAGGACTCAACATGGGACACAAATGTCCCAAGAAGCATCCTAACCTGTCTGTCAAATGCCTGCTCCCAAGTCACTTCCTTTCAAAGGAACACCTAGAGCCAGAGTCCTTCAAGGACTTCCTTTTTTTCAACTTCCACCTTGCCTTTTTTTCATATGCAGTAATTTCTCATGTATTTGGTAATCATTTGTAAAGATTGAAGTGATACTAAAGATCTTAAATAGTGACTTAAGCACCATGATAACTCACTTAAAATTTTTCGTTTTTAATTTGAAAGGCATACAAAGAAGATAGACTTGCAGTTTTTTCTGCTAGTTCGTGGTCCCAACGTCAGTAATGGCCAGGAATGGCCAATAACTGGGAACTCAGTTCAAGTCTTTTACATGTGTGGGAGGAACCCGGTTTCTTTAGCCATCACTTACAATGTCTCATCATAAATAGAACAGAAAGCTGGCATAAGGAGCTGGAGCTGGGGTTTGAACATAGGTACTCTGATCTTGGCCTTTTAACCCTTGTCTTAACTGCTAAGCCAGATTCCTGCCTCTCAATGTATACTCGTATAAATTTAAGCAAACCTCTTCTAATGCACATCAGGCTGTCCTCATTATGCAACTTTATGGAAAACTGAGATTCCAATTAAATGGATATATGATGTGATCAGATAAAAATTAATCTTTTGTGATACTTGTAGCCAAAATTCATGTTAGGAAAGTATAAATTGCTAATAAACAAATTTGACTTGGTAATGAATCATTTATTTCTTACTTTTAAAAACTCTAAACTTGGATTTATAACTTTCTTTTAGACCTGGTGGATGTTCAAGTCAAACACATTTTTGCTGGAACATATGCTAATTTTGTAACAACCTGTCAGGTACCTAATACACTGTTTATTTTTAAAACTGCATTTCTCTATAGTTTCAGAGCATTATTTCAAACATTATTTGTCTGCATTTAGATTTTTTTACTAAAAAGAATAAGGTACTCTGTTACAATGCTTTTCAAAATATATGAGCAATTTCTGCTTTCTCATTTGTTAAACTTCTTTCAGATATGAACCCAAATGCAAATTCATTGCTTCTGTACTAGCATCTTTCTAGTAAGTAATAATAGTTATAAAGGTAATGATGATAATAGCATTAATGATTAACATTAACTGCAATAACCATGTATCAGGCACCAAAGTGTTTCAGTTGGATCGGGCCAGCCATGTGGGATGGGGCCAGGTTGAAATGTCCCTGGAGAGACGATCTAGAAGCTAAAGTGGAGATTGGCTTTGCTATGTAGGTATTTTCAGCCAAGGTACTTAAAGCTAAGTAAGGTAAATATGCGGAAAGGATGGGGCAGAATCAAGCACTATCAGATTTCTGCATGAGAAGTCAGGTGCTGGAGAAGGAACCAGGAAGGAACTCCTAGAGGGTAACCCAGGGAGGGTTGGCTCATCAGGTTGACAGAAGAAATGAGCGGGGAGCCTGCAGCCTATGGACCCTGTGAGGGCTGTGGAATCATTGGGTCTGGCTCTGTCATGGCACCTGCAGGCAGGACTTGAAATTCATAAAATCTCTAAGCAGGCTGATTTATAATTTGCTAAATCTGTGTGGCCGGCAAATGGGGTTCTCAGCATCCAAACAGCTCTTGGGCAAACAGAGGCTCCCTACTCCTGCCAGGAGGAGGAAAGTTCAGAAGACATGAGACACAATTGAGAAATCAGGCAAGGGTAGTACAGAGAGTTGGTTTCTGTCTTACTAAGCTTGTGTTGCTTTAGCAGAGAGAGGATGAAGACTTGCAGACCAGAGGGAGATGCACAGAGAGGAAGCTAGTGAGTGGAAAGGATATCTGGGCCAACTCTGAAAACTGGAAAGGGATGGAAAATAAAGAACCAGAGCGGCGTCTCTCATGGTACTTGGGAAAGTGAACAGTGGAGGAAGCAGTATCCTGAAAAGGCATGAGGAGGCTAACTCCAGTGCAAAACTGATGGCTTTGAGCAGAAATCTCCCTCCCACTGATCAGAGGAACAACACCAGTGAGGAAAGGTGGATGGTGGGAGGAGATTACTGGGATATTCTCGGTGAAACATGAGGTAGGGTCCCCACCTGAGTGTCAGAGAGGCAGAGGAGTGCAGCAGAAGTGAAAGGAGAAAAAAGCTGCATGCGAGTGAGAAAGCAGATGTTCTTGAAAAGAATGAGGCTCGTTTCAGATCTGTGTGCATTAACTTAAGATGACGCCAGTCAGCACAGCTGTGCAGTTCCCTCTTGGGATGAGCCCTGAGTGGTTTCCTGTGTGTGTGTTTGTGTGTGTGGTCTTTCATGTGCTACTTTACTCCCCAAATGGTCATATCAGCCAAGGCTGGATCAAAATGAAGACCAGAACCAAGAATCCATGATGGTCTCCCATGTGTGTGCCAGGGGCCCAAGGACTCTGGCCATCTTCTGATGCTTCCCCAGCCCATGAGAGGGAGCTAGATTGAAAATGGAGCAGGCAGGACTCAGACAGGTGCCAATATGGAATGCCATCATCTCAGAACAGCTTTACCTGCTGCACCACAATGCCAACCCTGAAGTGCTATCTACAGTTTTCAGTGAATGAAGGGGAATGACCTAGATATTGTGTCATGATTACAAAAAAATGGGAGGACAACACAGGACTCAAACCAGATATCAGACCAATGGGACTCGGGTCTTGAGCAGCATCTTAACCACTGCGTCAAGTTTCTGCCCCATCATCATCTTGTTGTGGATAATGCTTTCATGAGTATTGATCAAGAATTAGCTTTTGAGGCCCTGGTTTCAATTGTTTTGTGTTATCTTTTTTTTTTTTTTTAATGATAAACTGAGGTTCAGACTAAGCAATGTAACCCAGGTCAGGAAGTAGAACAGCCAAAACAATCTATGCCAGGCTGCCTCCAGCAAACACCCACCTGAGTGGCAGTACCAAATGATTTGCCATTTCATCTCTTACTCAGCGTGTGTGTGTGTGTGTGTGTGTGTGTGTGTGTGTGTGTATGGTCATTTCTGTTTTTTTCTTCCTTGAAGGATGTTGCTTCCACAACTGTTCCCAGGAAAAACCTTCCAGAAATAAGCCGAATTAATCAAGCTCTGATAAGAAAATGCACAGAAGTGAAAAGAAGAAGCGATGAACAAGAGGCTAAAAGGTGACTCTCCCTGATCAATCAGAAATCCCTCTTATCTGTTCCTGAAGCCTTGATCATTTTACTGTAGACTAAGAAAGGGGCGTTTGCACTTTAACCATGATTCTCTTCCAACATCTCTTAGGTTCAATAGATCGTTGATGTATGCAGCCATGTACTTTTTATTTAACAAATAAAAAATATATACTGCATACATATGATAGCACAGGTACTTTATTAAGGTGAGAGGAGTTGGAGAGAATAAAAAAACTCCCAAAACTGCAGTAATGTGGGTTGTTTTCATATCGTTGTAGTTTGCTCTCTGAAGTTTTCGGAGTTCTGACCTCCAAAATTATGAATTTTCTTTATAAAGAGCTTTTGTGAAATTTAGCAGTTATTTGTACAATGTGTAATTGGAATTTAGAAGACTATTTAAACAATAATTATCTTCATTAGTAATGTTTCCATAGTATTTATTCAGACATGAGATTAAAGAAGACATGATTTAGAGAATTTTGACTTAACTATTGCCATTACTTTTTCAGGGAAATTAGAATGATCTTTTCATCACCTGCTTGTCTAACTGCAAGTTTTTTAAAGAAAAGGTATTATTTATATGAAATTATCCTATGTTTAAAATCATGGGAATATTTAAAATGGATAGTTCCTAATGTTTCTAGTTGCTTTTGTGAATTTTGTTATCTATATGCAAAAAGTCCTGCCTAGAGATTGTTAATAATCACTTTATGATGGGATTTGCTGAGACCACCACAAGCTGTGATTACTAATAAACATCTTGTATTTCCTCTGAACTCTCTTCTGCTGTTATCTGACTAGATCAAATGACATTTAAAAAAATGATTTTATTTATTTGAAAGGCAGAGCTACAGTGAGAGGGGGAGGGAGGGAGAGAGAGTCTCTGCATTTACTCCTCTAATGGCAAAGGGAGGGAGCAGACCAATCCAAAGCCAGGAGCCAGAAATTGTGTCTGGATCTCCCCACCCCACATAAGGGCAAGGATAGGCACTTGGTCCGTCTTCTGCTGCTTTCCTAGGCACTTTAGCAGGGAGCTGGATGGAAGTAGCTGGGGAACTGGAACAGTCAGGACTCAAACCAGCACTCATATGGAATCCTGGTGTCAGAAAGGCAGCTTAACCCCTTGGACCCCAATGTAGATGTCCCAAAGTCCTGAATGATGTTTTTTCAGAATTTGTGTATTCACAATGGATTCATTTAATCTGATATTGCTTTAGTTACTTAGATGCCAACAGTGAACATCATTATGTATCATTCTGTCTGTGAGAACGATAAGGAGAATGGGTCTTGTTTTACTATAGAGGAAAATATAATTTTACTTCTGGTAGCTTGGCATTAAAAGGTTCTGCATGTTGTGCTTCCTGCTGGCCACTGAATGGTACTCAGTTGATCCTACCATCTCTTGTGCCCACAAAACTTTCGTTAGTGTAATTGGTTCTTAATCCAGGGACAGTTCAAGTCAGCTTGGGGGCCTGGCTGAATGGTTGGGGCCTAACAGCTTCATCTGAAAAGCCCAGGAAAGCTAACTGCCACAGCTTCTCAGTAGCAGCTTCTTTACATATTATCTTTATAGAATCCAAAATGGAATCCCTGTTTACCTATGTTGATCCAGCCAAAGACAGGAAAATATGTTACTGAGAGAAGCAGGTCAGCTATTTGATGGCTACAGAAGTCAAGTGGTGACACAGGCTTTGGGTTCTCTTTCATTGCTGGCCAGGAAAAGGAGACAAGTGGTGTGGCCTGCCTCCTAATAGTGGTCTGAAAGAAAGTTTCATGGATTTGGTTAGAAATGCTGGCAAGGGAGGCTCTGACCTGGTGGGCTTGGAATCAGGCCATTTATGGTAAAATTTAATAAGATGGGTTCAGACATGGGATTTGCTAATTCATCAGACTCCTGGCTCTGAAAGGGCTCTGGTACATGTAAGTTCTGGTCCTACTTATGTCTGTTTGGTTTTGTTTTCTGTGTGTACCCATGTTCTTCTGCACATGAACAACCATGTCCCAAGTGGCTCCCTTTAAAATAGAAACTTTGTAAGGTATCATCAGACCTTCATGGCTGAAACCTATTCTTCAAGCACAGTCCAGAAATAGTAGGTTGGCAGAAACAGGAGGTTTTTGGGTTTCTGGGGTGTCAAGAGGAAACCCAGTTAAAGAGAACTCTGGTTTCAAAACCAGAACACTGCTTGCCTCTTCTTGGGGCCTTCTCATCTTCCATTTACTGTCCTCTCTTTGTTACTCTCATACACTGGAAAGGGGAGACAGTTCTAGATAATGGATTATATTTCTTCCCCACACCAACAGCAGGAAACACTTTATACATTTGGTGGTCCAGCACTGTGGCACAACAGGTTAAGCCACCATCCAGTAGTGCTCCAGCTGCAATCCAGCTCCCTGCTAAAGTGCCTGGGAAAGCAGCAAAGATGACCCAAGTGCTTGGGCCCTAACACATGTTTGGGAGACCAGAATGGAGTTCCTGGCTCCTGCCGGCCACCATTTGGAAAGTGAACCAGTGGATGGAAGAGTTCTATCTTACCCTGTTTCTCTGTAACTCTGTTTTTCAAATAAACAAATATTTTAAAAATAATATTATCTTTCAAAACAAAGTATTCATGCATGTTTCCCAGGAGTGATGAATTCTTAAGATGCCAAAAGCTGTAAAGAAGAATACATTTTAAGGAGAAACTTACAAATCTTTGACTACATGCACAAACATTTTAGCCCCGGTACTTTTTCTTGATGATCTATTATTTTAAATATTATTGGACTTTTTAAATATCACTCAAAATAGCCTGTGGATAAGACGCTCAGTGAGATCACCATACCTAGGCAGTGCTGCCTTGTTGGAGAGGGAGACTGGGAACTTGATGGGTTTTGGGTAAATATTCAGCAATCCAGAATGGGTGGAAACACCAAAGTAAGGACTTGAAGGAATGGGATTCCTTAAAGAATCTTTGGGCCCAAACTCTCTATTGCTGTATCTATTGAAGAGTCAATGAATCTTTCAGAAAGTTCATATAATGAACGCACAAGGGCTTCTGAAAGAGTAAAGTCATGCTAATGAAAACAGTGGAACTGCAAAGTTAGATCAATGTAAATAGTGGATGTGGTTGGTAGTTTCAATTCTTAGTATACCAGGCATGTGTAAGAGTAGATGGCTTCTTCAATGATAAGAGTTAGCAAATACAACTGTGCTAATATTTCATCCCAAACTTGATTTTACTAATACTGAGATAATAATTGTTCTCTCTTAACCATGAAAATATAAAATTTATAAGTTTTACTGTGTCAAGTGAGTTCATGATTTTGAAATGAAGCAAGCTTTTAGAAATTCCATCTTTTATATAATAAAATAAAGCAACAAATTTCCTCATTTATAAATATTCCCTTCCATCTGTTTATATGATTTTTTTTTTTTTACATTTCTTGTCACAGGGAAATGCAAAAAAACTTTTCCATTGATGTGGACCTAGAAATGGCAGGAGACATCTTCAGGAAGTTAACAGGACAGAAATGGATTTCGTCTATGGTAAATAGCCAATAATGAGAAAGAAAATAACTTCTTTATGAGAGGTGCCATGACTGTAGTCTTTCTGCTCAGGCTAGAAGAGGGGGTCTAGTGTTCATCATGAGGTTTCTATGTTCTAGACATTGTGTCTCCCACATGGGTGCCAGGCACTCAACTACTCGAGCCATCATCACTGCTTCCAGTCTGTGTTAGCATGAAGCTGGAGTCTGGAGTTGTGTCTGCACCATGGACACTCTGAAATGAGACACAGGCATCTTAAGCACTATACTAAATACTTGCCCAAGTTTGTGTTTTCATTTTGTTTTCCATGATCTCTTGGGAGCTCCCTTGTACTCAGGTCATGGTTACAGGACTGTCCCTGTTAGAGCTCTGTTAGTTGGGACCCCTATCCCGGGTTCACTCATAGAGAGAGTTCTTGTGCATGTGATTTCGCTCTTTTGTCTCCATGCATGCTGGTGTACAATGGGGTGGGTGGCTCTCACACACCAGCTCAGGGCATCTGGGATGCACTAAGGTGTGGCGTTTCACCAGTAGGTTTCAGAAAGACCAACTGATGACTTCCCTTGGAAATGGTCAAGTGAAACCTGTGCTCTCAGAGCTTGTTTCTCAGACTATGTTCCATGTGGAATTTTTTTTATTCTGATCCTGTTCCCATGACAGATAACAACATGTCTTCAGGAAGATCTCCTCAGAGCTCTCCCTTACCGTTCTCCACACCAAGAAGCTTTGTTAATTTTCCTTCTGCTCCCAGAGTGTCCTGTGATGTGGGACCCTAACAATTCAAATGAGCTGGTGGTTCCGTTCGCAGAGGCTGTTTGTGAAATGAATAACAAGTCTTTAAAAATCCTGAGTAAGTTTCATGTCATATTATCTTTTTTTAAAAAAAAATGTATTTATTTTTATTGCAAAGTCAGATATATAGAGAGGAGGAGAGACAGAGAGGAAGATCTTCCGTCCAATGATTCACTCCCCAAGCAGTTGCAACAGCTAGAGCTGAGCCAATCTGAAGCCAGGAGCCCAGAGCATCTTCTGGGTCTCCTACACAGGTACAGGTCCCGAGACTTTGGCCGTCCTCAGCTACTTTCCCAGGCCACAAGAGGGAGCTGGTTGGGAAGAGGGGCCACTGGTATTAGAAGCAGCGCCCATATGGGATCCTGGCGCATTCAAGACAGGACTTCAGCTACTAGGCTACTGTGCCAGGCCCTGTTATATTATTTTTGTAGAGTTGTAGTCTGAAGTAGAAGGATCACAAATGCTATATAGGAGATGCCAAAAGTACACAAATATGCACATACCCAAGTATACATGGTATAAAAACACTGCAAGGATTTACCGAATGCTATGAAAACCATTATTACTGTTGCACAGAGCAGGTATGGTGGACATGGAAGGTTCTTAGACATGGCTTTGACATCAACTTAATAATTATACACTTTTCAGTGAAGATCACTGTGTACTTTAAAAATTTTTGCTTGCATTATTTTAAAACTTTAGCTGTTTAAAACAGGTGATAAAAAACAAACGTTAAACATTATTATTTACTTTATTCAGTACTCTGAACTACATTTTATTATCTTAAGCCAGTGATGAAGATCCAAAGCTTAAAAGGTAAAGAAGACATGTACAGTAAAATTATAAGGCAACAAGTTCCTGTCCTGAATGGTTACAAATTCTGGTTTCTTGCATAAACTTAAAAAGGTATTCACTATATAGAAACTTACAAAAATGTGTTGTTTAAAAAGAAGGTTATTTATTTGAAAGGCAGAATTACAGAGTATGACAGACAAAGATCTTTTATCTGCTGGTTCCATTGATGTGGACCTAGAAATTGACTCAGGACACATGACATGGCAACTGTCGGGGCAAGGCCAGGCCAGGCCAAGCCAAAGCCAGGATCTAGGAATTTCTTCTGGGTCTCATATCTAGGTACAAGGCCCAAAGCATTCAGGTTTTTTTTTAAATAACTATTTTTTTAAAGATTTATTTTATTTTTATTGGAAAGGTGGACATACAGAGAGGAGAGACAGAGAGGAAGATCTTCCGTCCAATGATTCACTCCCCAAGTGAGCACAACAGCCCCATGCTATGCCGATCCGAAGCCAGGAGCCTCTTCCGGGTCTCCCACGTGGGTGCAGAGTCCCAAAGCTTTGGGCCTCCTTGACTGCTTTCCCGGGCCACAGTCAGGGAGCTGGAAGGGAAGTGGGGCCGCCGGGATTAGAACCAGCGCCCATATGGGATCCCAGGCATGCAAGGCGAGGACCTTAACCACTGTGCCACCGCGCAGAGCCCTTTAAATAACTTTTTTTTAAAAAAAGATCTTATTTTTATTATTTTTTTTTATTGGAAAGGCGGATATACAGAGAGGAGGAGAGACAGAGAGGAAAATCTTCCGTCCAATGATTCACTCCCCAAGTGAGCGCAATGGAGGATGCTATGCCGATCCGAAGCCTGGAGCCTCTTCCGGGTCTCCCACGCGGGTGCAGGGTCCCAAAGCTTTGGGCCGTCCTCGACTGCTTTCCCGGGCCACAGGCAGGGAGCTGGATGGGAAGTGAGGCTGCCGGGATAGAACTGGCGCCCATATGGGATCCTGGGCGTGCAAGGCAAGGACCTTAACCACTTGTGCCACCGTGCCGGGCCCTAAATAACTTTTTAAATAGCAAATTTATGTTTAAAAAATTGTATGCAGCCTACTTTACTACTTTTTTATTGTTTCTAGGTTTGAAAAGCATTCTTCCAAGCACCTGTCTGACCCTGAACTTTTTTTAAGGTTTATTTATTTATGATTTATTTATTTTTGTTGGATAGTTAGATATACAGAAAAGAGGAGATACAGAGAAGATGATCTTCTAATGATTCACTCCCCAAATGGCCACAACAGTCAGAGTTGAGCCGATCGGAAGCCAGAAGCAGGAACTTCTTTCGGGTCTCCCACACAGATGTAACATCCCAAGGCATTGGGCCATCCTCTGCTGCTTTCCCCGGCCACAAGCAGGGAGCTGGATGAGAAACAGGGCCACCAGCATTAGAATTAGCGCTTATATGGGATCCAGGCACGTGCAAGGCGAGGACTTTAGCCACTAGGCTATTGTGCCAGGCCCTAAGGTTTATTTGTTTTTATTGGAAAGGCAGATTTACAGAGAGAAGGAATGACAAAGAAAAAAATCTTCTGCCTACTGGCTCATTACCCAAATGATCACAATGACCCAAACCAAACGATTCTGAAGCCAGAAGCCAGGAGCTTCTTCCATTTCTCCTGCACGGGTGCAGGATACCAAGGCTTTGGGCAGTCCTTTTTTGCTTTCCCAGGCCACAAGCAGAGATCTGACAGGAAGTAGAGCAGCTGGGACATGAACCAAAATCCATATGGGATCCCAGCATGTATAAGGCAAGGATTTAGTCACTGAGCCATCATGGCAGTTCACCTCACCTTGAAATTTTAAAGAATTCTCATGCATCTATTATACTTTTTTTTTTTGGATCAGTTTCTGATTGATCCTACACATTTTAAGATAAACACACATTTATTAACTTTCATGTTATTGGAAATGCAGAGGAACAGACATTAAGAGAGAGCTCTTCCATCCACTGGTTCCACTGGCAGTTTCTGTGTTCATTGTCAGACTTTACAGATACCATATAATGTTGTTTTAAAATCACAAATTTCACATTTCAACCCATGGACAAAGTTCATCCAATTGAGAATTTGAGCTTTCAATTCTGATAACAGTTAAACAGGGAAAACATTTCCCCCCACATCTATGAGAAGTAAGTGTTTTCCAGATGTTGACAGATGGATGGGAGGAGTGGCTGGGGCATGGGAGGACTATATTTATCACAACTGTATTTACTTCTCAGAAAAGTGTTGTGGAACCTTGAAAGAATCTTCTCTGAACACACTGGTCCAGATGCTTAAAACAGCTGTCGTCACTCAGATTAAATCCATTAAACATGATAAAACTGATAAAAACCTGAAAGCTCTTCTAGAAACATTGAAAAAGGTGCATACGGTAAGGGCTCATCTAAAGAAATGTATATACTGCTTTATTAAATTGCAATCTCCTTGGTCTCAGCTAGCTAAAGTCTTTCTTCTTTAAATATTTATCTGTTTGCCAAGTGCACTAGCAAGGAGCTGGGTCAAAAGTGGAAAAACAGGGATTCAAACTGGAATTCCAAAATAGTATAAGGCCATCATAAGCAGTAGCCTGTTAACTGCAGTCTTAGGAAACAAAAACAAAAATAAAAAATCATGAGCAGATAAACATTCTTTAAAATGTAATCTGCTCTCAATATATGCAGGGAACTGATTCTAGAACCAAAATCCATGGATGTTTAAGCACCGTATAATATTTACATATAACCTGTTATCATCTCCTTAACACCTTAAATTACCTTTAGGCTACAATATAAACTACATGTAAATAGTTGTTATATTATGTTGTTTAGGAAATTATGGCAAGAAAAGCGGTATATACACTGCTTCATTACAGATGTGAGATTTCTTTTTCTTTTTTTCTAAAGATTTAGTTATTCATTTGAAAGGAAGAGTTACAGAGAGAAAGCTGGCTAACTTCCCAAGTGACTGCAATGGCCAAGGTTGAGCCAAGTTTTTGTTAGGAGCCTGGAACTTCATTTAGGTCTTCCATGAATATGGCAGGAGCCTAAGCATGCAGTCTTTTTTTTTTTTTTTAGAATTATTTATTTTTATTACAAACTCAGATATACAGAGAGGAGGAGAGACAGAGAGGAAGATCTTCCGTCCGATGATTCATTCCCCAAGTGAGCCCTACAGCCGGTGCTGTGCCAATCCGAAGCCAGGAGCCAGGAACCTCCTCCAGGTCCCCCACACGGGTGCAGGGTCCCAAAGCTTTAGGCCATCCTTGACTGCCTTCCCAGGCCACAAGCAGGGAGCTGGATGGGAAGTGGAGTGGCAGGGATTAGAACCAGCACCCATATGGGATCCTGGCACGTTCAAGGTGAGAACTTTAGCTACTAGGCCACGCCGCCGGGCCCAAGCACACGGTCTTCATCTGCTGCTTTCCGGGATACATTTATTGGGAAATGAATCAAAAGTAGAGCAACCAGGATTTAAACTGGTGCTCTGGTTACAAGCAGTGGTTTAATCCACTGCGCCACAAATGTAACCCCTGTTTTTGTGCCAGTTTAACGCTATCCTAGTTACTGTATCTTTATATTAATGTTAATATGCAATAAAGGTTGAGATCATTTTTCTGATAGTTTGTACTATGTCTAACAAAATAGTGTATGCCAAGTGTATTTGCAGTAACAAATGAGAAAGTGCTAAATTTGCCAAAAGTTTGTTGGCTTTTCTTGGTGTTTTTAGTCTGAAGCTCTAGAAAAAGTTTCCAGTAAACCCAAGCTCTAAGAATTAGTTGACTAATCCTCACTGCCAACATCTTGTATCTTTGACAATATTTTGAAATTAAAATTAGAAAAATTATAGGCAAAAAATGGAAATGATATAGAGCTCTGTCATTATCTGTTCTAGGTATTGATAAAAATCATCCTTTGTATAATATCAATAACTAGCTTAAATCACTTATTGATACAAAATGGAATGCATGTGGTTCTGTTCTCTTTAGGTGAACAAAACTCTCTGCCGACTGCCAGAAAATGCTTTCCACATACTTGAGCTCTCCAACTTCCTTGATACAGAGGTAAATAGATGGCCGCTCGCAACATGCTCTATGGTTAGAATAACATTTGTGCTTATTAAAATGTTCTTGGAAGTGGGGCAGATCACTAGTATGTAGTAGCCTCTAACAAATGGAATTTGGAAATTTCTTCATTGTAATAGTGAAGTCCCCAAATTAGATGATATTTAAAAGCTTAAAAAGATCTTTCACCTATATCTCCAATCTGTTTTCTACAAAATTCAAGGTGATATGGAAATGATTGTTTTTCTTTTCATTATAAAAACAATTCTCTCTATTTTTTTAGGAAACTGAAATCGCTTTCAGTCTCATTTTCAAGGATTTCCCATTTATCTTCGATTTGCTTTCCAAAGTTAGAATACTGCAAAGAAATTCATCGGCCATAAAGCGGGTTTGTTATATGTTTTATTCATATATTTTGTGTTGTTATAGTGAAATCCCCTGGGCAGGGGACTTTATAAAGCAAAGAAGTGCATTTAACTTATGATTCCAGAGGTCTGTGGTGAACATGGTGCCAGCATCCTGACAAGGACGCTCTCTGTACCCTGTTGCATCCCAGCATGGTAGAGCAGAAAGGGAATAGACCATCTGCTGAAGAGGCCAACTACGTGAGGCAGCCAAGCCTTGTCACCTCCTCTCAGGAAAACCAAATTGGTCTCATTCCTAGACCAACATCAATCCCTTCTGAGGCCAGTACCTCCATGATGTAATCATCTCCCATCAGACCACCACCTCTTAAAGATTTCACCATCCCAGCACTACCACACTGGATAATGGGCATACACACTCAAACCATCAGCTGTTTCCTGAGCTTGTTTTGTTTCATATATAAAATTTTCAAACCTACACAATATACAGAGATGTAGTCTAATGAAATTCATCGGCAAGATACACCACTTTGGTATTTTGCCATGATTTCTTCATCTACTGATTTTATTGTGACTGTTTTTGCTAGATTATTGTAAAGCAAGTGGCAGCCTCCATTTCTCTCCACCTCTCTGGGCTCCAGTGCATTCGTTCTGGTTGTCTCAGTCTTGTTTATGCAGTTTCATCAGTGGATTCAGGTGGCAATAGGAAGTCTTCTATTGCAATACTTCTGTCAGTTTTATACATACAAAAGTGCTTATTTAATCATTTTGTACATTGTTTTTCTCGTTAAGTTTGCCTTATAGTGATGTTTCTTTTTTTATTATTTTATTTTGATAATCTTTACATAGTTGATTAGGGCACAAAGGGTCAAAGACTACAGGAAAATGGGTGTGACCATTGTTTCCATATTATTATTACTTCTAGATCTGGGATAAGGGGAGAATAAAGGGAGAAGCCCCACCCATATTATGATGTTTCTAATCTTATCTTTCTCTTCAAAGTCATTAGTTGGAAACTTTTCCTCATCAGTCTGGGATGTTTGCTTGTCCCAATTTTTTTTTTATAATGGTTAGTACTTTCCCTGTAATTATTAAGTGTTGTCAAATTGCCTGGTACAGTTTATACTACCTAAGTTTCTTACCATAGTGCATGAAATGCCTCTTCCACATGTTGCCACCAATGCGGTGTTACCAAATTTTGTGATCTTTCCCAATGTGATGATTTAATCATAATTCAACTTAACTGGAAAAAAATCTATTTATCTGAGAGGTAGAGAGACAAAGACAAAGAGCTTCAATTGCAGCTTCATTCCCCAAATGCACCGAACTGACCCCTAGCTGGGGAGAGCTGGGAGCCAGAAACTCATTGCAGGTCTTCCATGTAGGTGGCAGGAACTCAGTTATTTGAGCCATTGCTGCTGCTTCCCAGGATGTATCTAAGTGGGAAGCTGGAATCAGAACCTGAGACAGGCATGGAACCCTGACAGTCTTATATGCAACTTGAGCAATTTTGCTAGTGTCTTACACATTAGGCCAGAGATCTGCTGCCCAGTTTATTTTACTCTGCATTTCTTATTACTGTCCTTTCTTTAGAGCCTACCTATTGTTTCCCTATTATGAGCAGTGCTGACACTAGTAAGCTGATCTTTCCTGCTTTCCTCTCCTCCTCTAACCAATTTCAATATTGACACTACTTTGTGCTTAGTGCCAGTCTTTGGATTTTAATCTCTTTAAGGTTCTTGTAGCTTGATTTATAAGCTTCAACTGATATGCTTTGATTCCCAGATAATGCCTATTAGTCAACAACTTAGTTGTGTTTCCCACCTGCTGTTATCCTTCCTGTCCTTTCTGGTAGTTGTCTCATTCCCACATGACATTTCCATACTATCTTGTTTCTTTCCATCAGCCTTCATCCCCTGGTTTACATACTGTTCATCTTCCAGATGTTGTGCTGAAGATTTTCAATTTTTTTTATTGCTGAAGCATACTTTCTGGTGATGTCTCAGTGAATGATTATATCTATCTATGATTTTATTTTTTTTAAATAATGATTACATGGTTGATCAAGGTGGGAAGGATCAAGGTTTAGGGAAAATTGGGTGAATTCATTGCTTCCAATTTTGCTATTTCTTTTTGTTGTTCCTAGGGGAAGGGGAAAAACAAAGGGAAAAACTACTCATGACTTTCCACATGTCCCAGTACCCAGGAATGAGGAGCTACCACTTTGGCCCGGCATGGAGGCCTAGCGGCTAAAGTCCTCGCCTTGAACGTACCAGGATCCCATACGGGCGCTGGTTCTTATCCCGGCAGCTCTACTTCCCATTCAGCTCCTTGCTTGTGGCCTGGGAAAGCAGTCCAGGAAGGCCCAAAGCCTTGGGACCCTGCACCCATGTGGGAGACCAGATGGACTATCTTCCTCCCTCTCCTCCTCTCTGTATATCTCACATTGTACTTAAAAATAAAAAAAAGGAACCACCACCTCGTATCAACCCAGAGTCCCAATGTGTACATATTCCAAGGGTTCTGTGCAAGTGGTATGGATAGTTATGAAATGCTGCCAATTTCACTGACCAAGGATGCTTGGATTGTATTCTTTAAAGATAGGACTCAGAAATCCTACTCATCACTGACTTTTGTTAACTATTCAAAGGACATAGGCCATCTGGAGGAAACAGAGAAGTCTAAGATACCATATGCACAAAAGGCACCATTTTGATTTAGGAAACATTTCTTTTCATACTCTATTAATTGCAGAGTGTGTAAAACATTTTCCATGTACCATACTCCATGTAAACAACTTAAAAAGCAGGTAAATCCCATTGACAGCCTGAATAGATAAAGACTGTTCCTCTAGGTATTGTTAACAGTGTCTGGTAACAGTATGTTTATAGGTTGATTTTTGTCAGGTCATCTCTTGTTTCTGAATCATCTCTTTTTACTTTCCTATCCTCCTTGGGAAGTGGAGGAGATAGATTAAGCCTTTCTTCCCCAAACCTAATTGCCACATAGTTTCCCTTAAACAAGTCCTTTCACCCCTCTTGTGTTCTTTCATACAATGTTTCTTCTTTCTGTTGAACCTGTCTCATCTGTTAGTGAGAAATTTAAGCCTGAATGAATAGTGGACCCAGGTAGGCCATACATTCTGGAACTCTGGAGAAGAAACTGGGTGAAAATGGAAAGCTGACTTCAAAATCCTGTTCTCTCAAGAACAGGATTCATTATCATAAGTTCCAAACTGGGTTACCAATGCACATATGTCTGTATAGAAAGGAAAATCTAATTTATAGACAAAAGGAGTAGAGAAGCAGAATAAGATACTACACAGCTTTCCAACCAAGCTCTTTGCTAGGACAGAGAAGGTACAAAAATCTCTCCTGTTATAGTCAGTGGTAGACATTGTTAAACACTATGTGCCAGCCAAGTCCTTAGGACATACTGCTTGATAGTCAGTAGAATGGTATGTCAGAAATTACAGAAAAAATGGAATTAAAAGATAAACTGACTTTGGTGCAAGCATTATTTGAACTCCATGTGGACTAGGCATTGTTGTCTAGCAGGTTAAGCTGCAGCTTGGGATACCAACATCCCAAATCAGGATGTTTAGATCTGGCTTTCTGCTAATATAAACCCTGAGAGGCAGCAGATAATGGGTCAAATCCCACCACCTACTTGGGAAACTCAGACTGGTATATAACATCTATCTATATATCATACATATAGATATACATATATATCATACATATATACTATACAGTCTCTTTCTATGTCACTCTGCCTTTCAAATAATTAAAAATGTAAACTCTGTTTTTTCACAATACACATTTCCATGAACTCTTTGAAGACTCTTCATGCATGTGTTCTTCTTAGTGAAGGCAATATTTTTAAAATTTAATTATTAGGGAGAGAAAGAGAGAAAGGGCCCCACTGCTATTTCACTTCCCAGTTACAGTGCCTGGGATGGACCAGGCCGGGCCAAGACTGGACGGTGTGAATTCAGACTAGGTCTCTCATGTGGGTGGCAGGAACCCAGTTACTCAAACTATCATTGCTACCTCCAACAATATACATTAGCAGGAGGCTGGACTCAGAAGTCAGGCTTCAAACCCGGGCACACTGATGTGGGTTACAGTGTTCCAGTGAGCATCTTACTCAGTAGGTTGAACATCTACCCCATGTATAAGAATTCAGATTCATTTTGCATCAAAATAAACTTATCTTTTTTCAAGATTTATTTTTATTAGAAAGACAGATAAACAGAGAGGGAGATACAGAGAGAAAGACCCCTCCATCTGCTGGGTCACTCCCCAAGTGGCCACAACGGAGGGAGCTAAGCCAATCTGAAGCCAGGAGCCAGTAGCTTCCTCTGGGTCTTCCATGTGGGTGCAGGTCCCAAGGCCTTGGGCCTACTCAACTGCTCTCCCAGGTTACAGGCAGGGAGCTGGATGGGAAACGGAGCATCTAGAACAAGAATTGGTGCACAGATGGACGCTGGACTTTATGCTAGATATGTGTTTGCAAGGAACGAATCTCAACTGAACTTGAACTGTGGTTATGCAACAAGGTGGAAGAATCCACCACGGGGGGAGAGGTATGGGAGGGGTGGGGGGAATCCCCAGTGCCTATAAAACTGTATCACATAATACAATGTTAACAACAACAATAAAAAAAAAAAAAAAGAATTGGTGCACAGATTGGGACCCTGGAATGTGCAAGGCAAGGACTGCAGTCACTAGGCTACCTCATCAAGCCCAAAATAAACTTATCTTTAAATTACATCTTCTGTGAACATTTTGAAGCACCCTCATTTTGCCAAAATATCCGAGAGATGTAGACTCCTGAGCCACAGAGATGATGCACCACCAAAGACCAGAGATAGTACCTGTTTCATTTTCCTGTCAACCTGAACCTGGGGCTTCTTTTGGAAGTGAGAGAGGAAAAAGGGGAGGAAGGAAATCGCCTTAAGATAAACCCAAGGAAATGAGTTCATTTACACATTTCTCAGTGTAGAGGAGTAGCAGAAATGCAGGACAGGGGTTTTTCAAGTCCTGAATCACATGTACCTTTCAGAGGAAATTAGATAACTATCATGGACAAACACATTCCACCATAAAAATCTGGGCCAATATCCCTGATTTCACTGGCCTTGCTGCAACTACTACCTATCAGGTTCCCAGTGTGCCACACTGGTTTAGGAGTCATAAAATGTCTATTGTCCTGGTGATATATCAGACCCCTGTAGTAGTGCTGAAGGTCCAAGCAAACGAAGCCAAGTTCAGTACTAGATTTCTAATCTGAAAAAAATTCCAAAGAAACAAGATCAGGGACTAAAGTATGAGGGAATATTGAGAAATCAGAAAATCCAAAGAGCAGTATCAGGATGTACACAAGCCTTGCTGGATAGGAAATGAGGTCACCAGGGGGTCTGTTTTGAGAGGGTTCTGATGCAGTTTGAAGATCAAGTGGCTGCATCCTGATAATCTGATAGAGAAGTGACCTTTTGTCTTTCCTCTGGCCCTTTTCCTGTGGTTCACAATATCCCTGAGCTTCTGAACTCCCTTTGTCTTATTAGGATTATGGCACCAACACTCTGTTTCTTTAATCTGATGTCAGATGGATATTTCAGCATGTTAAAAACCAGTATTTCCCTTGAGAACCATTTTTATTACTATAAGTGACCTAAGATAACTTTTCATTACTTGGTTGCCCACCTACAGTAACTGATCCTCTGTACATAATTCCTGGGTGTCATGGTTTGTCTGATTCTGATCCTGTGATTGCTTTATCATTTGTAGTATAGATATGATGTTCATTTGTATAATTACCATATGAGTGAATGTATCTAGCAATGGGAGGAATAAATGCCTGTATACAAAGTATGTTTAGTAGAAGTATTAATCTCTGGATTCCAGTGAGGTCAAAAGAAACAGCCAACTAAAATCTTTCTTTTTTCTAGATGATTCAAATGAATTCTCTACTACTATATCATGAATCACCCATTTTTAAACTTAGAGTAAGACGAACTCACTTGGTTGAAGATGCTCTGCGTCAGTTACGTGCAGCTGAACGCCATGAACTTCATAAAGATTTGGTGGTATGTTAGAAAGTGCCTTTGAACATTTTTAGTGGTATGAAATGGAAACACTAAAAGCTATTTCAAAGAGCCTGCATTGAAGCTATGGTCATCACTCTTGTTGTTTGCAGAAGTCCCTTCTCACCCTACAATGAATGGTAACAGAATGTTCCATTTCTCTTTCTTTTTAAAAAAGATTTATTTATTTTAATTGGAAAGGCAAATCAGATTTACAGAAAGGAGAGACAGTGAGAAAGATCTTCCATCTGTTGGTTCACTCCTCAAATGTCCTCTCCGGCCAGTTGAGCCAATCTGAAGCCAAAGCCAGTAGCTTTTTCCAGGTCTCCTTCATAGGTACAGGGTCCCAAAGTTTTGGGTCATCCCTCTACTTTTTTCTCCAGACCATCATCTGGGACACAAATGGGCAGCCATTTGGGGTCTCGGTGCTTGCAAGGTGAGGATTTAGCCATTGAGCCATCACAGCAGGTCCAAACTGTTTCATTTCATGGTAAGTTATCAGTTAACTATTAATTACTTTGGGCTTCGAAAATGATGCACCATAGCCTAAACTAAGTGGCACCATAGTTTGGTGTTTTGCGGAGGCTGGTTGTGGTGGAGTAGGTATGCAGGAATGATCACATGGTGAATCAGGAAATAAGCTAATCTTCAAATCCAGGCAACCAACCCCAGCAAGAGAGCTATCACCATGAACACATCCCCAATGACCTGAAGACCTCTCAGATACCTTAATTAGATCACATTAAGACAGCATAGTTTCAAAGCTGCATGAGTTTAGGAAGCCAGTTTCTCTTTAAAAATCTGTAACAGATAGGGTTTCTGTTGTGTGGCATTTCTGAAGCATTTGAGGAATGAATCAGTATATGGGGGATAGCTCTTTCTGTTAAATTAAAAAATAAATAAATAAAAAATATAAATATATTAGTAAACATGATTAGAAATGCCCATTTCCACTTTCCCTTGGCACTTGTGTTAGTCTGAAGGATCCATGCATTTACTCTGTGGCAATCCCGTGTAAGTAGGTTCATAGCCTCTTCTGATCAGGAGCAAAGTGGAGGAGCACAGATTGCAAAGAAGAAGGATAATATGTGAGTTGGTTATACTGGTGATACGGGAGTGGACATTAGAGGCCTAACAGTTTTCCATGAAGATTGAAACACTACATTTTGAATTTGGATCAGTAATATCTTGTTTTATCTTAGGTTGAATTCATCAAAGAAATTCGTCCTGAGGCTGCTGGGGTCCGTTCCGAATTCTTCCATTGTATGTTTGAAGAGATGACCAAACCAGAATATGGAATGTTCATGTACCCAGAAAAGGATTCCTTAATGTGGTTTCCTGTCACAGTGAGTCTTTTATTTCTTTCTTAGGGTTTTTCAGGACAGAAAAAAAAAAAAAAATATATATATATATATATATATATAAAACATCTAGAGCCACATGAAACCACAGAAAATAATATCAAATTAGGTTATAGTGAGCCTTATTACTCACATTTAGAACCGTGTTTTATATGGCCCAGGAGTAGCATCTGCAGTATTACCACCTGGGAGCTATTAGAAAAGTAGAATCTGAAGCTATACCCTAAACCTGCTGAATCAGAACGTGAGCCAGGTGATTCGTTGTATGCCTGGGGCTTTGGGCCCAAGCTTAGCATATTCAGATCTGACAGGTCAGAGAACAGCTTGGAATGATTTATGGCAGTGAGGAATACACAAGGGATTACGGGAGTGAACAAGTCCTACAACACATGGTCTGCACACCGGAGACCCTCCTCAGATGTTGATAGCCTGGCTCTGTGCATGTTTAAGGGTCTCAGGGGAGCTAGGGGAATAATTCTCACTACAAATGCCTGAGTGCCAGCCAGGGAGACTATGGGACAAAGTCCTGGAGGCCACAGGCTAGCAAGCTGAGGAGTCTTACATCTGAGACAGGAAATGGGCAGGTCCCAGCCCTCGGCCCAGACAAGCTGCCCTCTTTATTTGTGCTGGTGCCTGCTAGTGTTTAGGCCAGATCTTCTCACGTTGTCCACTTAAGACTCCCATGCTGGTCTCAGTGAGAAGACACCCTCAGACAGCCCCCCAAGGAACACTTTTCAGGCTTTGAGGTATTCCTATCTAGTGAAGTTGACATCTACAATTAGCCATCGCATTCCTCAAAGTGTAAACGTTTTCCTAAAGGAAAATAAAAACAGTAACAATGACTATAAAATTTGTCTTTTATTTTTGAATTAGAACTAGAGGGCCTAGTAGTTATAAAAGGAATCACACACTGAGCTCCCATTTAATGATCCACTTTCTTGTCAGCTTTCAAGTTGTTCTTCCAAACGATATGGCAGGAGTTTGAAATCCAGAAAAGACAGAGAAGACGAAAACAAAAATGAAACGCTGTAAAAGTATACTGAAGGTGCTTTGTAGCTTTTGGAGAATAAAGGAGCTCCCAAAAGATGAGTGGGGGGTTGGTATTGTGGCATAGTGGCTAAAGCTGCTGCTGTGACACTAGTATCCTATAGGAGTACCATTTCAATTCCTGGCTGCTCTACTTTACATGATGCTTCTCTTTCCATCTTGCTCTCTGCTGATGGCTTTGGAAAAACAATGGAAGCCAGCTCAAGTATTTAGGCCCCTGCTGTCCACAAGGAAAACCAAAACAAGCTCCTGGCTCTGGCTTGGCCTAGCCCAGTGCTGACTGCTGCAGCGATCTGGGGTGTGAAGGAGCAGACAATCTCATCTCTCTCTCTCCCTATTTTTCTCTCTCTCACCTGACCTGACCTGGCCTAGCTCTTGCTGTTGTAGGCGTTTGGGAGAGTGAACCAGTAAACAGGAGATATTTCTGTCAGTCTGCATTTCAAATAAACAATTATTTTAAAAAACAAGCCTTAAAAAGAGGGCCAGCATTGTGACATGTCAGGTTGAGCTGCTGCCTATAATATCAGCAAAGCATGTAGACACCGATTTGAGTCCCGACTGCTCTACTTTTGATCCAGCTCCCAGCTAATGACTTGGGAAAAGCAGTAGAACACGGTTCAAATAGTTGGACCGCCGCCACCCATGTGGGAGACCTGTTTCCTGACTTCGGCTGTCCCAGCCCAGGCTGGTGTAACAATTTAGAGAGTGAGCCAGCAGGCGGAAGACCTCTCTTTTACTCTCCCTTTCTTTTTCTGTAACTCAGCTTTTCAATTAAATCTTTTTAAAAAAAATAGAAAATGATTAAGCACAATTTTACAGAACTTTGCATTTTAACAATTGAAGAATAGAAAAGTTTTAGGCAGTTGAGCAGGGAAATCCCCAACAATCGAGTGAGTGAGGGAGAATTTAACTCTACATCTACCTAGTAAAGACTAGGAGAAGTAAATAGGGAGCCTGACCAGTAAGTATGGGCTGAGCGATTATGGGCTGCAAAGTTTAAATTGTGGCTTAAGATTCTCCCCAAAAAACTTTATCAGTTTATAACTGTTAATGCTAAACAAGATGTAACTGCATGGAAACTTTGATGTTAAGCTTGTACTCAGCTGTTATACATGATGGGGTTTTTTGTTGTTGTTTTTAAAGATTTATTTATTTTTATTACAAAGTCTGATATACAGAGAGGAGGAGAGACAGAGAGGAAGATCTTCCATTAATGATTCACTCCCCAAGTGAGCACAACGGCCAATGCTGTGTCTATCTGGAGCCAGGAGCTAGGTACTTCCTCCGAGTCTCCCACACAAGTGCAGGGTCCCAAGGCTTTGGGCCATCCTCCACTGCTTTCCCAGGTCACGAGCATGGAGCTGAATGGGAAATAAAGCAGCGGGGATTAGAACCTGCATCCATATGGGATCCCGACAAATTCAAGGCAAGGACTTAACCACTAGGCCACCGTGCCAGGCCCCGTGATGAATGTTAATATTGATCCTTTCACTGTTCCTGTGCCACTCTGATTTAGGTTAAACTCAAAAACATGTTAGCTTGGGAAAAAAATATACTAAAATTGAGATGTCAAGGAAGTAGTTACAGGATATGATTAAGAACTTGCATTTTCTAACATGTTGGTTACTCAATATCATGTTAAGTAACTTCATGACGTTGTTAATTTCAATGTTTCCTCCTATTGTTGAAGTTATGTAGTGACATCTCATTGGAGGGGATGATATTCTGCCAGTTCTACTTTCAGACCAAGGATGGTCTCCCAATGAAACTGTTGAATTTATCTGGAGAGTAAGATGCTGGACTCCCTGCATGGTCCATGCCCGCAATGAAAAAATCATGACTGGTTATGAAATGTTCTACTGTAACAATGTGGAGAAATTCAATATGAGGGGAGGGTTTGGGGAAGGTTTGAGGGAATCCCAGAGCCTATGACATTGTGTCATAAAATGATATAAAAAATAAATTTTAAAAATAGAAAAAAAGAAAAAAATGGAAAATAGAGTCTTACATTATGCTGTATATGGTTTATACACATATTTTACAAATGAAGAAGTCGAGTCTCAGAAAGAGAAAAGCATTGTCCAAGGATATATTTCCCAAGTAACTGAACTATGATATCAGTTCAGGTCTGACGCCAATATTCTCCATCTCCTCCTCCTCTTCTTCCTTCTTCTTAGGATTATTAGGATTACTCAAAAGGCGGAGTGACTGAAAAAGCAATGAGAGGGACCTTCCATCTGTCCCCAAATAGCCACCAGGGCTGGGGCTGGGCCAGGCCAAACGCAGGATTCTGGAACTCCATCTAGGTCTCCCACATGAGCCCAGGACCCTGGGACTTGGGCCATGTTCTGCTTTTCCCAAGTGCATTAACAGGGAGCTGGATCAGAAGTAGGGCAGCTGACACTTGATCTGGCACTCTGATATGGTATGTCAGCATTGGAAGTGGCAGCTTAACATGCAGTGTCACAATGCCAACCCCCTAAGTCCTTATCCTTAAACATTACTTTATTACCAGATAGAAACCACAGAGACCAAAATATTAAACAAAAAAAACCTGAACTAACTTGTACATGGGTTAGTGCACAGATTATGGGAAAAGAGATCAATGAGGTGAAGGGAGGCCATTTGGAGATTAGTGCACTTTTGTCCAATTTTAAAAAATTAAATAAAAATAATTCATATTACTTTTTCTTACAACTAACTACTGTTTTAGAAATAAATGAGGAAAGTAGATTCAGACACAGAATGTACTTTGAGTGACCCAAGGTCATGTACCTGCTAACAAAGAGCAAGGCTGGCACTGAAATTAAAATCTTGGCATTTGTGGGCTCCAGTGACAGCCTGGGCAGAGAGAGGTGGGGTCTTATCTCCTCCAGGACTACAAAGCCCATTTTGTCAGGACTCCAGGACTTCTTCCCCTGCACCTGTATGGTGGTAGCATCAGTTACCCACCTTCCTTTGAGCATACCCAGGCTATGGACTGTATGACAGCAGGGGACAGCGCTGATGCACACTGGTCTGACAGGCCTGATACCCACTGCAAGTGCAGAGAAAGTGTACACTTCCTCTCCCAGTGTCATTTTTTTAGATGAATCTGAAGGCAGACTATAAAATTAAACTGTGAAAGCTTTATTAGGTTATCTGAACCCACTGTTTGTGCTCCATATAGGCTGTGATTGACAATAAGTTCATTTATTTAATATTCTGAACCATTCATTTCTATTTACCATTATGGAAAGGATTTAAATTATATCCAAATTTATGAAAAAATCTCCAATTTTAATTTCCTAACGCCTATTTTGTTTCTACTTTGACTTTTACAAAAAGGGACCAACATTTTTTTTCCCTCTACCCTCCATTTGTTGATTATTTGTAATGCCTCTCTTTCCAGCCTCAACCTGAGAAGAACTACTTCCTCTTTGGACTACTCTGCGGACTGGCCCTCTTCCATTCTAACATTGCTAACCTTCCCTTCCCACTGGCATTGTATAAGAAACTTCTGGACCAGAAGCCCACGTTGGAAGATTTAAAAGATCTCAGTCCTGTCTGGGGGAAGTGAGTAAATACGATTGCTTTCTCAAGACTGTACCTAGTACGTCTCCATTGTTTAGGCATAATGTCACACTAGGCACACAGATAAGGCCTTCAGTCTCCATACTGCACATTCATTTGGTGAACTTTAATTTTACCATGACTGCTAACTGAATGTAATTCAAAACGGAGAAGAGCAAAGTGCTCCTCTAATTATTTAGTGTCATAAACACAGCTACAACCCAGGCTATTAACTGTACCCAGAAAAGAATTACTTTGTATAACACAAAATGTATATGTCAGCACACATACACACACCAGTTGATATAAAAATTTCAAGTAAAAATGAAATGAAGATATGATATGAGTTTTCCATGAATTAAATATATGTATATAAAGGTAATCTGTGTGAGAGAGAATGGGGGTAGGGAAGGAGAGAGATCCCTGATACATTGGTTCCCTTCCCAAATGGCCACAACAGGAAGGCCTGGGCCAGGTCACAGCCAGGAGTCACGTGCTCCTGGAGCCCGAGATGTATCCATCCTTCGCTGCATCAGTGGCAAGTGCTCAAGTGCTCGAGCCATCTTATGCCTTCCCAGGCATGTTAACAGGAAACTGTGTGGGAAATGGCAGCAGTCAGCCTTTAAACTGGTGCTCCGATATGGGAGGCACTACTGCCCAATGCCTACCCCTCCCATAAACTTTATGATGATCCCCATGTGCATGGATTTCAAGATATTTTTTGCATCAAAATAAACATCTTTTTACTTTCCATAAACTTTTTGAAGCAACCACAACAAAACAAAAATATTTAACTTGAAAGTAAAGATAGTGTTTTCCTACTTACAGGTTGATAGCTGTTAAGTATCTATTAAGCTTGACTTATAATATTGACAGACAGTTTGGGAAAAGGTTTCTGTTATCACTGGAAACATAAACTGGTCACGTGTGCACACGAGAGCAGGCTCTCCCAGCCTTGGCTGCAGTGACATGTGGGGCTGTTTAATTCTGTGTTGGATGTTTAGCCTGGGTTTAGTGTCTTTACCTTCTAATTCTGACAGTACCCCTGACTGAGAATCCCTGGTCTAGAGAAATGAGCTCCTTCATGTGTTTTTCTCAAGGATAGTAGTGTCTGGGGTAGCCACAGTACATGTCAAAAGTGAAGAGACGCTTACTCCTAAAAGGGAGTGAAAAGGTACAGAAAAGACCATTTGCACTGGGGACATTTTTATATTTTTTCCACTGAAAATGTATGATGTGGAAGTTTGATAAGATCAACAAATATAACTTTTAAACTGACATTTTCATTAGGAGTTTGCAACGAATTCTAAACAGCAAAGCTGATGACTTTAGAAAACTCGACATGAATTTTTCTGTAAGTACTAACAAAATCCAGATTATAGTTAGCTTTAAATTGGTTTTTAAAGAATACTTTTATTACAGTATGTTAAAGAAGAAATACCACCTTTAAAAAAGGTTTATTTCTTTTGAAAGAGTTAGAGAGAGGGGGAGAAACAGAGAAAGCTCTTCCATTTGCTGATTTAATCTCCAGAATGTGGCAAAGGCCAGTGCTGGGCCAGGCCAAATCCAGAAGCTTCATCTGGGTCTCCCACATGGGTAGCTGGAGTGCAAGCATTGGACCATCTTCTCCTGCTTTCTCAGGCATTCTTAGGGAGCTGGATTAGAAGTGGAGCAGATAGGACACAAACCAGTGCTCAAATGGGATGCCAGGATCGCATGTGGCAGCTTTCACTGCTATAACACAATCCTGGCCCCATGATCCCATTATTTTTAAAGATTTATTTTGTTTTTATTGGAAAGGCAGATATACAGAGAGGAGAGACAGAGAGGAAGATCTTCTGTCCGATGATTCACTCCCCAAGTGAACACAACGGCCGATGCTATGCCGATCCAGAGCCAGGAGCCTCTTCCAGGTCTCCCGCGCGGATGCAGGGTCCCAAAGCTTTGGGCCATCCTTGACTGCTTTCCCGGGCCACAGGCAGGAAGCTGGATGGGAAGTAGAGCTGCAGGGATTAGAACTGGCGCCCATATGGGATCCCGGGCGTGCAAGGCGAGGACCTTAACCACTTGCGCCACAGCGCCGGGCCCCATGATCCCATTTTTAAAAGATATTTTCCACTGTACTGCAAGAATTTCCCCCTCCCTACTCCTTGTTGGACAATTTTTACATGTTTCCTCAAAGTTGAAAGTAAAATTATTAATCCACTACTGTAAACAACCAATGATTTTGTGCATGAAAGCAACATATAACATGTACAAGGATGAGTTTTTAATTTTCCTGTGTATGTAAAAGATTGAGAAATAAAAATATTATATATCCAGTTATTTTAAATTCAACAGGGAAAAATATACTGGCAATAGAGGTATTATGGGTGGCTGATCTTCACATTTGGTAACAGAATATATTCTGCTTACAGATATACTGGGATCAAAATGATGTTGACTTAATTCCAAATGGGATTTCCATACCTCTGAACCAAACCAATAAGTAAGTCTTTTCCTAAAAAAGATTTATTTATTTTTATTGGAAAGTCAGATTTTACAGAGTAGAGACATAGAGAAGGATCTTCCATCTGCTGGTTGTCCCTAAGGTGGCCACTATTATCTCCCAATGAGGATTAATTTTCCACACATGAAGTCTTGGGGAGCCATTTAAACCATGTGCAAACCTTAGTGAGTGAGGGAGAGACAGGAGGACCAATCCCGAGATGATTGTGTTCTTATGAGGAGTGTCTCAAGTTGCCAGGTGAAGAGGGAGTACTATACCCCTGGCTGCTTATAAGAGAGAAATGGCAGAGCAGCTGAGCTGAAGGCTGTGGGGACAAAATGAAAATAGGAGTGGAAAAAGACTCCCAGGAGTCATACGTTGGATTGCTTTTTTTTTTTTTAAAGATTTATTTATTTTTATTGCGAAGTCAGATACAGAGAGGAAGAAAGACAGAAAGGAAGATCTTCCATCCAATGATTCACTCCCCAAGGGGCCGCAACGGCTGAAACTGAGCCAGTCAGAAGCCAGGAACCAGGAGCCTCTTCCAAATCTCCCACACAGTGCAGGGTCCCAAGGTTTTGCGCCATCCTTGACTGTTTTCCCAGACCACAAGCAGGGAGCTGGGTGGGAAGCAGGTCCTCCAGGATTAGAACTGGTGCCCAAATGGGCGTATTCAAGGTGAGGTCTTTAGCTGCTAGGTCAGCGCACCAGGCCCTGGATTGCTTTTTGATTCCAGCCCAGGAGGTTTGCAATTTGCCCTCCAGACAACACAAAGCCTGTGCAAGATTTTAAGCAGGAGAATGACAAACAGATAATTTTTGGGGTGTAGCTGGCCTAATTTTTTGATTTTTCAATGGGATGAAAGCCACGTATGACCTGCACTCTGCTTGGCCTTTCCTGGGGCTTGTGCGTGGTAGTAGAATCCTTTCTTGTTACGCTGGGCAGCAGCAGCCACAGCAGCCACAGCTGTTCATCTGCCCCACAGTCACCACAAGAAAGACCCTGCACTCTGCTGCCTACAGAGTGCTGTGTGGCTGGGCTGACATGTTCACCAGGTCATGCACGTTTTGAATATGAGATAGGTTTATGAAGTTATAATCCCCATTGTATATCCATGGACATCCTCCATCCGTTAATTCACTCCCCAAGCTGCCACAACAGCTGGAGCTGGCCAATCCGAAGCCAGGAGCCTCTTCCAGGTCTCCCGCACAGGTGCAGGGTCCCAAGGCGTTGGGCCGACCTCGACTGCTTTCTCAGGCCACAAGCATGGAGCTGGTTGGGGAGCAGGGCTGTCACGATTAGAAACAACGCCCATATGGGATCCTGGCACTTGTGAGGCAGGGACTTTAACTGCTAGGCTATTGCACCGGGCCCTGTGCCGGGCTCTTGTGTTCTTTGATGCAGGCTTGTGTGCTGTGTGGATGTGATTCTGTTTTCTTTCTCAACAGAAAAGAACGAGGTAGAGACTGTTGCAGTCGCTGGTTAAGTATGTGATAGGCATTTTTTTTTCTTTTTCCAAAAGGAAAGATTATGTCTCTCGATGTGTGGACTATGTGTTCAATGTCTCTGTAAAGGAAGTGTATGAGAAATTTCAGCTAGGATTTTATAAAGTCTGTGACTGGGAGCTCATCGAGAAATTCCACCCTGAAGAACTCATGATGGCAATGACTGGAAATCCTGATTATGACTGGAAACAATTTGAAGAGGTAGGGGGGTAAATAAAGAGTCCTGAATTTTTCTAAACAACTTCTAAATATTCCTTTCCCCTTCCATCCTCCCACCAAAAAAAAAAAAAAAGAAAGAAAGAAAGAAAGAAAGAAAGAAAGAAAGAAAGAAAGAAAGAAAGAAAAGAAAAACCTTTTTTATTTTTTCTCTCAAGAATTCGCAATATTTGAATGGATACCACAAGTCACATCACACCATACAGATATTTTGGAAGGCGTTCCACAAACTGACGTTGGATGAAAAGAAAAAATTCCTCTGTAAGTATTGAGGCACTTGTATATTTAACACACAGTTAAATAACTTGATTTCAGTGAATTTCTTCTTAATGGTAGGTATAAATGATACAGCAGGGATTAGATGCCAGGATCCCTGCCTTTAAAGCCAGTATTCTGTTACAAGCCTATCCACCCCCTCCCGCCTTTTTGGGGGGCACTACCTTTAAAAAAAAACAAAGCAACAACAAGAAACAAAAATCACCACCATTTATTTTTATTTATTTGAAAGGCAGAGCAAAACAGAGAGTGATATCACACAGACAGGGAGAAAGAGAAAGAGATAAACACCTGTCTTCCAGCTGCTAGATCGTTCCCCTAAGGCTGCGCCAAGAGCCTAGACCTCCACCTGGGTCTCCCATGTGGGTGGCAGTGGTTGGAGCACACAGACGTCACATCCTTCATCCCAGGCACACCAGCAGGAAACCAGGATAAGAAATAGAATAGCTGGGACCAGAGCTGGGCTCTCTGCTAGGAGATGTGGCCTCCCCAAGCTGCAGCTTAGCCCTTTGTACCACAAGTTTTTCCAGATTTTACTAACTTTTCTAGAGGTTCTAATCCCACCTCTGGCTTTTAGATTATGTTCTTTCCTTACTTTAGCTGGTTCTTCAGCCTTCTGTCTTACATTGCTGTAACCATTTTATTGTCCGATTCCTATGAGGATGTTGTAAAGTGACCCTATTTTGTATTCATATGCCCTTTTAGAAACAATAATAACAGTGACCACCAATGATGATAATAATAATAGCAATGGCATTTATTGTGTGCTTACTGTGTGTCAGCCACTGCACTGCTCACTTTGTTTCTGTTATATCCGATTGCCCTAATAGCAGCCCCTTAAGATGGTGCTGTTATTTTTCTTCCTTTTGGAGAAATGAGGCAGAAAGGATAGGGACAGTTACGTGGTTTATCCACGTTTGGACAGTTAAGTCCTGTGACTCTGAGGCTGCTGTTGGTGGGAACCCTACGGTTTTTCTGGATGGACTTTCTTCGATTCATTCTCTCTCCTCAACTCCTTTTCCTGATTGACATACACATCTTTCTTTTTGCTATTTTCATTGCTTATTGGGGGACAATTCCAACTTCTCTACAAACTCAACCTTTCTGATCTCTCTTGATAGAAAACTCTTGTTTCAGCCCAGCAGTTCATTGCCTGTGTGTCTGTAGAGCCCATGCACTGCTTCCCACCCCTGACTTTTTCTTGGGATTTTCCCAGGACCTTCCAAATTCCCCAGCCCCCTCCTCGTGTCATCTGCCCGACCACCTCAGCCTGGTGTCTCTTCCTGCCTCCAGGATCTATGCCTCCTTTAAACTCTGACCTTCACACTTCTCAACTGAACCTAAATTAAGCTTCTGTGCACCTTACTACTATTTTTTCACGTATGTAATTTTCTCCCAACTAGACAATGACTCATGGAGGACAGACTGCCTACCATGAGTTTTCTATGCTCTGCATAACCTCTGTAGCTAGTTGTCTCAATACAACACTCACAAAACACTTCCAGGATACAGTCCTTCATGTCTTCCTTTTTGCTGTCAGTGTTTCTCTTTGCATGGAAATTTCTTAATCAAAATTTATCCTTTCTAGTTTTCGTTACAGCACGTGACAGATTTCACGTAAAGGGCCTACAGAAAATGGGGATAATATTCTGCTTTTCTGGAACTCTGAGTGAAACAGACAACCTGAGAGCAACGACATGTCGCAGCACTCTGTACCTCCCTAACTACAAGACGATGCAGAGGATGGAGGAGGCACTCCAAGTCGCCATCAAATACCGCCATGGGTTCACCAGCCTCTGAGATCACACTGCAGTCACCTCCGCCAGGGCCCCTCAGATGTCCAAGCCTTCTCTCCCTGGGATTCTGTTTTCTGCTATCTATTCAGCACAAGAATGGGATGACTTTTGTTAGGATTGATTCAAAAATGGGGAGAAACAATGTGGTGAATCAAGACTAGTGTTCATGAAGCAACACACAATCCTTCATTTTACTAAATTACTTCCTGAAGAAAATATCAAGAAAAAAGCTGATTACTAAAACCTCACATTTTAAAAAATATATAGCTCATAAACAGTGAAACTGAAAAGTAAACTGAAATCTGAAAAAAAAATAAAAGGAAGATCTTCCATATGTTGACTTTCTCTCCCAAATGGAGATGTTGAGGAGGACGAACTATGTCCCTGTACCAAATGGAGTGAACTAATGGAGAGATGTAAATACAGTGGGAAATTGCAACTGACTTTGTGGACCACTTTTTATTTTAACAGTACATACAGCTTTAATACAGTACATTATTAGCAATGTGAGTAAAGTATTTTCCTGTGATAAGAGCTTGGGAGTGTAATGCTCCTGCCAGTGCGTATGTCCTATTGTGCCTTCTCAGACAAGACTGTGTAAGGTATTGGCTTCAACTGCTGGACACCAAAATACTCAGACAGCTGCACTGAGAGCCTAGGCTGTAGGCTCCGGTCTTTCCAGCCAGTACTAGCCCCTGAGCTCCACTGGGTGACCAAGCCAGTCTTTCCTGAAGAAAGGCATCCCTCTAATTTTAATAGTACCACCGAGGCTTGCTTCCATCCTGAGTAACCATCCCTTGCTCCTTCTATGGTCAGTGTGCCTCTTCTATCAAATGTCTTCCCTGTGAATTTGCTCTTATTCTTCTCCCTTCCTTAAGCATTGAAAAAAAATCTATCATTGAACTGTGTGGCAATAAATCATGGGCTGCATGAAATGGCTCTTTGATCATCTGCTTATTTTTTAACCATCCAAAAGAAGCTGTAAGTTCTTCTGATCTCAGCCCCCTGCCCCTGTATTGGTGATCCTCTGGGAGATGGAAGACTAGAATGTGAAGTCCACATGGGGGCACTGATGTGGAAAGAGGGCAGTTGCTACCGACCAGAGGCAAAACGCAGAGGGAAAGCAGCAGGGACGCTGGGTCTGAGGTGGCTGGGAGAAGGGATGCCCCCCCTAAATCTTCAGAGTTGTTTTGGATCTGTCTGGTTCCCGCAATAAATGAAATAAAGGGCAACATTTATTCTAGTGGAATTTTATAAAGGGACATGTAATCCATAAATCTTGGGGCATGACTTTTGGGTTATGATCTTTCATCCACTATTACTTTTTTTTTTAAAGATTTATTTTATTTTTATTGGAAAGGCAGATATACAGAGAGGAGAGACAGAGAGGAAGATCTTCCGTCCGATGATTCACTCCCCAAGTGAACACAACGGCTGATGCTATGCCGATCTGAAGCCAGGAGCCTCTTCCAGGTCTCCCACACGGGTGCAGGGTCCCAAAGCTTTGGGCCATCCTTGACTGCTTTCCCGGGCCACAGGCAGGGAGCTGGATGGCAAGTGGGGCTGCCGGGATCAGAACTGGCGCCCATATGGGATCCCGGGCGTGCAAGGCGAGGACCTTAACCACTTGCACCACCGCGCCGGGCCCTACTATTACTTTTTAAAACAAAAATGAAATGGGTGCATCATACTAAAGGTAAGGAATCTCAGGGGGTTTTCCTGTGGGCAGGCTCCTGAGACCACTAACGGGGTATGGTGACAGTGTTCTTTGGCTGCAAGAACCACTGGGGACAGTCTAATCAGGTATGTCCATTTATTGTTAAGCAAACATATCTTATATAGGCTAGAAAATGAGAAGGCTGACGGAGGTCCCACACAGTCCTCATACCCAACAATGACACTATAACTGGCTAAAAGGTATGTCTGTCTCTCTAGATCCTCCAACCAAGTCACGGTCACATTCCACACACAGGTCACATTCAGGCTGGAAGCTATACCTCACGTTACATTCACTATGTGTGGCTGGCAAATAATCTGTGGGTTGCATTTGACTTAGAGTGGCTTATTAAGGAAGTCCCAGCACAGTTCATCCAAGGCCAGAGAAAGACAGGCTGGGAGTGCAGCCCACTGCTCTCGCTTCATGCCAAGTGAACAGACCAGGTTGAGGTCTCGGTTAGCTGAAACCACTATCAGGGGATTCCCCTGGGGACATGGTGTGTTGCGTGCCCACCACCTCCCAGATAGGCTAAGCAGGCAGAGATTCAGGGAAGATCTCCCACAAAGGAAGAACTAGGACGTATTTATTTATGTATGTATTTATTTATATTTTATTTGAAAGCCAAAGGAGGAGACATATCGATTGATTGATTGATTGATTCCATCTACTGGTTCACCCCTTAGTGCCCATAAAAGCCAGAGGTGGACCAGGTTGAGACAATGATCTCAGCTCAATCCAGATCTCCCGCACGGAGATGTGCTGCTTCCCAGGGCACGCACGAGTGGGCACTCTGCTGCAGAAATCCCGAGCAACACACAAACTGCTGCTCCAAATGCCTGCCCCAGGTCCCGTTCTTACAGGGGAAGGGGCAACATCTGCCAGTTAGTTCTATGATACCAGCATTATCCTAATATCCAAATTAGGGAAAGATACTACAAAGGATGAATAACTACAAATTTTCATGTACATGGACACAAAAAATCATTTACATATCAAAAAACGCTTAACATATCAAAAATATCTGACAAAACTTAGAAAGGCCAATGTCTCAGGACCAAAGTAGAGGCCATAAAGACATCTGAAATCAGCTGTATTTCATCTCTGAATAGAAAAGGAAAGTTACTGCTTTACTTCAGTATAGGCGGCAAAGAAAATGGACGAAACTGGACACTGACTCATGAGGACATATGCTTAGTAAACCAGGACTAGAAGGACTCAAGTACCCTTGTACTCACTGGCAATAGAAAATAAGTATGACTCTCACTCATCACCGTTATTCAACATTTTACCAGAGGTTTCAGGGTATAGATTAGAACAAGGAAAAGGAGAAGAGGAATATAGGTAGCACAGGAAGAGGTGAACTTATTGGTGAACTACAATATCAGTTACATAGATGAATCTCAGAAAAGCTACCAGAAATAGTAAGTAAATATAGAAAGGTCTTAGGATTCAAGATCATCATTATATAAAAATTGTTTCTACATACTGAAAATATCACGAATTTGATAACATTTGCAATATTCAAAAGTGAGGGTAAATTTAGCAAAATACATTTATACACTGAAAAGTAACAGTGCTGAAAGAAACTAAATATGCTTTAAATTAATATACCATGCTCATGGACAAAAAAAAAGAGTAATTTCTTCTTAAGCTGACCTAATTGAATGCAATCGCAAACAAAATATCAGCAGTTTTTTTTATAGAAATCAAGAAATGATCCAAACATATACAAGCAGAAGCAAAGGATCAAGAATAACCCAAGCAATACTGTTTTAAAAAATGTTAGAATAACTTATGAACTGATTTTTGGAACTGGCTTTGAATCTACATGAAATAAGACAGTGGTGGTATTCAGGTAAAAAATAGACATATAAATAAATGGACAGAAGTAAAAATCCAGAAAGAAATCCAAGCGTGTATGCAACTGAATTTTGACAGGCACCAAGGCAATTCAATGAAGAAAGGCAACCAGGAATCACCGGAAATCCAACAGGAAAAAAAATATGAACCTCTACACACCTACCTCACACTAGGAAGAATAATTCAATTGAAACACAACAAAGTCCTAAAACTATGAAATTTCTAAACAAAAAATATTGTGTAACCTCATGTTCAGGGAAGATTTTTTAAAGAGGACTGAGACATAAAGGCAAGAGCTTCACAAAAGAAAAAAAAAAATGCATTCACTGCAGCAAAACGAAAACTTCTAGTTCTCCAAAGGCACGTAAGATGAAAAAGCAAGCCACAGACTTTTTAATATCTAAGGGCCTTTGTTGTGGCATAGCATGCAACACTGCTGCCTGGGACTCTGACAGCCCCGTATAGACACCAAATTGTGCCCTGGTTGCTCCGCTTCTAATCCAGCTCCTGCTAATGTCCCTGGGAAAGCAGCAGAAGATGGCCCTAGTTCCTGTGCCCACACCCACGTGGGAGACCTGAAAGGAGCTCCTGGCTCCTGGCTGCTGCCTGACAGTCCAGCCACCTGGGGACTGAAAAAGCACATGGAAGACTGTTTCTTCCCCTCTCTCTGTAACTCTGACATTCAAAATAAATGTACAAGTCCGTGATCTTCAGAAAAAAATCATATCTCTAATAAAGGACATGATATAGAATAAATAACTGAAACAGGTAATCAACCACAACATAATAAGTCAAGCCATCAAATTAATGGGCAGATACTGCCAATATGCATTTTACAAAAATTCTAAACATCATTAGTCATAAAAAATAAGTTAAAATCTAAATAATACCACTACTAGAATCGCTAAACTAAAAAAAAAGCCAAAGGCAACCGTGCTCAAAAAAAGTGAGTGACCCAAGCTCTTCTACGTGACTGGAGGGAATGCAAGGAGGTACAGCACTTTGGAAACGCTTGGCAGTTTCCGATAAAGGTGTTGGGTCTCCCAGACCCAGCAATTCTACTTCTACCGACAAACAAAAATTCCTGTCCAGGACACAGGAATTAATTTTCACAGCAGCTTTATTCTTGGTAGACAAAAGCCTCCGGAGAGGACAAACAAAGCCCACAAACTGGTGAAAAGAGCAATCAACTGTGGCGGATGCATACAATGGAACACTAACAGGGAACGTCGGCAGGAAAACCTCAAAGCTCTACGCTAAGGTGGGGGCGGGGTCGAAGGCTATGGAGCTAGAAGTTCTCGAAAAGGCCGAGGTAAGAGGACGCGGCTGAGCAGCACCGTCTCTCGGACACTCAGGCGGGCGTGTGGCGGCGGCAGCGGCGTCGAAGGGGAGGACCCTGCGGGATCTCCTCAGTTTCTCCGTGGCTCGGGCCTCCAGCCCGCCACGGAACGCTGCGCACGCACACGTCGGATTCCAAGTTCCCATCCCGGGGTTCCCTAGAAATCTCCCGCCGTCGCCCCGCGTCGGCGCGCCACCTAGCGGAAACGCCGCCTCTCCTCAAAAGGCCGCCCGCGACCGCCAGTTCCGCCGGCCCCCCGCGGCCTCCTCCGCGCCTCGCGACCGCCCTCCACGCCGCTCCCTCATCCTCCGAGCCTCTTTCCCTCCCCGAGGCCTTTCTGTGTCTTTTTTTCCCCCTCAGTTTCGCTACTCAGGGGTCCCGCCGGCCCCGCCCCTCGAGCGGCACGCGGGGAGCCCCGGCGTGGTGTGCAGGGTCGGAGGAGCGCAAACTGCGGCTCCTCGACGCCGCCGCGCTCGGGTTTCGCCACGCAGCGCCTCAGGGCGTCCGACGTTTTCTCGTCACCTCCAGTCCCGGCGGCCATGGAGCCGAAGACTTCGAGAAAGTCGCGGGGCCACGCGCGTCCGTCGCCCGGTCCGGTCCCGACCCGACCCGCCGAGTCCCGCTTCAAAGAGTCGTCGGGTTGGCCGCTCTGGCTCTTCCCCGGCGCCGCGGGCCTCCGCAGCGCGCTGCTCCGGAGGCTGGAGACGACGCGCCAGGTGTGCTGCAGGCTGGGGCGCCTGGTGGTGCTGGAGCGCGGCGGGGCCGGCGTCGAGGTCCACCCGTTGCCTGCGGACCGCGACGGCGCCAGGAAGCCCAGTGAGTAGGGCCCCGGGAGAGGCGAGCGGGGTGGGGTCCCCGGGGCCGGGGCGGTGGTCCCACGGGCAGGGGAGAGCCCGACGGCTCCTCAGGGCGATAACCCTGGACTCGACGGGCACTGGGGCCGGGGCGGTGGTCCCACGGGCAGGGGAGAGTTCCGAAGGCTTCGTGAGGTGCCGACCCCAGAGGCGGCCTGGCACCGAGGGCCCCGAACGGGCAGGGGAGAGTTCCGAGGGCCGCTCGGGGCGTGGACCCTGGACGCCGAGGTCCTAGTGTTGGGCCACACGGGCAGAGGAGCCCCGGGGGGCTCTCGGGGAGCGGGGCCCGTCGGTGGTCGCCACGGGCAGGGGAGCTCCGGGCTCGGGTAGTTTCGCGGGGCCGCGCACCTGAGCGCTCCTCCTGAGCACGGGGTTCTCCGGTGCCTGCGGCGAGGGGCGAGGCGGTGCCCCCCCACACCCCTCCCCCACCCTCACCCCATCACCCCCGCCCCGACGGTCAGCTGCTGTTCCCAGTTGAGTTTCCCGCCATTGTTTTGTAGGGCTACTCTCCTCTTGTCCCTTCCTCCCGGCTTGGTTGGCCTTGGGGTTCACTTTCCAGAAGCGAATCTCGGCGTGTACTTAGGATCTGCGGGGGAGTATTTTATGGAGGGGAGCCCGCGGTACATTCACACATCTTTCTAATGCTGCCCATCTGAGGGGCACAGAAGTGGGTATTTCATGGTTGGCGTTTAACTGGAGTGGAGTCGGGGATCTTTGCGCTCCTCTGGTGGCTCTTTGGACTGTGTGGTAAACTGCCTCTTCTTAGTTATGCTTAGCTTCGTAAAGTGTGAGTCGTTCATCTTTGAATATTTGAATATAGAATAACAATTGCCCTTGCCCGTCGTGTGTTGTCATTTTTTTTTTCAACTTGCCTTTCATAGGTGCAATTTTTCATTGTGCACAATTTAAGCCTTCTTTATATAGTTAATCAAATTTTTACTTTCAGGAGTGTTGGGTTTTGTTGTTGCTGTTGTGTTGTTAAACCATCTACACTCTGACTTTTTCTTCATGTTAATTTCTAAAGACAGTAATATATTTTTTTAAAAAAAATCATCTGAAAAGAGAGGTAGAGAGGGAGAGATCTTCTATGATACTTGGGATTTGGAGCATGTATGGAGCTCACTCTGGTTTAAGGAGATGAGTGGATTTAGATTTGTTTTTCCCAAGGTGCTAGCTAGGTGTCCCAATATCATTTCTCGAGTTACTCATCTTTGCAACCACTATGAAATACTATTTCAATAAGCATTATTTTGTGTGACCATTTAGCATTACCAGGCTGTTTTTGTTTCAGCTTCTTAATTTGCAGGAAGAGTTAAATAGGTTAAGGTGTCTCAGATATATCCAGTGTTTTGAAATGAATTAGTTGTGCTAAAGCCTTACTTACCTTTGGAGATCCTATAGACCATTCATTTCTTTCGAATTTGGTTTCTCTGTCTTAACTCACTAAACAGAAGCCAAAAAATAAATGTGTATCTGGTTATTTCAAGAATGTTGCCTTTATATCAAAGTATGAATCTGTGCTTTTCAAATGTAAAAAGAAAATTTATTGGCAAGACAAATGTCATTCCCTCTTTGCTTTGCATATTTGGATTTCTTAAAAGGGAAGTTTGTGTTAACTCAAAGGTTGTCTGCTTATGGATGGTATCTAGTGTTCTAACAAAGCCACTAATAATAGGGGGTGATCAGTAAAGAGATAATGGTTCCTGGTTGGATTTGCTCCACAGAGTGCATTAAGTTAGGAAGAAAAATGAAGATCCATTCCATGGACCAAGGCGCTGAGCACCTGCTGATTCTATCCTCAGATGGAAAGCCATTTGAGTACAACTACAGCATAGAACATGCAAGGTAGGGAATTGCTTTTTCTCTGGTTAAAAATGGTTGTAATTTCACACAAAGAGTAGGAGTAACTTTTGTAGGAAAATGCTGCTTTCTATGGTTCTTGTCTCACCGTTAATACAGTATAATCAGCGTCTTTGCTAATGCTGAATTTAGAACTGACCAGTGAAGTCCAACAGTGTGCCACAAACCATTGTGTGCCCTAGGGCAGTTATCTTGTGTGTTATTTTGGTATTTGAAAAAAATCCTTCACTGGTCCTCCGAGCTCCAAATTAGGGTTGCACAACAATAACTTGCTTGTTCCTCACAATGATCCTGAAGAGTGAAGTTCCAGAAATGAAAAATTTTCAACCTAGAAAAGAAAATGCATTGTCATGGAACAGTTTGTAAGACTTTTTTTACCCTGTAGAGCATGTGAGTTAGAGCTTATTTTAGCCTTGTATTTATTCCTGTACTGTGAAATTGTGTAAGAATCTTTCAGAGGTATCTTATTGCAATTATGTTATGCTTGCTATTCAGGATATTACAGTATTTTTATACTTCTAGATGCATTGAAGGTGAACAACACACTTGAAGCTTTTTCTTGAGGTCCATTCCTAATTAAATGCGGTTAGTGATTCTGGCGTCTGTATTGTGGCTTTCATTATGGTGATTGAGATAAAATATATTTTGTTTTATCAGGTTTCAAAGTATTTTACAAGAAAAAATTATAATTCAGATCACATGTGGAGATTATCATTCTCTTGCACTATCAAAAGGTACTTTTCTGCTATATTAATTGCCTTTAATATGTGGTAAGCATATATATGTGTAGAACAGTAGGAATTTATGTGCTTCACTTGTAACTGGGTAGAAATACTGTATGGAATTTGACGTGGTCAGAGCACACAGTTCATAGGTGACACAAAATAAGGGAGAAAATTTTTGGATCTGTGAAATCTTTAGTTTTCCAAAAATCATCTTTTCTGTGTTTCATTCCATGTTTTTATTTTGCAAATAGGAGATAAACAGATTTTCCTGGAAAACCAAAGCAGTTCTGCTTCTAATTTGGTCCAGGCCTCCGCCAGCATTTTCACAGAACATTTTCCCTTTTGCTTAGCATACTTCTCACTCCTGTGGTAGTAGCTCAAAGTCTCCCAATTGTGCTTTAATGGTTTTTGTATTTTTTTTGTTGTTGTTTTTTTTATTTTGAAAAGACAGCAACAGAGAGACTTCTTAGCAGCTGGGGCACTTCCTGGCAGCCTCTAGGGATGAGGCTCACCCAAGCTGGGGACCAGGAATTCAATTCAGGTCTTTCTTGAGGGTGACAGGGACCCACAATAGCTGCCCCCCAAGTAAATTTTTTTTTACTGTTAACCTTAAGTTTATTGGAAGGAGGAAAAAAGATAAATACTAGATTTTCTACATATGCCATGCTTACCACATCATGATACATTTAAATGTCAGAAAGTTCAATTCCCCCAAGTGAATTATAAGGTGTTTACTTGGGATCTTCAGGCATATAGTTTTAGGTTTTGTTTTTCAAGAGATTTCTGTTTTGCATAGACTCGTCCTGTGGATTTCATAAGGTGAGAATTTCCTGACTCTGAAATGTTTAAGTAGCTTCATTCTACTTCTTGAGGTGAAAGAAAATAAAAACGTGTAGCTACAGCACAGATTCTGTATATTTTTTGAGCCAAACCAAAAAAAAAAAAGTGGGATCTAAGAGTGTCGTTGGCGAGCTTGTGAGATGCTGTAGCATTATGCTGGGCCTAGTGCAGCATGCCCTGGGTAATGTCTGTTGCCGTTTACAGTGACTAATGCTGCATTTTCTTTGTTTATGTCAAGGTGGGGAGCTTTTTGCCTGGGGACAGAACTTGCATGGCCAGCTCGGAATTGGAGAGATGTGTCCCTCAGTCCCTGTCCCACAGATTGTGGAGCACCTCGCTGGAGTCCCCCTGCTTCAGATCTCTGCGGGAGAAGCCCACAGCATGGCCTTATCCATGGCCGGAAATACCTACTCCTGGGGAAAAAATGATATGGGGCAACTAGGCTTGGGCCACACTCAGAGTATGGAACATGTTTTTAAATTTGATTTCTCAGCAAATATGTTTGTTCAATAAGAAATGATTTAATATAGACCTTCTTGTCAAAGGGGAAAATGGTTCCGTCTTCCCTGGACAGTCACTGCTGTTCTTGATCATGTCCATGCTCGGAGCAGTCAGTCCAGGGCTGAGGGCAGTGTGGATGTTGTTGCTGTGGGTGAGACCTGTTTCAAGACAGTGCAGAAGGTGGGAAAGCATCACAACACCTGGCTGCTGACACCCACTTTCTGATTTTTTGTTTTGTTTTGTTTTTTGATTTTTGTTTTTCTTTGTTTTTAAGGTTGATTTAATTGGAAGGCAGAGCAGCAGAGATGGATAGAGATATTTTGCTTCTGTTGGTTCACTCCCTAGCCAGGTCTGGGTCAAGCTAAACCAGGGGCCAGGAATTCCATCTAGATTTCCCATGTGGGTGGCAGGGGCCCGAGTTTTCCGGCCAGCATACACTGTCTTCCTAGGTGCACTAACAAGGAACTTTATCTGAAGTGAAGCAACTGGAACTTGAACCAGGTCTCCAGTATGGAATGCTAGTATCACAAGTAGCAGTTTAGCTTGTTATATCAGAATGTTGGCTCCCATTTCACACTTCTCAGTTAAATAACTTCAGGCCCCTGCCAGTCTCTTAAATTGTTCCTAGACCATAGTTTCTTGTTTTGGAAAGTGACAAGTTTGAATGAGGTGACCTCCAAGTGCCTTTGCATTTAAAGCATATTGTAATTTTGTTCTTAGAAAAGGAGAGTAAACCATTCTTACTTAGAAATCTCACCTGCCCTGATCCTTTTCTCAAAGGTGTTATATCTATAAAACACATTAACTTGTGGTTCCCATTATTGAACTCCACCACTTCAGAGCAGATGGCAGCATTTCTCATGGCCCCAGACAGTATATACAAGGGTTCATAGGTACAGCCCCCTCTGCTGCTTTTCTCCAGCTATGATAACTCAGTCTGTGTCACCCTGGGTCATTGACCCAACCCTGCATGTCTCCTTGACACGGGCCCACGTTGATTATGCGGGGATAACCTATAACTCAGTGTTAGAAAGATATTCTGAATAGGGAAAAGTGAAAGTGCTTGAACTGAAAAGTAACCATAAAAAGAAGTGTGAGCAAAGGATACTGTGGTGTTTAAAAGGAAAGAAACTTGGTTAGCTCTCATTCCAGCTGGAATTGCGTATAGCAGGGGAGGTGCACTTAATGTGAAATCAGGCCAGGTTGGAAAGAGAAGCCCAGGCTCTATGAAACAGCCTGGGCTTTTCACAGGGGATACCTCTCAAAGTGACCCTCTTGGTTGTTACCACATGCCCATCTTTTGGCCTACAAGTTGGGCCTAAAGACCTTGAGCTTTTCTAGTCTCCCTGAGACAACTGTCATTGCAGCTGTTTTTCCCTTGTATAGATGAAGATTCCCCTTGCCTCATTGAAGCACTGGACAACCAGAAAATTGAGTTTGTGGCTTGTGGAGGTTCCCACACTGTCCTGCTCACACAGGTGGGTGTGTTATTGGCTTTGTGTGACCCTGCAACTGTGAGAACACCTGGTGTGGGTGGGCAGTTTGTGCTTCCCAGGAGAGAAAGGCCATCCCTTACCCATGAGTGCTGACCCCTGGCAGTCGGAGTGTTGCCCTTGGCTCTTGTTTGAAACTGTTACTAGGTGACACAGAACCTTGGATTGGATTTCTTTTATTTTTTTTTTCTTTTAAGATTTATTTATTTTTATTGGAAAGGCAGATTTACAGGGAGAAAGAGAAATAGAAAGTTCTTGCCTCTACTGGTTCACTCCCTAAATGCCCACAATGGCTGGAGCTGAACCAGTCCGAAACCAGGAGCTTCTTCAGGTCTCTCACGTGGGTTTAGGGGCCCAATAACTTGACCATCCTCCATTGCCTTCACAGGCCATAAGCAGGGAGATGAATGGTGGAGCAGTGGGCCATGAACCAGCACCCATAGGGGATGCTGGCACTTTTTGAGGATTAGCCAGCTGAGCCATCATGCCAGTCCCTGGATTTGAATTTCTTCAGCATCTGACATGAAGTTCCCTCTCCTTAGGATGGGAAGCTATTTACTTTTGGCGCTGGAAAATGTGGACAACTTGGTCACAACTCAAAGCGGAATGAACTAAAACCCCGATTGGTGACTGAGCTTGTTGGGAAGAGAGTGACCCAGATAGTATGTGGGAGGTGAGTTGTCAAGAGCTCTTTTGGCACGTGGGAAATTCCAAGGGTTTGGCAATAACTGTCCAGTTCCTGGGGTCAAAGGCCAGACTTCTATTTGGACAAGGCGGGTTTCTCTGCTGCACACCAGTGCAGACGGAGAGGGGAAGTGAGTGGTGGACTGACTTAATGACTGCCAAGAAGAGGTGGCTCAAGCTGACGCATGAGAAAATGGTAGGAGCCAAGGGGAGGTGTTTATTCTCAACAGATGGGACACTGCTTATTAAAGTGTGTCTTCGGGATCTGCAGTAGTAGACTTGGGGAAGGGATGGGGGGGTGGCGTTCGAAAATCTTGTAGCCACACAGTGGTGTCTTGGTTTTCCAGATGGGAAGCAGCTTATAGAAGAGAGCTGGATCACAAGGTTCATTCTTACTGGGCGGTCCAGGATACTTTCCCCACCAAAGATAATTAGTGAACGACTGCATGTGCTTGTATTTCATAGATGGCACACACTTGCCTATGCTGCTGGTTTGGGAAAGGTCTTTTCCTTTGGTTCTGGAAAAGAAGGACAACTGGGAAGCCGTGGGACACAGAATCAGCTGATACCACGCCCCATGAAACTGTCACCCAATGGAGAACTCAAATTTGGTAATTTTCATAGGCACAAAGGATTTGACATAACACCTTGTTAGAGAAAGCAATTACATGTAATAATCTGTCAAGGAAAGCCTTGATGACTGTGAAGGGAGCTTGTCTAAACATTGGTTTCATTTTTTCTAACCTGTAAGCAGTGTAAAAGATTGGAGATAGCCTCTCAAGTCAAAATAACTATTAGTTTGGTGTTACTCCTTCAGAATAGAATTATTGTGTATTTGAGTGGCAATAAAAGAAAATAGACTGGATTCAGAAGCACATGCAGCTTTGATTGCAGTTTGCAGGGAATTCAGTAATTCCATGGTGACTGGTTTTCTGTGGATAAATTGGTCCATGGTGTGTAAAATTCTTAGAATGAGGGGCAACTGGCACATATCAGGTCCTGTAACTGTTCAGCACTTACTGTGTTTGCTTACCTATCTTTGTTACAGTTTTGGGATTGTGCAGTCGAGCTAGAGAGAGGGATGTAGTTTAAAGATTGATTTATTTGTTTTAAAGGCACTGTTACAGAAGGGGAGAAGGAGCGGCAAAGAGAGAAAAATCTTTCATCTGCTGGCTCACTCCCCACATGGCTACAGTGGCCAGCACTGGGTCAGGCAGAAGCCAAGAACCAGGAGCTTCTGCTAGGTCTCCCGTGTGTATGCAGCGGCCCAAGTAACTTGGGGCAGAAGTGGAGGAGCTAGGACCCAAACCGGCACCTATAAGGGATGCCTCCATCACAGGAAACAAGCTTAGTGTGCTACAGTGCCAGCCCCTTGACTGTGCCCCATGTAACCTCAGCCTGGAGGCCTTCAAATACTACTGTAGAAGCGCGGTGGGGTATTTTCACTGAATGTTTCTGAAAGCATAGTAGTGACCCTAACAATTCTTTCACTTCTGGAGAAAGCAGCAGTAGAAATCATTTCCTTAAGCAATTCATATATTATTCTTTAAGTTCTTATCATAAGTTACATATATTTTTATGGCCAATAGTCATGGAATAAATCTTTTTATTATGATTTTTAGTGATGGAGGCCAAATTAAACTAAACAAGAGTTAGCCAGTTAAGTATGTGTGCTTTTTATACAGGCATTGATGTTAACTATGTGAATTAAGCTGATGTCACATGTCAACTTTATCACCACCTGTGTTTTCCAACGAGACTTCACAATGAAGTATATATGGCTGTGTTTTATTGGTGGGAAATTTGCTGAATCTGTTCTAAAAAATATGACATGGCTGTTTAAGAGGATCTTGAAGTTTAAACAGAGTATGTACGCTTGTGCCAAATGGCTTTCTAAACTTTCATTCTTTCAGAAAGTAGAACCTCAGAAAAGGAATTAATAATGATTGCTGGAGGGAATCAAAGCATTTTGCTCTGGATGGACAAAAAGGTAAATCTAGATATCTGAATTTTCTGTAATATGATATTCTCATATTTGAGAGACAAGGAGAGTTTCTGTCTACTGGTTTACCTCCCAAATGCACACAAGGATTTGGGACTGGGCTGTACCAAACCCAGGAGTAAAGAGTTCAGTCAGGTCTCGCACATGGGTGGCAGGAGTCTCTTCAGACTTCCATTCTCTTCCCAGGTTTGCAAGTGCAATCTGCAGGAGTCAGGAATTGGAGGGCATCAAGCCAACGCCAAACCAGCATTTTAAATGTTAGGCCAAAGGATTCCAGAATCCAATTCCAAAATCAGGTCACGAGCCTGACTTTTTTGAATTAACTAGGCATTATTAACCCTTTATTATCAAAACTACACATTTCACTCCAGAATCAGTAGACTTGTTCCTGGTGAATGAGTGATTCACTTGGTTAACAACTGGAGCGCATCCATGCTTCATTGTGGCCTTGAACTGTATGTACCTGCTGGTCTGTTCATCTCTAGTGGTCATTTGTTGATTGGGTTCTTTGTTCCTGTACTAATGAGTTAAGTTTCTTAAGTAGTCTGATTATCAACAATTGCTGTGTAGTTTGTGAATATTTTCCTCCATTGTCTGGGTTGTCTGATTATGTTTATTTGGTTCCTTTCCTGAGCTAAACCTTTTTAGTTTGATAAAGTCCCAGTGCCTTTTTTTGGTTTTGTTTCTTACACTTTAGTCTTACTATAGTGTTCTTGTCCATTGCAGTGTCCTGAAGTGCTTTGTTTTCTTTTAGTAGATTTGTGCTACACATTTTGGTCTTTAATCCATTTTGACTATATATATATATAAAAAGATAGGGGCCCAGTTTCATTGCTTGACATGTGAATATCAAAATTTCCTGCCACCAGTTATTGAACAGACTATCATTTCTCCAGAGTGTGTTCTTAGCACGTTTGTCAAATATCATTTGGCAGTTGACGTGTGAGTTTACTCTCTGCTCAGTGAGCTCAGTACCTTCTGGTATTTCCTTTTTTACTTATCAGCATCTCTTCAGTTTGAAAAATTTCTTGGCACATCTCATAGATAATATCTCATGGTAATAAATTCAGCTTTTATTTTTTTTTTTAAGACTTACCCTGTTTTTATTGCAGAGTCAGACACACAGAGAGGAGGAGAGACAGACAGGAAGATCCTTCGTCCAAATTTCACTCCCCAAGTGGCCTCAATGGCTGGCGCTGCGCTGCTGTGCAGGGGCCAGGAGTTCCTCCGGGTTTCCTATGTGGGTGCAGGGCCCCAAGGCATTGGGCCGTCCTCAACTGCCTTCCCAGGCAATAAGCAGGGAGCTGAATGGGAAGCAGAGCAGCTGGGACCAGAACCAGCACCCACATGGTATCCCGGCGCGTCCAAGGCGAGGACCCCAGCCGCTAGGCCACGGCGCAGGGCCCAAATTCAACTGTTTTTTTTTTAAAGATTCATTTATATTTATTGGAAAATCAGATTATAGAGAGGAGGAGAGACAGAGAGGAAGATCTTCCTTCCAATGATTAACTTCCCAAGTGAGCGCAATGGCCGATGCTATGCTGATCTGAAGCCAGGAGCCAGGAACTTCTTCCAGGTCTCCCACACAGGTGCAGAGTCCCAAGGCTGTCCTCACCTGCTTTCCTAGGCCACAAGCAGGGAGCTGAATGGAAAGTGCAGTTACTGGGATTAGAACCGGCACCCATATGGTATCCTGGCGCATTCAAGATGAGGACTTTAGCCGCTAGGCCACGCTACTGGGCCCCCAAATTCAGCTTGTAATTGTCTGGGAATGTCTATGATTTGTTTTTGAAGGATAACTTTTCTGACTGGGCATCCATTTTTATGTGTCTAAAATACCGTTTTTTACTTTGTGTTTGTTCACAGAATTCCTATGTTAATTTGCGAAGGAAAATTCCTACAATGAATGAAAGCACAATAAAGAGATGGATTGCTGATGTGGGGACTAAGCAGTGGCAGAATACAAAAAGGTACGTGAATCCCACTTGTCTGACAGTGCTTAAATATTTCCAGAAACTAATTCTGCAGAACAGAGCTGGGAGATTTTTGTGTCCAAATGTTCACCCATTGTTAAGATTTTTTAGAGAAAGAGAATGAACAGGAGGCGTATGTTTCTGCCTGCAATCAGTTGAAAGATCAGCTGAAGGAGACATTGTTTATTGTAATGCCTTGGTTCCAGTGATGTGGTTGTTGGCAAGTCTGAAGTGTGCCCATCTGGCCGGCAGGGTGGAAGAGTGCTTACATGCACAGTAGCGTTTCTTGGGCAACTGACTTTTTCCCCATAAGGCCTTCAACTGGTTGAATGTGGCCCAGTCTACCCTGAATAGAGGGTTGTATGCCTGATTCAATCTCTACTGTTCTCATTGTTGAGTCTGTAAGAAGAGCTGCACAAAAACACCTTTACTCGTGTTAGGCCAAATGTGGGGTACTGTGGCCCAGCCATGTTGACATGTGAAATGTATGTCACAGCTGGCATGCAGGCTCCATGAGGACAGTGTTCTTGACTGCCAGACTTCCTTCACCTTTAGTACGTGTAGGTAAATTGTGGTCTGCAGCATCTCCCAGTCTGTTTGACCTGGAGCTGCTTGTTTGTGTCCTTCCTGTTCACAGTCGAACAGGTGGACAATCCCTACTTTTTTTTTTTTTGGATCATCTCTACTTTAAGCCATGTGGTTTCTACCCTATATAAACAGCATACTCATTCATACAAGGAACATCCTTCAGACAATTTTCTTTTAATTTTTTTTTTATTTGAACAGCTGATTTCTAGAGACAGTGATTAGAGAATGCACTTTCAGTCACTGGTTCACTCCCCACATGGCAATAATGGCTAGAGCTAGAGTGATCTGAAACTAGGAGCCAACAACTTCATCCAGGTCTCCCAGATGGGTACAAGGAACCTCTAATTTTGGAAAAACAGTTGTACAAAACAGTTGCATGCATAATATGCAGTTATAAAGCTGAGCGTATCCCCCGTTTAATTTCTGATAATTTATTTTTGTTTCTACTTCAGTGGAACAGAAATAAATAAGGCATGGGACTGTTGGTGGCATGAGAACATTTTGATTGTTCAAGAAAATATCCTAGACCAAGAATTTTCCTATTTCACTGAGGCTTCTCAAAGCATATGTCTCTTTACTTCTCATGTTTGACACTAGAATTTAGTAATTTGACAAATACAGCAACCTTAGATGAGAAGCTAGTGCAAAGAAACAGAAGGCACAATTTTGAGGGCAAGTTTAAAGTGTTTTATTATCGTATCTCATGCTGTAAGGAGTTAAAGTGTACAAGTAGGTTTAACCACTGTCTTATTCCTAATGTAGGGAAATTCGAGAGATATTTACATCTTCTGCTTGCCTGACTGGAAGTTTTTTAAGACAAAGGTAAAATACATAAAAAATCTGTGGCACATAGTGTGAAAGAGTGTAACAAAAATTTCGAGGGCAGAATAAGTGCTTAATCTTTTTGAAATCAGTATTTTAACAAAAGCAAATATGTGATTTCTGTAGAAAATTTCTGTCAAAGCTACAGACATAAACGAAACAAAAATGAAATGACCCCAGTAAACCACTTGAGTATATATTGTTTTTCTCTGCATTCTTTTACCAAAGAATGATCTTACTGTTTTAAATGTTGTTTACGCTATTTTCTATTTAATTAGTATCTTATATTCAAATTTTTCTGCAACATCATTTTAATAGCTGAGGGGAGTCCATGGCAAGGTCATTGTTATTATTTTTTAAAAAGTTTATTCGTTTTACTTGAAAGAGGAGACAGAGGTCTTACTTACATCTGCTGGTTCACTCCCCAAATAGCAACAGCCAGAATTGGGCCATTCCAAAACTGGGCTTCAAGAGCTGCTTCCACATCTCCTACATGGGTGTAGGGGCCCAAGGCCTTGAAGCATCCTTTGCTGCTTTCCCAGGCCAGCATGGAGCTGGATTGGAAGTTGGACAGCCAGGGCTTAGCCCGCTTCCCATATGGGATGCTGGCACTTCACGCAGAGCAACCTAATGTGCCACTGTGCTGTTTGCTAGTTTTTAACGCGTTTGTTTGAGAGGAGGAACACGAACTAGCTTCATTGGGTCCAGAGGTGGGAGCTAGCCTGGGTCTCCCCATGGATAGAAGATACCCAGTTACTTGAGCCATTTCTGCTGCCTCCCAAGGTCTGCTGTAGCAGGAAGCTACAGTCAGGGGCCGGAGCCAGGGGTGGACCCAGGCACACTGGTGTGGGGTAAGGGTGTCTTAACTGCTGGCTGAACAAAGGCTTGCTCCCCCAGCACAATTTACTTACTCGGTTAATGCTAAGTAACACAGTTGTTAACATTTTTATTAGCTAAAAGCTGATTTCATCCTACTTAAATATTTGTATATTTCTTTAAAGCATTTTTTCCTGTTTTTAAATAGTATTTTATAAAGATATTCAGTGAATGTATTAATCTCAGCATTAATGTCATTCATGCATGAAGATACTTACCTTTATCACTAATAGTTTTCTGTTGGAGAGCTAAGAATTTACCATTCTGAAGTCCTTTTTTAGTCTCCACTTTTTTAGTTTATGTAACTGAAAGAAATAGTCACATTCTTTCAGAAACAAAATAAACTTTTATAATTTTTCTGTGAATGTTTTCTCTACAGGAAAATAGATACTTAATGATTGTCCATTTTAGATTTAAAAAAAAATCTGAATAAAAATCTTACAGTGTTGTAGTTGGTGCAGCCTTGATAGTTTTTGACATCTTAGATATAACTGTATGTTTCCTCCTCCATCTTCAGTTGTATTTATAGTTAAACGAACTATCACAGCTAATTTTTAAAGTTTTAAACTCTAAAATGGACAGCCAGCCAGAGATCTAACTACTGGTTCATTCCCCAGCTATCTACTATAGCTGGGGCTGGCCCAGAGTTAGAAAGTTGAAGCAAGGTACTTTTACTGAAATGGGACTACACTAGAAAAAAAAGTTGCATCTAGGTAGATAATACAATTAGGTACTTCACCTTCAAGTGTCTGTTTGAGTTTGCTTACCCATTTTATTTCTCTTTATTTTACAGACTAGCTGTAGAACCCACGTCTGTTCACTTGGACTTAAATATAGCAAGAAGTGCCTTTAAGGAGCTAACCCAAAAGGACTGGATCACTAACACGGTGGTAGCCCTCAGATTGCTATTTGAAGAAGAAAATACACCAGAACGTTTCTTACAAGAACCAAAAATTTCAGAAGAAATATTTTGTTTTAAGGGAATTTGAGACTGTAGTGTATCTAGGTTAAGTAAACATAACATTCAAGGATATGCCAGATTAGAGTGAAAAAATTGGTATAATGATAACACTGGTTGCAAATATCTGAGTAGTAGGTCTGTACATAAAAACACTAATATGCATATGTATTTCTGGAGGGGATATATATTCAACTTAGAGCTTTGGTAGATGGTTATGGATCTGAAATAAGAACGCTTCATGTGTGGTTAAATATAATTATAAAAATGAGGATTTGAGCATTCCCTTCAGCAAGGACAATTTGCATTTTTCCTCTCTGTTTTTTTCTGTCAGGCATCTTTCTCTGCTCTGGATTTAGAATATTCTTTATGGGACTGTTGCTTCCTGTCTTAATAATTTGTTAGTCTTTAGGTTTTCCACACTTGCAGATACCCCAAAGATGCCTTCTTTATCACTTCAGCCTTCTTGATTCAGCCTTTACTAGTTAAAATTACCCTTTTCTGATGTGCTGACTTGTCTAGGGGTGGCAGTACTTGGCTGAGTTCTTCTTGCAGTTCTTTTCTCTCTGGTTCCTTCTTTCATCTTCCCTCTTCTTGCACAGAGCTCCCCCCTCATCTGTCTCACCCTCTGTTCCTCTCCTGTGCTCTTACCCTCCTTCCTCCTCTTCTCAGCTTCTTAGCCTGCAGGGTTGCTCTGCTACAGTCAGCATTCTTTATATTCACTCCAGTATTCTCTCTCTATCTCTCATATATTATTCTCTTAAAGGGAGAGGGGAATTCTGCTAACTCTGGCAGAGTTGTAGCCTATTGAGGGGTCCCAGAACAAAACTGCTCCCTATTGATGTGTTTGTGACACATTTTTGAACATTGAGGAATGCTAGGCAAAGACCTGTGCTGTGGACTCTCCCATCAACATTTGTTCCTGCTTATTTTCCTTTGAAATCCTTCCATTGATGAGTTTAGCTCTGTGTAAAACTCGCATTCGTTTTGAAATCTGTGAAGGGAAGGGCAAGAATCAGTTCATCACTACAGGCCCTCCTGTTGGTTAATTATACCTTAGTTGGATCAGAAAAATAATCCGTGGTGTACAACTGATGGAGCCACGGGGCACTCCTTCCTTCCTTCCCCTCTGCTACTTTGCAGGGTCAGACCTGTGCTGTTTCTCTCCTGAGTCCATGGTGTGCGCTCAGTACTTGTTCATTTAATTTGGCAAACATTTTAGCACATGTCTTGTGGGTCCTGAAATGAGGACTAGAGGTGACAGTTGTACCCCCTGTCCTTTGGAAGTTCATGATTTATTTGGGTGCAGACACAGATGTGCAGGTGTAAGTGAAAAGACCTGTGTGTCTCAGCCCCCACTATGTCCCTTCTTGTTGAGCTTGGCTTGCACTGAGTGCACAGCAGGTGGGTTTACATGAATTGTTGTCATTAGGGCAATGAAACAGCCTCAGGATGCTGAACACATGCAGCCAAGTGAAGTCCACCAGCTGCCAGCAGTGGAGGGAAATTCCCCGGGGGCCAGGAAAGTGCAGGGAGGACAGCTCTCTTGCTGCGGGGTTTGTAGTGAGTGGGGTGGGGTTCAGGATGTGACCCATGGTGTTTACTAAGTACTGTTGTCAGGGTGGTGTGTAACTCTGTGGACCGAACCACATAGGAGGAGGCTGGCATCATGGTTTAATAGCCATTCAGAAGAGATCACCACTTAGATGTGTGACCCTGAGCAAGTTAACTTAATTTCTCAGTGGTTCAGATTTTTTAATCTGTAAAATTAGATTGTTAATAACATTTGCAATACGTGTAAATCATCTAGCATATTATCTGGCAAATACTAAGTACTCTATAAATACTAGCTTATCTTCATAGTTGATTTTTAAACATGTTGGTTACTGATATCTGAACAGGCATTATCAAAATTCAGAATTCAGTTGGAACTTTACCTGAATAGTTGTTTCTGAATTGGGGAAACTAGAAGATTAGAAGAATTAGAAATGACAATTTGGTGTGGAAACAGGTGGCTCTATTAGAGGATCTCAGAAAACCACGTTGTGTTGTGTTGTGTTGTGTTGTGTTATTGGGGTTGTTGCTTTTTTGTTGGGTTTTTTGGTTTTTACTTTTTTTTAGCTTTTGAGGGGTTGTGGCATATTATTGGTATAAAAATATGTGGTGCTAATATGACCTAGAGGATAGAGTATAGCACCTAATTAATGGAGAGGACTGCCTATTAATTCTGTATCTATCATCCAGTGTGATTCTTGCACATGGATTCCTTCTCAGTCTTAGCAGTGGAACTGAATTATCACATGTCTACATTTCTCATATTTAAGAGGTCAGATGAGATGTCACCATGGTTTTTTTGAAAAACTGGTGCTTCTGATTTCATAGTACAATGAAACAGTTGGTTCTGTGCCTTGTTGCACCCATTTCCAGCTGAGTTTCAAATGCCTGTTTCTGATCCTTCCTCACCACAGATTACTACCTGTCTCCGCGATAATTTGCTCAAGAACCTTCCAGTTCATTCTCCACACAAAGAAGCCCTGGAAATTTTCTTCATTCTCCCAGAATGCCCTGTGATGCATGCTTGTAACAACTGGGAGAGTCTGGTGATTCCATTTGCAGATGCTATTTATAAGTTGAGTGACCAGTCATCAATGGTTCTAGGTAAGATTGAGGATTCACTTTTGCAAGGATTGTGTCCATCTAATCAATGGAAAGCTGCATCTAGCAGAGTTAGAGTAATGTTGATATAATTATGAATGTATTCTATTATACTTGCAGCTTTAGCCTGCTCCAAAGATGCTGTGATATTTACTGTGATAATTTAAATTATATTATTCTAGTGTGTTATTTAGAGTTCTCGGAATGTTGGCCATGAGATCCTTTGTCTCCAGTTTCTCATTATGAAAAGTTTCACACAGAAGTTGAAAGAACAGTACAGTAATTACCCATGTTCTCTTTACAGCACCAATAAACTTGTCATGCTTTCTTCATGTGTGAATTTTATTTCACTCTTATGAATTACTTGAAAGTGAGTTAAGGACGTAACATTCCACTCATAGTGTTTGGTCTCTCACCTTAGAATATGGCATCTTCCATATTTAACATTGGTCAGAAGTCCATAATCTAATGTTGAAACCATATTCTAATTTCTCCACTTTTCCTAAAATACATATTTTACAAATTAAAAGGACTTCTTTTTTAATTTGAGAAGCAGAGGAAAATCATACATTGATGCATTCCCCACAGTGGCAAAATCACACCTCCCAAATGGGTGGCAGGAACCCGTTTATCTGAGCCGTTTATCTGAGCCGTAGCTTCCAGGGTCTACATTGATGGGAAACAGTTACAACCTAGGGCCAGGAATTAAGCCCATGCACCCTGAGGGGATGACGGGGAATGCAGGCATTAGCCACTAGGGTTTAAATGCTCCACCACACTCCTCTTCTTCTTTTTTAAAAGTATTCAGGTAAATTTGTTATAGGTTATCCCACATCCAGATTATTTTTTCCTCTGTATATTTACAGTCTGCTACAGATTATAAGGATATGAATAGATTTTGATGGAATTTTTAACATTCATAATATATTAAACCCAGGGAGGTCCATTCTTTGTTTTATGAAATCTAAATAACTTTTTAAAGGATGTAATGCTACCTTAAAGTTTCTTTAAATTATTACTTATTTGAGAGGCAGAGAAAGTTTCCATCCACTAATTTACTCTCGAAATATGTGGGGCAAAATGGGAGCAGAGCCAAGAGCTAGAATAGCAGTCCAAGTCTGCCTTGGAGGTGGCAGGAGCCCAGTTACTGACCATCACTGATGCCTGCCAGGGTATGCATTAGCAGAAAGTTGGAGTCGTGAGCTGGAGTCTGGAATCCAACCCAGGCATTCCAATATTCCTGCTAGATTTAATGTTTACCCCCAGTTAGTTTTTAACTCCTTTTAAAAGAGTAATTTTCATAATTAAAAAGAAAAGAAGATCTCTATCCCCAACTCCTTTTCTTCTTCCTTTTCTATCTGTATCATTCTGCATTTCAAATAAATAAATGCATCTTTTTTTTAAAAAAAAGTTAAAAACCAAGTTATACAGTCATAAGCATTCTTAACATAGTTTTTAACATATTATACTGTTTAATTCAGGGAAGGAATGTGGATTAGTTTGATTTTGTCTGATTTTCACTGATGAATTAGGTCACAGCTGGTTCTGTTACTGGCAAGGAACTTTTACAGGTGGTTAAAACCTAAACTTTTTATTACAATTATATTTATTCACTGAAAGGGTTGTTATTATTACATGTTTTGCATTGGTGATAAATATTACACTGTGCTGTAGTGTATGGGGAAATATTAACCATTTTTTACCTTTAATATTCCAAGACTAAAAGTGCACAATTAAATTTATCTTATGATCTTTCCCAGAGGAGTATTGGACAACTCTGCCAGAAGCTGCTTTCAGCCGGGTAGTGCAGATGGTCAGAAGCGCCGTTGCCTCTCGGCTGCGTTACTGGACTGAGAGCGCTGAGAGTAACCATCAGGTCAAAGTTCTTCTGGAGGTGCTAAAAAAGCTGCACAGGGTAAGGGTGCATCCAGCAACCTCTGCATCTTGGTTATTTGGCAGTAAATATCCCTCAGTTTCTGACGACAGACTTAGAGAAACCACAGAAGTTTACATTAACATTTTATTTGCTAGTTTGGAAAGAGTTACAGAGAGGGAGAAATAGAAACTTCATCTGGTGGTTCACTTCCAAAATGGCTACAATGGCCAGCCATGCCAAGAGCCAGAAGCTTTATCTAGGTCTCCCATGTGGATACAAGGGCTCAAACATGGTATGTCTTCCACTGCTTTTCTCAAGCCATCAGTGGTGAGCTGGTCTGAAAGTGGGTCAGACGTGACACAAGTTGACACCAGTATGGGGTGCCAGTATCACGGATGGTTTTCTGTTTGATTAAAAAAGCAGTGTGAGAGACACAAATTTGTCTGCTGGTTGACTTCTTGAATAGTTGTAACAGCCAGGTCTGGGCCAATCCAAGGCCAGGAATCTGGGACTCCCTTTGGCTCTTCCATGTGAATGCTAGGAGCCCAGGCAATTGAGCCATCTTCTGCTACCTTCCCCAGAGCCTGAACAGGGAGCTATATTGAAAGCAGAGCAGCCAGGATGCAAATCAGCACTCTTTACATCTGATGTTGATGTTGCAAGGTGACCCAACCCACCATACAACAATGCTGGTCCTCAGGTTTTGGTTTTTAGACCCAGTTCTGTAATTTCAGGTTGAGGCTATGTGTGTGTGTTCCTTGTTGTGTGCCAGTCTCTCTGCCGAAGTGGCTGGGACAGATATAGTCCCCTCTGGGAGGTGATGGGAATTTCTGTTACTCTGTCTGATTTGAAATTCCAGAAGTGTTTTCAATATGAAGTGCTACCAAATTATGGAAGCTGGAGAATTTGCTAAGGAAGCTCGGGATCTTGAGTGTTCAGAGGCTAGTCCTGCAGGGTTCTGTGTTCTGTTAGTGATGGGGTCCTGGGACAAAGGGAAGGACGTTGTGGAGGAGAGCTACAACTATGACTGTAAAGTAAGTCGTAGTGCTGGTGGGAAATTTTAGCTTTTGTTTCACAAGCTGGTATTTAATCTAATGAGAAATTTGTATTTCATGTGAAGAAGTGACCCTTGTACCAATAACTGACACACTGCATTTTCCTCAGTGTAGTCAGTGTGAATCTCCTAAGTCAGGTTCCCGTGGTTAGAGTTATTGTGGGCTGTCTTTTGTGCACTGGTCACATGGACAGCTCTAGGTTTATTGTTTTGTCTGGGAACAAAAGTCTACATCTTGCTTTTTAAATGTGTCCTGGCTGATTTGGGCATTTGGCTTGTCTCGATAAATACCAGAATGTTTTCAAGTTATACATATATGCGCTCACAGACACATGCACACAAGGAGTTTGATTGGAATTGCATTGAATCTGAATTTCACTTTTGGGGGAACCAACATCTTGACAGTTGTGAATTTAAAATTACTGTGTCTCCATTTGTTAGGTTTTCACAAGGTTTTGTTACTTTACTGTAGAAGTCATATAAATTTAGTCAAACTTATCCCAAGATATTTCACATTTTTAGTTTATTGTAAATGGTATTTTAAAAATCACGTTATTGGAGGCTTGCACCTTGGACAGAATGCTAATCCTCTGCCCTATGGTGCCAGCTTCCCATATGGGTGCTGTTTCTTGCCGCTGTTGCTCCACTTTGTGTTTAGGACTCTGATTATGGCGTGGGAAAATACCAAAGGGCAGTCCAAGTCCTTGGGACACTGCATTCACATGGAAAGGAAGATCTTCCCTGGAGGAAGATCCTGGATCCTGGCTTTACACTGGCCACTCCAGTAAAATAAATAAGTCTTTACAAAAAGAAAAAGATTTTTTAAAAGATTTTTTTTTAAGAGGACACGGCTGCCCACCACGCCCAGACCCTCGTTTGGTTTCTCAGCTTTGGCTGCGTCCACCCGGTGGCACTGGTATATTTTATTTTTATTGAAAGGGCAAATTTAAAGAGAGAAAGATCTTCTCTCCATTGATTTACTCCCCAAGTAGCCACAGTGGCAGGAGCGCTGAGCCAATCTGAAGCTAAAAGTTAAGAGCCTCCTAGGGGTGTCCTATGTGGGTGCAAGGTCCCAAGGGCTGTCCTCTACTGCTTTCCCAGGCCAAAAGTAGGGAGCTGAATGGGAAGTGGGGCAGCCAGGACACAAACTGGCACCCACATGGGATCCTAGAGCATGCAAGGTGAGGATTTAGCTATTGAACCATTATGCCGGGCCCATGTGTTGATTTTGAAATACTGAGTTGTGTATCCAACAATTTCACCAAATTCTCAGGCCATAGTTAGTGATTTACCTGTTGAATTTTCTGTAATGATTTTTCTTATCCTAACACATGCTAATATTTTTCTCTCTTACTACATAGACAACACAGGGCATTCCTTGAAGTTTTCATGTGAATTGAAAATGTGCAGACATTTATCATTATATCATCAGTCTCTCTTATTAAATTTTAGATACTCTTTACAGCCATGAGGCATTATATAGGATTTTATTCTGATCATTTAAAAAGTGTTCAATATACTGCTTGCTCTGATAATTTAATAGCCATTGAACAAAATTGTCTTTAAATATGAAACTTTATCACAAGTCCTATTTTACTTCAGGTAAATCAGACTACATGCCAAGTGCCTGAGGAAGAGTTTGTGGTGGATGAACTCTTGGACTGGCTCAACTTTTATGGAGAAGCCTATAGACAGCACTGCAGGAAAGCAGACATGGTAAGCATTGCATTTACCTAGAGAAATAGATAGTTCAGGAATTAATATGGGTATCTGAAAATCTTTGCACTCTTCAGAACTGCTTAATAGAAATAGTAGGACATGTGGGAAAAGCAGGACTCCTTAAACATGTGTGATTTTGTAGTCAGAGTTCTGGCAAAATGTGATTGTTAGCCAGGGATCAACCAGGAAAGCAGCTCATGGAGAGTGCTAAGGGAATGTAAGAAATGTGTGAAAAGCAAAGGATAGAATTCTGTTCACACTGTCATCAGAGAAAGACTGGTGACACTGAAACAGCTCAGATGAATGTGAGCTTTCATGCACTCCTGGTGTCACTAGGAGGCAGTGTAGCTTGCCCGGATCTAGCAGCAGAGGGCACAGCACCAGGAAACGGGGCCTGGGGTAGCAAGAAGCCTTATTTATTTGGGTTTATATACCTTATACTTACTAAACATACTTTATTTTACTAGTATTGCTGACCAACATTTTAGATTGCTTTATCTGGAAGTACTAAGTCCTTAAACTACCAGGGATTTAAGTTTGTGAGGTAAGATGTAAGATTTCTCTGCCTTTTAATTTGTTAGAGTTGTCATTTCCATTTTTAGGAAACTTCAGCAGAGGAACAGAATTCTGTGTCATTCAGCAACTTTTCATTTCTCTTTAATACTTTGACAAAAATTAAACTACTATATGCAGACTCACTTTTGAAAATTCAGGTATGTATAACTTACATTCATTAGCATAAACAGTAAGTACCTTTGTACACATGCAGCATTTGGGGATGATAAGGAAGCTGTCCACTCGGGAAATCAGTGATTGTAGAATTTATGAGTTTAGACTTCAGTGTGGGCCAAGTGGATGTCCCTGTTGGGGTTGGTACTGTAGGTGAGACTGGAGACATAGTGGGCTCTAGTTGTGCAGGCTGGAGCTTGGGCAGCAGGCTGAGAACTAGGATTAGTCCTTGAAATTTGTTGACAGCAGCCTCCCAAATTCTGAATAATGTAACTAGGGAGGAATATTAAACTCAGACTTGATTAGGACAAGGCCATTATTTATGCAGGTGCAGTCAAATGAAAAGATAGAGCATCGTGGATAAAGGTGACAGAGGATTCTTGAAGTTAGGACCACAGTCAGTCATGGTGGTGCCATAATTAAATGTCACCCTCTTCAGTGTACTGTTATTGCAAGACAGTGAAGGTGATTTCAGTTCTTGCCTCATGTCAGAGAATTTTCCACACTGATATAGACAGTAAGCAAAGTTTATTGAAAGGAAGAAACCTCCTGTCACAGTAGTCAGGAGAACTCCAAGAAAGCAGTTCCCAGAGAAGCTCACCAGTGTTGCCTGTTTAGTACACAGAGTTGCTCCAGCCTGTGTGAGCCGCCCCCAGTCTGAGAAGTAAGTACAGATTAAACCAGTCAGAGGGATGTCAGAGGCAACCAATAACAGGGCAGAGATAACAACCAATCAGGAGACCCAAATAACAGCCACTCAGGGAACTGAAAGTGTTAGCTGCTGAGGTATGCTTCATGAACCAGTCAGGGAACTGACAGTGGAGTAGACTATTTTGTGTAGAAGTAGACAGAGTGCTCAGTGAGGTCCACGCTTCAGATTTAACAACATCAAGTTACTCTATACATAATGTATTTTTTTCTTTCCTTTCTAGGGACCTTGAGTCCCCGTCACTACTATGACCAGCTCAGGGATTCAGTGTGCCCGGCAAGTGGTTTTGATCTTTACATGGGACAACTGAAAAATGTCTAGGAAGCTGGATCTGATAATCCCTGTCTCATTAATATTTATTAGGGTTAAACATTGATGAGGAGAAGCATTTGGAATAGTCTTTATGCAAAAGTACCAAAGCATTGTCTGAGCTTACCACTTTGATATATGTAGATTAATGTTTTCCAGTGCGTAATATCCAGATGCATATCCCTAAAGTACATAGTTCACATAGTGTACTCACCAATCCAAAACAAAATAGAAGGTGTATTTATAATTCTAAGTAGGACCACCTGAAAAATAGTTAACAAAGAAAACCTGAGAATTTTTTTTTCAAAAAATTTTGACAATCTTTACATAGTTAATCAGGGTAAAAAGGTTCAAGGGCTACAAAAGTGGGTAAGACTACAATTTTTCCATATTGTATCCTTCATCTTTAAAGGAGGGTATTAAGGGAGAAGGCCCACCCAATTTCCCACCCTCCCCAGGTCCCAGATGTAGGGTATGCTCTGAGGTTCTTGCTCAAGTGGTTTTGATATTTCAACAGTTATGAATTGCTGCCAGTCTTGCCACTCCAAGCACTATGAGGTCCTTGAAGAATCCACTGATTGACATAGTCCATCATAGCTGAGATGGTTGGTTGACCTGTTCTGTCTTCTCTCTTTTCTTGGTTAGGGTTCTGAGTCCAGCATTTTGATTGGGGAAATCTCCAAAGAAACTTTGTCTGAGGTGTTCTCAGACCAGATTATTGTGTGTTCTGGCAAGTACAGGGCCCAGCACAGTCCATCGCCCTGATCAGCTGGTGGGTGTGATTCCTGGGTTGGTTCTGTTTTCAGCCCCGACTTCCACTGGAACCAATGGGTGTTACAGTCCAGCCTGGTTCTGCCCAGCACATACTCGGCCCTCGCATAAAGCAGTGGGAGCTGCAGCCTAGTGGAGTGACCCGCAACAACCCCTACCAGGCCCGCCCCCTACCCTAGTTTGCCAGTATGTGTAGCAGTAATCCAGTCTGTCCCACACCCCATTCCACCCCAGCCCCTGTCCTAGTTTTATGCCCTCCCGTGGAAGTGGTAACCCAAGAGGGATGAGCCTACTATTTCCCTCCCAGGCCTCTTCCACTACCAGATTATGCCCTCTCCAGATAGTTCTGTGGTTTAACTTGACAGAACTAGCCCCCAGTGCCAGCTTCTGCCAGCTGATGCTGTAGCTAGGCCCAACCAACCCTCACCCACTCTAATTTTGTTTACACCAGTGGGAATAATCAGCCCAGCCCGGCTTTTCCTTGATCTAGTCCACAAGAGGCGCACAGGTGTTGTAGCCCTGCTTAGTCTGTTCTGCCCCCATCCCAGCCCATGCTCTCCTGCGGGAGTAGCTGTCCAGCAAAGGAGCTTATTCCCCTGCCGGCTCTAACCCCCTCCCTTCCTAGTTCTCATGTGTGCTGGTTGGGTGCTGCGGTCACTTCCGGTACAGGCAACCTCACCTTGGCATTCCCTATTGTGCACAAGTCTTTGTTGCGACCGAACCTGGCTCGACCCACACTGCTCTGGTGCTTGGATTTGCCAGTGGATGACGTGGACAGATTCAACCTGGTCTTCCCCCAACCCATGCCAATTGTATGCCATTGGGTAACTTTCCATGGCCTGTTCTGGGCTGTTTCCTATCATGTTTCTTGCGCTTACCTGCCAGGTCTGTGTCCTGCCAGAGGATTTGCCCAGGCTCCTCCATCAGAATCTCTCCCAGTGCCAGGTTTCACGGTTACCAGTGGGTCCATGAGCCAGCCCTACTCAGTTTACCTCCTGTCCTAGCAGGAACTGTGGCTTTTCCTGACTAGCCTTCAACCCAAATTGGTTCTTGCTGTTGGATGTTTCAGCCCAGCCATGGTTTGGCCACATATGGCTCACACATGGCTCAGTAGGGTTTTGAGACCTTGCCTAGTAATCCCGGTCCTCCAGGACACCAAAGTGTGTTGGAGTCTGGCCCAGCTCGGTGCATCCAATCCCAGTCCACACTTGTGCAAAGGGAGACTACAACCGTTTCCAGATCAGAACACAGCCCCCATTCCAGGTCACACGCCCCTTGGTGGGAACCTCAACCCAGCTAGGGTTGTCTCCTTAGCTCCCCAACCAGGCCTGTTCCCAGCCATAGATCACATGCATGCCAGTGGTTGCTCTGACTCAGCTTGGCACAGCCCCTCACCTGTCCTGACCTCTGCCTTAGATACTGTGGCTTAGCGTTCCTGACTCACGCAGACCAGTAGGTGCAAGAGCCTAGCTTGGCATGACCTGTGCTCCCTCCTGGTCTCTAGTTTTGCTTGTGGGCTAAGGATTGCTCAGTCCTGCCTGATCTACCCTGTTCCATTACCAATTGACACATTTACCAGCTGTTGGAGCTACTTTGACCAGCTTGTCCAACCCCCAGGTCTGGCCCACATGTTCACCAGCTGGAGCTATGACTCGCCAGGGGAGTTTCCCAAGTTCCTCCACTTAATCCACTCCCAGACCCAGTTTTCATATATGCCATTGGGTTTAGGCCAGGTTCTGGCGAAGTCTGGCCTTCCATTTGGCCTTGTATGAGCTGGTGAATGTTGCAGCCCAGCCCACCCCACACCCTAATCATGATGCACAATCAGGTGCTGCTGCCCTGACCTGTCCAGACTGTTGTGGGTTCCTTCACCTGTGATTGATGGCAGGCTCCTTGGTCACACCTGGCTTAGTCCATCACCACCCCAACTCTTGAGATAACCAGTGGGGCTAGAATTTTCACAGGATGTGGCCCACACATCCCTCACAGAATTTACCCCCGGTTATGGTTCTCGAGTGCTAGTTAATGTAATGGCCTGCTTAATGTGACCCTTCTCCTGATCCATCATCATGTTAGGTAGCGTGATATAATTTGGCAGGACAAGCCCCAGGCCATAGCTTCAGCATGGGCTGGTATTTGGTGGTCAGCATTGTTCAGTGATTACAAGTTTAAAAAAGGAAGAGATACTGCCAATGGGAATCTTTACAGATGCTTCACATCCTAGAAGCACAGTAGGTTCAACCTGGAGCTAACTGAGCAGCAACTCAAAGAACCAAAACCCTAGAGCTCCCCAGCCAGGCGACCAGCAGGCAGAGCCTGGCACCAAATGGAGCACTGGCCACCCTGGGACAGCTCACCACATGCACATGGTGACTGTTGTCTGGGATCTAGGCATGAGACTCCCTGTCCTGAGACCCTCCAACAGCTGGGAGGCTGCTGGAAGTTTAAACTCCCAGGCCCAAGGTCGCACCTCTCCCCAATCCCATTCACCATCCAGTGAAGGCGGCGGGTGGGTCCTGGACCTGCCCAGTCACGGAGACCTCCCCCTTCGGTGTACTCACCCCGAAGGGAGCCGGCCCTGGAGCCCAGGCAGGCCCGGGGATAGCTCACCACGTGCACATGGTGGCTGTGGTCTGGGATCCAGGCATGAGATGCCCCGTCCTCATGCCCATGCAGGCATGAGACCCACCAGCAGCCGGAAACCTGAGAATTTTAATCTGTATCTTAAGCTGTTGATGATAATTGTGTTTGCTCACTGAGGCATGGTTGTTTCTGAGACGGGGATCTGGGAATCCTTTGCTGCCCATCCAGGCAGCCACACACTACGTTCCATTCCATAGGTCCCGTCTCTGGGCCTGTGCTCACAGAGTCAGTACCAACAAGCCAGTCATTCCTAAGAGTCTGCCCTTGTGTGACATGTGCTTAGAAATAGAGCTGGCTCACTCTGATCTACCAGGTTTCTGTTGGGGAGCAAAAACCGAGAAATAAGAGACACATTTCTGTTTTTTAGGAAAAGAGAATCCAAGCATGCATACGGCTGGCGGGCTTTATGGAAGGGGAGGATTCGGAGCTGGCTTTCTTGCCCACCTTTAACCTAACCGTCAGAAGGAATCACTTGATTGAGGATGTTTTGAATCAGCTTACTCAGTTTGAGAATGAAGACTTAAGGAGGGAGTTGTGGGTAAAGTATATGCCTCATTTCCTGTTTCACTGCTGAGGAAAAAAAATGCAACAGTAGAGGGCACAGTTGGCTAATCCTCCCCCTGCAAGCATCAGAATTCCATATGGGCATTGGCTCTTATCCAGGCTGCTCCACTTCTAATTCATATCCCTGCTTGTGGGAAAGCAGTATAGGATGGCCCACAGTCTTGGAACCATCCATCCACTTGGGAGATCCAAAAGAAGCTCCTGGCTTCTGGCTTCAGATTGGCTTAGCTCTAGCCATTGCAGGCATGTAGGGAGTGAAATAGCAAATGGAAGATCTTTTTCTCAGTCTCTCCTCTGTAGAAATCAATAAAAAGAAATTTTTTTAAAAATGTAGCAGAATTTCAGGGAAGCATAGTAATCTCCCTTTGTCCCAGAGGCGTCTGCTCAGGAGTTTCCCTAATTTCCTAACTAGCTTTTTTTTTCCCCCTAAAAAAAAAAATAATAAATGTAGGGGGCCAGCACTGTGGTATAATGGTTAAAGCCACTGTCCACAGGGCAACTTATGTAGGCATCAGTTTCAGGTCCTGGCTGTTTCACTTTCAGTCTAGCCCTGCATAGGCTGGGGAAAGCAGCAGAAGATGGCCCAAGTGCTTGGGCCCTGCCACCCTCCTGGGAGGCCTAGACGAGGCTCCTGGCTCTTGCCTGACCCAGTGATTGCCATTGTAGACATCTGGGGAGACCCAGTGGATTGAAATTTCTCTTTTGTGTCTCCCTCTCTTTGTGTAGCTCTTTCAAATAAATAAATAAATAAATAAAAATCCCCAGAGCCTGTGGAACCACTTTGTAAAATACTGCTACTACTATTAAAAAGCAACATATGGATTTAAAAATTATGTTGCACCAAAATAAAATGTTTTAATTCTAAAGCAAAAAGTAATTTTATTAATTTGAGAGATCTTGAGAGCTCCCATGTGTATCCTTACTTCCACACTTCCCAAATGGCCTGAGCTTGGCAGGGCCAGGGTGGAGCCTGGAACTAGGAACGCAGTCCAGGTTTCTCATTTGGATGACAGGAACCCGGTTACTTCAGCCACCATCATTGCCTGCCAGGGACTACTTGGGAGGAAACTAGCCTCAGGATCTGGACCTAGGGATTGAACTCAGCCATGTGGAATGCAGGTTAGGCTCAAGGCCTGCTCTGTCCCTGGTCACCTGGAGTTCGGCGTTATAGGCACTCAGTGAATTTGAACTAAGGAGCTCTAGAGTCAGTGGTGATTCTCCTGCCCTACTCAGGGAGCAGGTCCAGTTCCTTCTAAGATTTTCCTTAGCCTGGTTAGTTACCACCTTGTGCGGGTCAGCAAGTCAGGCTTGGCATCAGAAAGCAATCAAGGCTGCTTTTTCTCTCATGCAGGAACCCTGACTACTTTGCAGAAGAAAAGGCATTCAATTTCTTGACTACACAGTTGTTCTGGTAGAGATTGTTCTGTTCTGGTGGTTAATTGTAGATTAAATTGTGCTCTGGGCATTTCTAAGTTTTTTATATAGTTGCGATATGACTTGTCTTATCTGACAGGTATTTGTTATAGGATTGTATTGACTAGTAGATTTATCGACTGCACTTATGTAACTCAGTGATGGTATGTGGCAGGTTCTGTTTTTTCCTATGTTACATGTTTGTTAGGTAAGACACAGATCTATTGGGTAACTTAGCCCTAGGAAACAACCATGGACTATCCAAGCCAGAATTGGGGCCCAAACGTCAGGCACTAAACTTTGTACTGCAGAATAAGACTGACTATAGTCAAGCTCCAAATGCTATTTGAGGAGTATGGTTTCACTGGAGTATGAGATTAGAATTAGCATTTCCACATTTTTTGCACACACATTATTTTATACCTAATTAATTCACTATATGACAGCAACGTATGCTAACCAAGCCATTCACTGTTACTTTAGCTCCACATCTGTTCGTTTTTAAAAACTGAAGTCTGACTCATAGAGCATTTCCCATTTACATGACTGCATGAGGCCTTATTCTTGCTGATAATCTTGTGGGAAAGCTGAGGTTTTGCAAGATCAGGCATCTTACAGGAAGGAGAAGTGTATGAATTTGACAATGGGTTTTAACAGAAGGATGTGAAATATTTCCCTGAGGTTTGAAACTTGCTTCTCTGGAGAATGTGGAGGCATCATCCGAAAAAGAAGCTGGTAAGAATAGCTTTTGGGGGTGCTAGTGAAACATCCAGATAGAAGTGTTGGGAAGCTGTGAAATGAGCATCTGTCCACCAGGAGGGAGAATACAATGAGTTGAAGGGCTGAATGCTTATAAGGGATGGGATATCCAGGGAAAAAACAAGAAGTAGGGGATATGAGTGCCAGGTTGGAATGCAGGAAATGAAAAAGGCAGAACGATAAACCTGAGGCAGGAGTGTGGAGTAAGTTAAGGAATCAGGGAGATGCAGTAGGAAAACGCCCCCGGAAGTGGGAATTCACAGCTTGTTCCTCTTGGAGAGAATCTCTGGAGGAGTGGGTACGTAAGTTTGAAAGTTGGTATGCTCTCTCACAAGTTTGGCTGCCAGAGTGAAAGGAGCTGGTGCTGTCTGTACAGGAATCAGACTAGCCACAGCAACAAATACTTGATGCATACTCAGCTTTTTCATATTTGAGGAACGTCCTAATGTTTTTATTTCCTTTTGTTTATTTTCATTATAAATAATGAACCTGGAAGTATAGTAGTGATTCCAATTGTGGTCATTGCAGTTAGACTTCAGACAGGCTTTGAGGTCTAACAGTTCAGTCAGGTTGTAATACCTCACTGTTGAATAAACACGAAAAAGATACTTAACTTCTTGAAGGCTTACTACTCAATGCTGGAGTACTAATACAAGGAAAACACATCCCTTAGTGACAAAATACTTGGGTCGCTAGTTAGTACCCACCAGGGTTGGTAATTAGTAAATACCTGGCAGCTTGGAGCCCCGGAGTGAGGCCTTGTTTGCTCTTTCCTCAGGTTTCCTTTACTGGAGAGATTGGGTTTGGCTTTAGAGGAGTCATGACAGAGTTTTTCTACTGTCTGTTTGAAGAGATGACCCAGCCAGAATATGGGCTATTCACCTACCCTGAAGAGGCTTCCTGCATGTGGTTTCCTGTCAAGGTGAGTTCTCTGCATTTCACAGGAGCCATTTTTATGACAGAAATAGAGCTGATTAGACACCATGGAAAATTGGATTTAGAGCATCTTCTTAGAAGGAGAGAGGAGCTCACTGACAATCATAAAATTGATCTTTGAATTGGACAAACTGGTGATTTTTCTCTAAGATGGGCCCTCTTTGCTTGGGTTGCCCTCTTTGCCCTCACAGAACTCAAGCAGTATACTCTTACACTGTTTATAGAGATTAGGGGCATAAATGAACTCTTCCTGTCTCTGGCATACATTTTTGTTTCAGTTTAGTTTCCCGATGAACTTAGGCCATGGGAAAAGATGGTGAAAATCGAAGTTTTAAGGATTACCGAGACTAATCCATTTGTATGCATGCCTATTATACCTTTAATAATTAAACGACTGAGTTTCAGATTGGGTTAATGACTAATATAGAATCTAAATCCTCATGGACTTCACTGGTTTTAATTTGAGATGTGATTTTGTGAAGAAGGAGGAAAGTGTTACTAGTGTTTGACTGTTCTGATAAAAATTCAAAAAGCTCCGCTCTATTTTCCCATTTCCAGCCTAAGTTTGAGGAAAAGAGGTACTACTTCTTTGGGATGCTCTGTGGACTCTCTCTCTTCAATTGCAATGTCGCCAACCTCCCTTTCCCACTAGCACTGTTTAAGAAACTTTTGGGCCAAAATCCATCATTGGAAGACTTGAAGGAACTCAGTCCTGTTTTAGGAAAGTAAGTAAATGTAGTCGCCTTTTTAGGATTACAAGTTATATTTTGTGGAAATACTAAAAGCAAACACTCTAATAGTATGTTCACGTTCTGTAGTAATATTTTAAGTAATTTAAGCCATTTTCAAGTGAAGCAACTGTGACATGAACCTGCACTCATACAGAATCCCAACACTTGAAGGGGAATTAATCAATTGAGCCATTGCACCAGGCCCACCTCCTATTTTGTTTTTTACTTAAGTGGCACCCTCCTTCTTTTAAACCCCTTTCCCAGCCCTCCTTCTTTTAAACCCCTTTCCCAGCATTGTGTTTTGGAAATGTGTAGCTTAATTAATTTCACAGGGTTGCAACTGGAGAGCATTTTATTTCCCTCCCCCTAAAAATGTATAAACATGATCTGTTATATCACAGTATAGCATTGTATGTCAATTGGCAAAAACTCCACTTAGATTTCATCTTCTCCCAAAGGCCTTTGCCAGTGACGTAGATCCCTATGCAAAGTATTAGCCAAGTTCTTACAATCTGTACCTATAGTAGCACTTGCAGCTTTCAGGCAGCACATCTGACAGTACTGTAGGTAAGACATTCATCACAATATATCACCTACCACTGGGAGGGTTCGTTATTTGTAATGTATTAATCTCAAATTCGTGTCCCCTATACCTGCTACATTAGGAGTTGCTTATGCTTGTTGAATGAACAAATGCATGAAGGATCAAACAATACACTGTGAGACATACTGCTTTAAAGAGTGTAAAGTATCTTAGGACACAAAAGGAAAATAAAAAGTGGCTACTGTGTATTTGATTAAACTTCTATTCTCATAGATGCCTTAAATCAAGGTTGTTAAATTTCAGATCTTTCTGGAGCTTGATAGCATGGATTGGGACAAGAGGTACAGAAAATGTCCAGTGACCCAACCACTCCTCAAATTTCCCATGGGGTATCTGCTATTTAATAAGTCCCCTGTTTGTTTTATAAAGTTAACAATTTTCAATAAATGTAACACCAGTGTCAGTAAATATGCTGTCAGAAGACAGAATCCCTAACTGGTTCTCTGTGCAAGTACCTGCAACAGCTCCCCACTAGGGCTCAAGAATCTGGGAGGTCAGTCCAGGTCACAGCATGGGTGGAAGGAAGCCAGTTACTTGAGCTATTGCCATTGCCTGCCAGCGTCTGCAGTGGCAGGAAGCTGGAATAAGAATCCAATCCAAGTAATCTGATGTGGGAGGTATGGGTGTCGTAACAGTCGTCTGAACTACTAAAGCCTGCCCCATTCATTTTCTGATGGAAACCAGGGTAAATCAAATAGGTATCCTAAATCTCACTCTTGAGTTGAGGTCTCTGTGAACTCTGCCTGAGTTTGCTTGCAGAATAGCTACCTGTGCACTTAACATTTGTTTTAGGTGATGCATCTGTTAATTATTATCCTCCTAAAAAACAAAATTATCTGTTCCTCAGGAGTTTGCAGTTCCTTCTAGATAATGAAAGCAGTGACTTTGAAGAAATATTTTACATCCATTTTAATGTGAGTAACGATAAACAGATAGCAGATGCATTTTAGTCCACCTAACCCTTTACTTAAAACAGGGTAAAACCGAACAACACACTTCTAAACTGGTAGAAAGGTTTTCTCCTCAGTTTTTTATGAGCTGATACATCTGACCTGTGATGGGGAACATCCTGCCCGTGGCCATTGAAGTCCTATGAAATTGTTTGCTCTGACTCCACCAAGGCAGTTGCCGGCAGGATTTGAAATTCCATAAATGTATGGCAAGCTAATTTTTAATTTGATAATTCTGCGTGACCCATGAATGATATTATAAATATCTATCTAGCCCTTGGCAGAAAAATAGGTTTCCTGCAACAACCAACTCCAAATGCAGTAACTGCAAGCATCGAACACAGTTGTGTAGGTTCCTGGGCCACATGATCTACAATGGCCTCCCATGCATGTTATATGCTTGGTGGTTGATGAGCCAGTTGGTTTATAGGATGTTAGTGGGAACTCCAGTCACCACCAGGCTAGCATGGCTTCTTCACAAGGTGCTCTGACAAGGAGTAGGAAGAGAGGGGGAAGTTCCAAAACGTAGGCTGGTATTTCTACCAGATGCCATTGGCCAAAGCAATCCATGTGGCCACACCCAGATTCTTGGGCTGAAGAGACACACTCCTTTCCCTTTTGATGGGCAGCATTGCAAAGTCAAGTTGCAAAGAGAATATGAAAACGAGTATGGGAGGAATTTGGCTATTTACAAACATTACCACACTGGATCAATATTGTGTAAAGTGAATATTATTATAGGGCAGTTTTCTAGTTTGTTTAATATGATCAGTTAAAATAGTTCAAGATTTGTAAAAAAAATTTACTTTTTACCATGTGTGACAGGATAATAATTTTACACATTTCTTGAAAGATTTTATAAAAAAAGATGTCTTAAATTCTTTAGGAAAAGTTTTTGTGGATAAAAAATTGTTCAGTTATTTAGCATGTAAACCTGACATCAATTGTGGTTACAGATACATTGGGACAGCAAGGACGTAGACTTGATTCCTAATGGAAGTTGTGTAATTGTCAACCAGACTAACAAGTAGGTGTAAAATGATATGTTTGGTTTATATATACACCTTTTCCCCCCACTGGGTTCCAGAAATTGGTGTGTTTGGTATATATATATATATATATGTGGAAACATGGACATCATAGAATTTATCAGATGGCTCCTAGGCCCTCCTTTTCCCTCCTGTCTAAATTGTATACCCTCTATCCATTTATTCTGCTTTACTTTTCTTTTCCATACCACACATTACATACCTTTAGGATTTAGAAAAATTAAATAGAAAATATAATTTTAAAAATAAGTTTATTTTGATTCATAAACATTTAAAGTTCATCCATAGCTTTCTTCATAATAAAAATTCTTTGAACTTGGTGAATAGAACTTGCGTATTTTCATTACCTCTGGTAATGAAAGCTGTAGGAACCTGGCACTGCATTCTTCACCTCTTTTGTGTCCTGTGTAGAATTAACTACAGCAGTGTTTGGTTCATAACAGGCACATTAGAACTGTTTGTTGAAGAACTTCCTGTATTATTTCATCTTCCCAACACCTATTGGATGCCATTTAAACCATAGAGTTCATGGTCTGGCGCGATAGCCTAGTAGCTAAAATCCTCATCTTGCATGTGCCAGGAACCAATATGGGCACTGGTTTGTGTCCCAGCTGCTCCACTTCCCATCCAGCTCCCTGCTTGTGGTCTGGGAAAGCAGTCGAGGATGGCCCAAAGCTTTGGGACCCTGCACCCACGTGGGAGACCTAGAAGAAATTCCTGGCTCCTGGCTTTGGATTGCCTTAGCTCCAGCCATTGCGGCCATTTCAGGAGTGAATCATCAGACAAAAGCTCTTTCTCTGTGCTTCCTTCTCAATGCATATGCCTTTCCAATAAAAATAAATAAAACTTCTTAAAAAAGAAAGAAAAAAAAATACAGTTCAGGCGTCTAGGATGATCTCCTGATTGTGGATCAAAGAACAAAAGAAATGTGCAGGGATTTGCCCTGTAACAGATTTTTTAAAATAATCTTGGGGTTTTTGTCCTAAAATAACCTTTGTGTTGAAGTGTAATATACATGCGGAAAATTGCACATATCCTAAGGGAACAGCCCAGTGAATTTTAGTAAAGTGAATTAACATACCTGTGTACTTACCAACAAGATCTAAGACGGAACATTTCTAACTGTTGAATGTGTATTTTTATCAGTTTTATTATGGTGTTCCTGTGCACATTCTCTTACATATTTTTGTTGTTATTGCTGATGTGTGTGCGTTTTCATTGTATGTAACTGGGAGAATTGTTTGTTGTCTTGCGGTTGTTTCATTCATGACAAAATCAGTCATTTCACTCTAAAATAAGGCTGTGTATTGACATACATATACCAGAGTATGAAAGTATTATTCATGCAAAGGAAGTTTACTGGAGAAAACCAGACAGGAAACCAAGCTATTCTGTTTGAAGGAAGAGGCAGGAGCTTTAAGCTTAGGCCGAGGATGAGTTTTCCTGCAGTCTAAAACTTGCCATTTAGACTTCCCCAGTGCTGCCAAAACAGAGTGCAAACCTGGACTCTTTATCCAGTTGTGTGCAGATGTTGGGATAAGGGGAGGAGTAAAATCTGAAAGCTGTTGGCAAATGGTGGGATCTGGAAACTGGAAGCAGACTCAGCTCAGCAGGGAGTGAGATCCTAATTGCCCTGTGTCCTCAGGATTGTTAGTCTTTAAAATCAGCCATTGTAGTGATTGTTATAGGAGCAATTTGTTACAGCTTTAATTTATGCCTCTGTGATGATGAATACTGAGCAACTTTTATGCTTATTGGCCATTTGGATATCCTCTTTTGTTTCAATTCTTTTTCTTACTGGTTTGTAGTTCTAGGTACAAGTGATTTTTTAATATTACAAGTATACTGCAGATACTTTCTCTTGTAGCTTGTCTTTTTTCCCATGATGAGCTAAAATTTCGGGTTATGTCATAGCCCACTTTATCAGTGTTTTCCCTAGTTCTCAGTGTTTTCTTGTGTCCTGTTTTGAAACTCCTTCCATATCCCAAAGTTGTGAATTTATTCCCCTTATTTTCTAGAAGTTACTGTGTTACATGTCACAGTTAGATCTGAAATGCACCTTTAATATACTTCTTAATAAGGTGTAAGATCAAAGTTCATGAGCTGATCCAGCATCATTTATTCAAGGTACCTCAACCCTTCTTGATGGTTTCCCACCATTTCTTTCTTTCTTTTTTTTTTTCTGTAATCATATTCTTTCTAACAGTGCTCTATATTTATTTCATCAGGCTATTTGTTCAGTGTATCAAAATGTATAGATACAATCATTTTGAAATCTGGTTAAGTCTTCCAGCCTTGTTCTTTTAGATTATCCTGACTTTGATTTCTTTTCATTTCCACATAAATTTTGCTATCAGCTTCCCAGTTAAAAAAAAAAAAAAAACAGAAAACCATGCTGGCATTTTGAATTGTGATTGAATTGAATCTCTATATCAATTTGAGGATAGTTGATGCCTTAAAATACTAACTCTTGGGAAAGGCATTGTGGTACATCAGACTGAGGCAGCACAGTTCAGGTCCTTCAGCTCTGCTTTTGATCCAGCCCCCTGCTAATGAACCTGGCATATGGCCCAACTACTTGATCCCTGCCTCCCACATAGGAGACCCAGACAGAGTTCTTGTCCCCTGATTTGTGTCTAGCCCATACTAGACTTTTGGGGCCATTTGGGAAGTGAACCAGTTGATAAAGCTTTCTGTAATCATCTCTCTGGGTTTGGGTTTTTTTTGTTGTTGTTTTTTTTTTTTGCCATTTTTAAAATAATTAACCAGAACCTCACAGGCAAGCAAATTGGGCTCCCCTAGTGAGCTTCCCTTCTCTGCGGTGTTGGCCTCTTGGGTCTTCACCTGTGTCTGAGATACTGGAGCCAGAGGCATTTTGTTCTGTTTGGCTTTTCTAGTGCCTCTCAGAATATTTTTCTACCATGAGGTGCAGATGTAGAAATCCCTCTTCGCTTTATGGTTAGCTGTAAGTATTGGTTGTTACTTGTGATAAATGCAGAAAATTCATGAATATAATATGGAGTTTGTGTGATCTCCTAAGCTCCATTATCTCTCCAGAGATTAATCATTTTTTTTATTTAAAGATTTATTTTTATTATTTTTTATTGGAAAGGCGGATATACAGAGAGGAAGATCTTCCATCCGATGATTCACTCCCCAAGTGAGCCCAACGGCCAATACTATGCCGATCCGAAGCCAGGAGCCTCTTCCGGGTCTCCCACGCGGGTGCAGGGTCCCAAAGCTTTGGGCCATCCTCGACTGCCTTCCCGGGCCACAGGCAGGGAGCTGGAAGGGAAGCGGAGCTGCCAGGATAGAACCGGCGCCCATATGGGATCCTGGGCGTGCAAGGCGAGGACTTAACCACTTGCGCCACCGCGCCGGGCCCAAGAGATTAATCATTTTTAACATTACTTTTAGTATAAACTTTTGCTGTTGTCAGTTGATTTTCCTAACCCTGTGGTCTTAGACAGTCACTTCACTCTCTGTTTCATAATATCAAGTCTTCAGGATAGGTGTTGTGATACAAACAGGTTAAGGCACTATTTCAGAAACCCAGATCCCATATGGGAGTGTGAAGTTCAAATCTGTATCTACTTCATGCTTCTGATTCAAGTGTCCTGCTAATGCACCCGGGAGGCAGGAAATGATGGCCCAAGTACTTGGATTCCTGCCACCCATGGAGATGTGGGTGCAGTTTGTGGCTCTTGGCTTTGGCCTGAGTATCCCTGTCTGTTGTGGGTGTTTGTATGGAATGAATGAACAGATAGGAGATCAATCTCTCTCCCTTTTCCTGTCTCTCTCACACATGTACTTTCTCTGACTTTTGAGTGGTTGTCTTTTTTTAAAAAAAAAAAAAATACAAGTTGTCTTCATGTAGTTGTTACATAAAGCAGGTAACACATATAAAGTGATAATCATAGTCATGGCACATAGTAAGCACTGTGTTTTAATGTGTTAATTTTGATCAGGTTCTGTCAGCAAGTGGCAATAATTTTCTGTTTCATTAAAGGAGTGATTATATTTCTAAGTGTGTCAATTACATCTTCAACATCTCTGTAAAGGAAGTGTATGATGAATTTCAGAGGGGATTTTATAAAGTGTGCAATAAGGAGATTATTCAGTGTTTTCGTCCTGGAGAACTGAAGGATGCCATCGTTGGAAATACAGACTTTGACTGGGAAACATTTGAAAAGGTACCTCATAAAGGCTAAGTTGAATCAATTCAGTTTCCCCCCCTGTTCCATGACTGACTTTTTTGTGTGTGTTTTCTGTAGAATGCACGTTATGAACAAGGGTACAGCAGTTCACACCCCACCATTGTGATGTTTTGGGAGGCTTTACACAAACTATCTCCAGAAGAAAAGAAGAAATTCCTTGGTAAGTCTTAGAACAAAGGGTGGATCTTTACTTGTGCATCTCTTCTTACAGTATAAGCATCTTGTTTGTGAAAGGTGCCATGTGAAACAAATTACACTAAGCCACTGCTAGTCCATCTGCGTGTCATAAAAGTTTATAAAGGTGATCTTCCCCCTGTGACTTCATCCTTGCTTATTCCTTTTAGTATTTTCTTCTTTTTATGTGTGTGGAAGCCACCACTTCAGAAACCCTCACCCCATGGCAGAATGTCGGTTCAACTCCCGCAGCTCCACATCCAGTCAAGTTTCCTGCTCATATGCCTGGGAGGCAACAGATAATGGCCCAAGTTGTGTTTGTGCCACCCGCTTGGGAGACCTGGGCAGATTCCTAATTCTTGGCTTTGACCTGGCTTAGCTCAGGCAGTTGTTACATATGTATTATATGGAAGATTCTGGAAACTAAACAATTCATCAGTTTAAAACTGCATGCCATTCTGAATGATATAAACTTTCACTCTTCTGCTCTGTCTCACTTGGAGTGTGACATCCCTTTGTCCAGGTTCCCTGCTGATGCATGTGAGAGGGCAGCAGAGAATGTCATAAGTATTTTGAGCACTGACACCCATGTGGAAGTCCAAGATGGAGTCCTCGCTCTTGGCTTAGCCCGTACCTGGCTGTTATGACCATTTTGGGGAATAAACTAGGGGATGGAAATGCACTCTGACTCCCTCTCTTTCTCTTTCTTTCACCTTCTAAGTTACTTCCTTTAAATGAAAAGATAAAAGTATGCCATAAATATATGTGTATAGGAAAAAAACTCAGGGTCCAGTGCTTCAGGTTAAACTGCCACCTATAGCGCCAGCGTTCCATATGGGCACCAGTTCAAGACCCAGTAGTTCACTTCCAGTCCCACTCCCTGTTATGTTTGGGCCTAGACACCGATGTAGGGGAACCAGAAGAAACTCCTGGCTCCTGGTTTTGGCCTGGCCAAGTCCCAGCTGTTTAGCCATTTGGGTTTTAACTAATCGGTGGGAGTTTGAGTTTCTCTCTCTCTCTCCTTCTTTCTCTGTCTCAGTCGGTAACTGCCTTTCATATAATTTTTTAAAAAACTTTAAAAAAAAAGACATGATATGTATAGGGTTTGGTACTTTTCCAGAACTTTTGTCATCCTCTAGGGGTCCTGGCATGCGTGCCACTTGTGCAGGGTATCCATCACGTTCCCACGCAGACTGCTGGCACAGGCAACAGCTATGTGACATACGCTAATGTAGAACTCTACCTTCACTCTCAGAGACTTTTTGTTTTTTGGTGGATTTTTTGGATGTTAAAAGTTTTAATTGTCAGAGTATATACAAATTTAACAGGTCAATTTTATGCAATTTTCATATGATTATTTCCAAAGTACAAATTCCATTTGCAGTATTAAGCATAAATTTATAATTGAATCTTGTGTTATGAAATTATAATTAAAACTAGAGTAACCATCCAGTGAAGTTTTTTTGATAGGTAGATTTTTCTTGCTATTAAAGAGATATTTCTTCTTGTTAGTGTTTCTTACAGGAACTGATAGAACACAAATAAAAAATTTGAAGAACGTGCAAATAACATTTCTCTGTCCTGAACATTTGAATGAGAAAGACCCCATGCAAGCGCAGACGTCTTTCTGTCTTCTCTACCTCCCTAAGTACTCCACCATGGAACGAGTGGAGGAAGCACTGCAGTTTGCCATCAGCAACAACAGAGGGTTTGGCTAATACTGCACTATTATCTTTACCTCTTAGAGAAAATATTATTCTAAATAAAGTTTAATTTGCAGAATCAAACAGATGCCTGTGTACTAATTCATTTGAAATTGTGAGATAGTATGAAACCAGTGAGGCTCTCTAACACTTATTTGACGTGGCCAGAAGGAAAATCCTCAGCTTGGTTATAATTTTTTAAAATTGTTTAATATCTGCTTCTGATCTTGAAGTGTATATCCATAAATGGTGGGAGTAGCATTGTGCCTCATTTAAAACACATTTTTTTCAACCCTCCTTTATGGAAGGGATAGATGGTAATGGTTTATGAAAGTCTCTGCAAGACCCTTCTGAAAGCGAGGCCCTGGCCTTGGGCAGACACCACTGCTCTCCGCATTGTGTTTTCCTGGGATTCAGGCTTGAGAGGCAAAACTTAAGCATGTGTGTCTTCAGACCCATTAGGAAAAGTCCAAAAAGTCAAGTACTTTGTCTCCAAAATTTTTAAGTTCATTATAAGATACTGGCTACATCTGAAAATCTTACCATAGGAGGGAAAACAGTTTTTAGACTCCTATAGTAAAGTCTGTTACAATCAAGTACATTTCTTACTGATACAAATACAGTGAACTAAAGTGGAAATACAAGGATCAGCAATCTTCCACCTGCGACATCAGCATCCTGTTTGGGCATGGGTTTCAGTCCCGGCTGCTCTTCTTTTGATCGAGCTCCCTGCTGGTTGCCTGAAAAAGCAATATAGGATGTCCCAAGTTCTCCAGCCTCTGCACCAACTGGCTTTAAACCAGCCCAGCTAAGACTACTCTGACCATTTGGGGGTGAAACAGCAGATGGAAGATATTTTATCATGGGCCTGGCACCTTGACATGATTGACTAATCCTCTACCTGTGACCTAGGTGCTCTACTTCTGATCCAATTCCTTGCTTATGGCCTGGGAAAACAGCAGACAATGGCTCAAAGTATTGGGTCCTTGTGCCCATGTGAGAGACCTGGAAGAAGCTCTTGGCTCCTGGTTTCAAGTGTGCTCAGCTCCAGCCATTGCAGTCATCTGGGGAGTAAAGTAGTCAACAGAAGGTCTTTCTGTCTCTCCTTTCTCTAAATCTTCCTTTTCAATAAAAATAAGTCTTAAAAGATAAAGATACTCTCTTTTTTCCTCTTTATAGTTTTGCCTTTCAAATAAAAGTGTTTTTTTGAAAAATGAAGTATAGTGAGAAGGAGGAACTGAAGGTGACAGAAGGCCAAAAGCTGAAGATTCTGAGAAACCCAGTAGGGCAAAGGACATAAGATCATGTTGAAGGGCAAGGGTAGATTTTATGAATGATCTGCACTGCAAGACTGCTGCTATAGTCAGCAGAAACAATGGTGTCTTTTGTGAAAAGTCATGATGGGTCTTTAAGCTTAGCTGCTGGTCATGAGCTTAAGAACATTCTCAACTCAAAGGTACTTTGGTATGTTCATAGAGTAAATCATTTTATATATGTATGTCAATATGACAGTTTCCAAAGAATTGATTCAGGTGAAGAAAAGGAACAGTGAAATTGTCTCAAAATCATTTTGAGTTACATTTTTGGAAGGCAATCTTTCACCTTTTTGTTAGAGGTTAGAGGATAGAAAAACTATGATCTTCTTAATTGGTATGTGGATCAGATTGTTTGAACAGGACAGCGTTCATTGTGTTATCCAAATACTTGGAGTGGGCCAGAAGATGACTGTGGAGGTGAGCTGAGGGCAGCTGAAGAGGAGACAGCAGACTTGAGTGCAGGCAACATGTGGGTTTTCTGTAGCTGTGACCAGTGGCAGTGCTAGCAGTGGAAACAACAGCTTCTGGCGTCTGAAGTATTGTTGAACCTGAAATTCTGTGACAGCCTTCTTAATGTTTTTGTGCATAGCTATTCCAAAGATTGTGTAAGCATGTTTCCCAGGCCGAGAATCTGCATTTTAAGCAGCTTTCCAAGTGACTTGTACTGACAGGTGAGTTTCTGAACCACCACTACTGGTCTCTAGGCCCTCCCTTGAGGGAGTGGGCAGGGCTCCGGGCATGGGTGGGTAGACACAGGCCCATAGAGAAATACTACTGGAAATGTATATATTTTTTATTGTTATTAACATTGTATTATGTGATACAGTTTTATAGGCACTGGGGATTCCCCCCTGGAAATGTATATGTTGAGACCAGGGATCCTGACACCCCTGAAGCTATCCGGATATGAGAGCATCTGATGCTTGTTGACACCAAAGACTGTGCCACTAGAGCAATTCTGAGAAAGGCATTGTTTTCTGGAAAGCTTAAGTTACCAGCCTCCAGGATAAGGAGAAAACACAGGCTTATACACAGACACACACACACACGCACATTTATATTCATAATATATATACACATATAATATGTGTATTTATACTAAAAATTTATTTTCCTTTTATTTAAAAGACAGAGGACAGAGTGACAGAAACAGATCTTCCATCCACTGGTTTCCTCCTTGAATGCCTACAACAAGCAGGGCTGAGTCATGCCGAAGCCAGGAGCTCAGAACTAAACCTAAGTCTCCCATATGCTTTGCAGAGACATGAGCCATTTCCTGCTGCCCACGAATGTGCACAATTGCAGGAAGATGATCCAAAGTGAAGCAGTGGGGACTTGAACCAGGTACTCCAAGGGGATTTGGACATCCAAAATGGTAACTTAGCCACTGCGCCAAATGCCTACCCACTGCTGTATTTTTTTTAAAGATTTATTTATTTATTGGAAAGTCAGATATACAGAGAGGAAGGAGAGATAGAGAGGAAGATCTTCCGTCCGATGATTCACTCCCCAAGTGAGCGCAACGGGCGATGCTATGCCGATCCGAAGCCAGGATCCAGGAACTTCTGGGTAGCCCACATGGGTGCAGGGTCCCAAAGGTTTGGGCTGTCCTCGACTGCTTTCCCGGGCCACAAGCAGGGAGCTGGATGGGAAGTGGAGCTGCTGGGATCAGAACTGGTGCCCATATGGGATCCCGGCGTATTCAAGGCGAGGACTTTAGCTTCTAGGCCACGCCACTGGGCCCCACTGCTGTATTTTTGAAAGGTGTTCAGAATCTTGATTATTACATTAGTGAGAACAATAAACTTGTGTTGGGAGAGGGAGGGCAGGAAGCATCCTGGTGTTGTAAGCAAAGCTAACGCCTGCAGCACCTGCATCTCATATGGGAACCAATTGGAATCCTGGCTGCTCCACTTCCAATCCAGCTCCATGCTAATGAGCCCAGGAAAGCAGAAAAACATGGTCCATGTAGCTGGGCTTCAGTACTCCTGTGGAAACCAGGATTAAGTTCCACATGCCTGGATTTAGCCTGACCCAACCCTGGTGGTTGCAACTGTATAAGGAGTGAACTAGAGGATGAAAGATCGTTCTCTGTCTTTCCCTGTTTCTGTAGGTCTTTCAGTCTTCCTGAACCTGGTGTGAAGTTCACCGTAAAGTCTACCTTGGTAACAGTGAGGTCCAGCTGTGGGATTTCCTGTGTGATCACGGTCTACGAACCACTTCTGCCATCCTTTGCTTTTTGCTCCCAGTGTCTTGTGTTCCAGTTACTTCTCATTCTGTCTGCCTCCTCCTGCATCTTGCCTGGTCTTCCCTGTGTCTTCTCAACCTCCATTGCTTCTCCACAGGCTCTTGCATAACCCATATTTCTGCCCATATGTAGAACAAAGCAGTGGATGCACGATCTCTCTCTTTCACCAACTTTCAGGTTAATGAATCTTTGAAAACATTTTCATATAAAAATGTACTTATCTCTTAATTCCATTTTGCGTAAGCTTTTTGAAGAACCTCATATAATAGAATATTTTATGCTTATTATTTAAATTTTGAATATTGTTATGTACTGTATTTTTTACACATATTATCTCTTTTTTGAAAGGCAAAATTACAGAAGGAGAGACAGAGAGAGATCTTCACTCCCCAGATGGCTGCAATGGCTGGAACTGGACAAATCTAAAGCCAGGAGACAGAAACTTCTAGGTTTCCCATGTGAGTGCAGGAGCCCAGGCACATGGGCCATCTGCTGCTGCACATTAGCAGGGAGCTGGATCGAAAGTGGAGCATCTGGTACTCAACCTAGTGCTTTTATGGGATGCCAGCGTTACAGGCAGCATCTTAACTACTATGCCAGCCTCTATGCCAAAAAAATTTTTTTAAAGATTCATTTTTTTTTTAATTGCAAAGTCAGGTACACAGAGAGCAGGAGAGACAGAGAAGAAGATCTTCTATCCAATGATTCACTGCCCCAAGTGACTGCAATGGCCAGTGCTGCTCCGATCCAAAGCTAGGATCCAGGAACTTCCTCCAGGTCTCCCATGTTGGTGCAGGGTTGCAAGGCTTTAGGCTGTCCTCGACTGCTTTCCCAGGCCACAAGCATGGAGCTGGATGGGAAAGTGGAGCTGCCAGGATTAGAACTGTTGCCCATGTGGGATCCTGGTGCGTTCAAGGTAAGGACTTTAGCTAGTAGGCCACTGCACCGGACCCCCCCAATTTTTTTTAAAATTGTTGTGGAGCCCTTTGTATTGTCTCTTCCCTTGCTCCTATGTTTTTCTATAAAAGTCTTCAGTTGCTGTCCCTACCTCCTGCTTTCTTCCTTCCTTAACCCTGTGTTCTGCCCTCTGGCCCCCTCACTGTTCCCACTCCACTGCTCTGGCAAAAGCTACTGATGACATTTTTGTTGTAAATTTTGATGGAAATTTTTGTATTTCCATCTTTAAAAAAATTTCTCCTGGGTTTTCAACTATTGACTACTTCTGCTTCTTCCCCTCAAACTGTCTTGAACTGCCATTTCTATTTATCCTTCTTTTTACACTCCCAAATTAAAATGCTAGACTTCTGTCCTATGTATCTACACGACTTCCTTAGTAATCACAGAACTTAGTTACCATATCATGGAGGTGGGACTCGGGTTTATAATCTAACCCACAACAACTGGTACATTCACCTGAACCAGAGCCGTTTTTCTGTCCACACATACCTGCTCCTTACTCCCAGTATGTTTTTGTCTGTATTCCACAGCTTGGAGGAGTACTGCCAGTAACTAAAAGTAGAGCCA